TAAGTCATTGCCAGCTAAATTAGCCTCCTTTTTCATTCGCCGATATTGATTTTCAACGAGCCCTGATCAGATGCCAGTGGAATGATATAAGGACGGGCATAGACATTGGTAGAGGGACACACTTGTCTATCATTGCGCAAAGAAAAACAAAGGTATGATAGCGACACTCTTAACATGGTATATGACTTAAAATCCTATGACAGATGCCAGCAGCTCAGTGGACTACTAAGGAACAATACAAATGGCTCCATGAACAGTTGCCGGAGTATATTGCACTACACGGCGAGGACAAGGACTACGCGCACTTCTGGGCCAAGACTCATCTTTATTGGTTTAAAAGTTGGCCTGAGCGAGCCGCCCTCTTCCCCGATATCCCCATCGAAATACCACTAACAGAAGAGCAACAAGCTGAAGAACTTGCTGCCGAAAAACGCGTAAAGTAGTGAGTTGTCAAATGTTTTGACAACTTTTGACTGCTAACCAAAACCCTGGTAGCGATTGCAGACCTGGTTCCATTGGCGGACAAACGCGTCCAAGAAAAATCGTGGCCTCAAGAAGGAAATCTCCGTATTTGAAAGCGCACTGCTGCCGAAGTCGCGCCCAAAATCTGTCAAAGAAATCTACATGGATATGGTCTACGATGAACGGATCAAACCTCTAGTAGCGGCTGAACAAGAGGCAGGTAACGTAGCTACAGCTGGTCGCCGCATGGCATTGGGCCGAAAGTTTTGCAAAGAGCTCCTGGAAGATGAGTCAGACGAGGTGAAGAAGGAGGTGAGAGAGAAGTACAATAAGCAGAAAAAGGTAAAGAAGGACATGCTACACGATAAAGCTGACGATGACGACGACGACGACGAAACCGACGCTGATGCCATTGTGAAGTAAGTACTAGTTAATGATTATGATTATGATGTTACTTACACGGCCTATAGAGGTATCGACGATTTACCAATCATATGCCAGCGCTTTGCACACCTCATCAAGAAAAAGACTCGATTTATAGTCTCCTTCATGTGCGCTGGACCGGACCCGAGGCAGAATTGGAATATCATAACTTTATTGTAAGTGCACCAAACCGTAAATCTGACTACCAAGCTCACCTTACTAAGGTGCCATCCATCAGAAACTTCTGCTGGGAACAACTTTCTCAGTTATGCCCTGACAAGGACAACACTTTCCTTGCTGCATACCAGGAATACGCTGAGTTGATATTCCGTAAGCTAATCCTTGTTGTCCAAGTCACTATAGGCTCACCATAAGACTCAACCATCAGCTCCGAACAAGCGTAACCCGCTGCTGCCAGATGTCGAAGACGGCGATCAGACTGAGGAGCTCAAAGGATGCAACAGTGGCAAAGAATCCGAGGATGGTGAAGAGAACAATGAAGGACAACGTGGTGATTCCATCGACTGGGATAATCTAGGTAGGTCTTTATATCATTTCGCAGCCACCTGATGCAAACTGATGCATCAATAACAGGCTTCGCAAGTTCCTCGACCGGAATCAGTGATGCATCACCACTCGGTGAACTTAATCAATCCGCACTCTACTCTGAGGTAAGTACTTTTCATTATTCTCCCTATTTAATCTAACACTTTGCAGACACAGGCACAATGTGATGCATCATTCATACAGGCCCAGCCTGATGCACCGTTCAAACAGGCCCAGCCTGATGCATCATTCAAACAGGCCCAGCCTGATGCATCGCTCGAACACGCATGGGACAACATTGCCACCGTGCCTCCCAATTCGTTTAGCACGCTGCAATCCAGTGTGCCTGGTACCATCGAGGCGCTTGGGTTGTCTTTTTCCCATGCTGATCTTATGGCACTGGGTTATTTTGGTAGCGACAACACCACGCAGAACTTATTTTCCCCCGCATTCAGCTCATCAGCGCCCTCATTTGACACACAATATGACACGCACACGTGGAATGGTGCCAATTCTGATTCACAGGGGTGGGAGATGTGTAGCCTGTCCTCCTTCTTGAGCTCTCCAATATCTGCCGAGCGCAGCACTGCCACGACTGAGCAGGATGACGCCCTTCCTCAGTTCACTCAACAGTTGCCCATTCTTCCAGCGGCAAATCCTCCTTCGCCAACTGAGCAGGATGACACCCTTCCTCAGTTCACTCAACAGCTGCCCATTCTTCCAGCAGCAAATCCTCCTTCTCTGACCGAGGGCATACAGGATCTTGCTGACACTCACGCTGGTGCTGGTCTTGCTAAGTCAAAGCGCAAATTCAAGTCAAAGCCCGCTACCAAAGTCAAACACAATCCCGCCATGGAGTCCACCCCCATCATTGCACCCATGAACACTGCCAAACCCAAACCCAAACCCAAAGCAAGACCTGTCGCCAAATTAACGGAGACATCGCACACCACTGTGGATGAAGGCAATCCTGTAGCTCAATGTGCCTCAAAACGAATTCCAATCAAATCCAAGCAGAATGATATTGCCGACGCCATTGGGTCAGATGGTCTGACATTTGTTAGCATTGGTGAGGAAACTCAATCTGTTTCAGAGGATGCTAGGGCAACGAAGCGTCCCACTAACTCAACCGTGGAGGGTGTGATTTCTGCAAAGTACGTCTTCGATATCTTCCTCACTTGCTCAATGCTAACGGACACAGGAAAAAGCGAACGAAGGTGTGAGCCTATGTCTTCATGTCATGATCGAAAATTTGCTTCTCTACTTAATCATTTCATTCTCGTTCATAGTAATATTTGTCGCTAAGTAGTACATATAGTCTCTGTGTGGGTGATCAATGGATATAGTTGTGTTGTCATTTAATCCCCAAGTATATGGAGTGCTTGCAAGATTCACTGGAGGTAGAATACTATGTCGAACTGTGAGATACGTGGCAAACATACTACAAGTGATCCCTGAAGTTCGAGGCTGCAAACTAGTACATAAATCACATATGTTGGATCCAGTCGGTGCGCCAGGGAAACTTCAAAGTGCCTCGACACTCATTTTGATTCTGAATTTGCAATTGATATGGATATGGGCCACTGGGTGTCTCTAGCCCACCCAAGCCCATCCAAAGGTTTCCAAGGAGTGTGGATCCACACCTGAGAGCGACCATACACAGAGATGTCTGGCTCGCATACGAAGGTGAAGTCGAGAAAGGGTATATTGGCAAAGGTGTAGTGGCAAGCGGGGCTGCAAGAGGGATATATGCGCAGGGTAGTACAGTGGGCAGGTGTGTACAGCTGCAGGGCTGTAAGAGGGATTCATGCGCACCGCATAGCGGCGAGTAGTCGGCGGCGGGATGATTTGTGAGCAGTGTATAGAGGCGACCAGGTGGTGGCGGGATGTGGACCTGTACCTGGCGGTATTGTTGATTCATACACGACCCTGGGGGCATTGTGCAGCTGCAGGGCTGCAATACAGATTTGTGTGCAGTATATAACGGCGAGCAGCTGGCAGCGGGATGGTTCGTGCGCAGTGTATAGCGGCGACCAGGTGGTGGTGGGATGTGGACCTGTACCTGGCGGTATTGTTGATTCACATATGACCCCGGGGGCATTGTGCAGCTGTAGGGCTTCAAGAGGGATTCGCGCGCAGTGTATAACGGCGAGCAGCTGGCAGCGGGATGTGGACCAGTACCTGGCAGTATTGTTGATTCATGTACGACCGTGGGACGATTCCCGATTTTCGGTTTGATGCATTGCTGATGCTAGTGCATCAGAGTGCATTACTGATGCATCAGAGTGCATTACTGATGCGTCACTAATGCATCACTGCAACAGAAAATTCACTGCAGCGCTCGATGCATCACTGCATCCCTACAACTGCAACGAATTCTTGCATCAAAATGACACTGGGGCCTGGGGGTAGGGAATCCAGGAAGCAAAGCATGCCTGCAAGTCCCAAGAACAGGTGAGGTGAGCCCAGAAGCCGTCCGGTCCAAGGTTCGGCCACCATGCCTGAACCTGACCGATGGTCGAGTTCAGGGTTCGCAGATATAGGGCCATGAACCTGACCTAACCGGACTTCGGAGGCACTAGTAAAAGTTGGACCTAGACCTGATCCGAACAATAAGTAGTTCACAGACACGTCGCCTCATGCATGGACCCCATGACCGGTCGGCTTGATAGTATTCATTTCAATCTACTTCAGGACACCAAATAACTAGTTCACATAAGTACCACGACGAAACTGGGGACATGGCACAATTCTCCCGCTCCATGCAGAGAAACCCTATAAGTCATGTAAGGCTGGGTATGAGTTCGGCGGGGACGAAGTAGATACGAGACGAGTGCAAAGGTAATTGAGACGAGTAGGAAAACGTTTGAGACGGAGACTTTCTGTGAGGCTTTTCAGTCGTGCTTGGAGCGGGGAATCAGCGTATGGGATTCTGCTCGATTTTTATGTAGGTATGAATGTACATGGGCGGTATATATACGTTTTCGAACACTTGACGAGGCCAGAATGAGCATAATGAGCAATATGGTGAAGGTAAAATGAAGCGGTCAAGGCAAGGGGATCGTGGAGTCTGAGCACAAGGTAAGATCGTAAAAGGAAATGAAAATGAAAATGGAAAAGACTGTATCCGCGTGACTCGGATGCGAAGAGTAACGGAGGCACGCCGTCTTCGTTTTGAAGCGTGATCGGTGCGTAGAGGATATGCGATCCTTACAGTGACATTGAGCATTTCCCGTGCTACACACTACTGCTAGTTGACACATGCACACGCTCCTGGAAGGCAATTGAAGTCATGGCAGTTGCTGCGTCTGAGTCGTCCACGAGCTTAGCGTGATATTCTCGAACGGCAAGGATGAGACGTGGTCCCAGCACAAATAACTGCACAACCTCGAATATTAGAATAAACCCAACATAAATCTGGACTTTCAGGGAATATGGGTCCTATAAAAATGATGAACTGCGCTCGCATGCAGAGGTCAGTGACATATTGGCATACCGCTGGCATCGTCGATGAGTCATAACCGAGCTCGAAGCAAGAAGCAGCAAGAAAGCTAGCACGTTCTGAACGTCAGCGGTAGAAGAGAATGTCATTCATATTATGGGCTCACCTCGCAAAGTAGCCCACATGAGATTTCATCAACACCGTGAAACAGTCTCCGAGAATCCCTCCTGCCGATTGCCGTCGCAGTTCTCGGAAGTGTTTTACAGCAATCCAGACAGCGAGACACAGTGCGAGGACCTCCCATACAGTCCACAGTATCCAAATCATGGACGCCAGAGGCGCGAGATCTGCCTCAGAGTTCATAGTGCACTGATAGGTGCCGGAGAGAATGAGCTCCTCTGATATTCAATGAGCCTCATGCATTGAAGTCTTTTAATCGAAGCTTACCCCCCGAAATAGTATGGTTCGTTATTATTGCGCTGATCGCTATGTTCGCGATATTGACAACCAGGAAGACGACACCGAGAAGTATCAGGACCTTTCTGGATCGCTGGTACATGGCATGTAACCGAGTGATCATGATGACTTGTCTCGGTCAAGTCAGTATCATTGAGGTATTACAGCTGGTTCGCTCACCGTCCAGTATTACAGTGATGGTGTTATTTGTCCAATTTTGTGTGAAGTACACGATAAGGCCTAACAATTACAAGCCCAGTTAGTGATCAGTCACAGCCTCGCCGCAGGATCACACTCGAAACAAACTCACATCTATGGTAGTGAATGTATTGAACAAACAAGGTGGCCAAGAATCTCACTTACCCCTACATGGGAGTGCAGTTGATTAGACAGGAATGGCAGGTATTACTGCAGAATACTCACTACATCTGTGAGTGGGATTGTTGGAATATTGACTGTATGCCGCCAGTCAGAAAAAACAAACATGGTGAATATGAGACATACGCAGCATCTGGGTCCTGATTGTGAGAGATGACTGATTAGCACAACACCAATTGCTTATTTCTCCGAACATACACACTATATAACATTCCAAGATAGCGCGCCTGGGATGCTTTTGAATCAACACGACTTGCCAATCATTTTTATAACGCAAGCTACATACACTGATATAGAGAAAAGTCACGAGGGACCAGCGTTGCCTCTGTCGTCAATTATTCGAAGTTAATGTTGTTGTTCTGACGTGGGACTGTGCTCACCCAGATCAGTTCGACCTGTAAAACCTGTCTCAGCGATATGGCTGCTCCGGTAATGGCATCAGCCTACCTCTTTCCCGAATGTCAATGCTGGAAATACTACCATAAGGATATCAGCGGTTCCTGGATACTTATCTTGCTTACTCCAATCATACATCCCCCCAGCAAAGGCTGCAACTGCGAAATGCAGCCAAGGTTAAAACGACACATCACCATCATCATCCGACAGGCTCCACGTACCTGCAAAATAACTGAAAATCCTATTCGCATTGATGTCCGGCGACCAACTGGAATCATTTAAGACTATGGGCATATTGGCGGAGGATGGGTATGAGGAAGCAGCGAACTTGGTCGACGTATGGCGATGACATTCGTCCTAGTTATACCAAATCCATACAACAGCACTGCACTCGACATTGCATCGCTTGTCGCAGCCTCGTACATCCTGATCGATAATGTGTGATTGATATCTGATGAAATTACAAGCTAACGCCCGGGACATGTCAGCAAAGGAAAGGCTCTGTACGGCTTCATGACCGAACAAGGAAAGTCGACTATTTGTTCTTCGAAATGTGCGGATAAAACATTGATGGTGTCGGTAGGGGCTACCGGTGGATCAATGCTGGAGGTTGCCCGATGCGAGCTGTCGGTGCTGGTGTTGATAATATTGCTCATTCGTTCATGTTCATTAACGTGGTATCGCTGGATCCCGATTCTTGAAGGCGTCACCCAGCACTTCGTACGAGAGTTGTGTTTCGGCATTCGAGGAAGGAAGCAACTTTCAACGGAGGCAATCGGACTCTATGATGACTGGGTTTGAATTTGGGTGGCTTGTCTCATCAGTAGTCTGTAGACCTTCAGTGTGGTCCTTCATTGTAAACTACGCTTGGTGAGTCAGCCGCCTTGTAGGGAAGGGAAAAAACCAGAGCGTGTTTTCCCCCACAGACAAGGCGGCTGGTTCACAAAGTTGATAAGTTGTTTTACTATAGACAGGCTTCACTGACAGTTACGCTCTATGAAACGAGGAACAAAAACATGCAAGGCTTTCTCAATATTTTCCTTCCTCGACAATCTTGGCGGCTAGATTTGTCTCATCACTAGTACTCTCCAACACCATCCAAAAAGATCTAACAACCCCCAACAGATAAGCTATCGATGTTTAGAATCTGCAGCCGCGATGCCAAGACGATCTATCAAGCCAAAGTCGATTCCATGATCCAGCTTGCGAGCGAGGTTCAGTATCGTATTCTTACGAAGCAGCTTCAACCGGGTGTGTAATCACGGCCAACATCTGACTTCTTTGCTCATAAATATGCTAGTCATGAGGACATTTTACAACCGAACTGCGTTCCAGCTCCCAGGAGATCCCCGTGTACGGATATCGCTCGATACAGAATTCACCATGGCTCGTGGAGACAACTGGGACAGTCGGTCGCGTGCTGGTGATAACTGGCGACGGACTGACATTGGCATCGACCATCCTTTTGACCAACTGCCAGCGGAGGACAAGGAGCTTTTCAAGTGCGTATTCGTTATCGAGCTGATCCTATAGAATATTCACGCTCTTAAAAGGTACGGTGTTTTAGAAGTCAAGCTTCAGACCCAGTTCGGACAAGAGCCTCCCAAGTGGGTCACGGACCTCGTTCAATCCTACCTCGTCGAAGCTGTTCCCAAGTTTAGGTATGAGTCTCACATGCAAGGCGTTTCTATTTATACTACTTACGGACTATCGCTAGTAAATTTATCCATGGTTGCGCTACCTTGCTGCCAAATCGTGTAGATCTTGTGCCATTCTGGCTGCCCCAAAGTGAGTCAGGAGACTTCCATTGCACCTTGCTTACCTTACATTCCCAGTGGATACCGATATCCTTAAGCCCTAACACGGGTTACCTCACTGTCGAGCGCCCCGCAAAGAGCAGCTCCCGAGCAACAGTCCGGCGTCCTCTCGCCCGTGCACTCCTATGTTGAGCCCGTCTCAGAGGGCGAAGAAGATGAGGAGATGGATTTGGCGCCTGCCAGAGATGAATTTCGGCGCACGGGGTTACCCCACGATGACGTCGCGGCAGCCTATCGCATTCCGCGAGTAATCTCTCAAGGAACGCGATATGTCTACGCCTCAGTTTAGCGAGGGCAGCGTTCTCGTGAGGAGGTGTGCGATGAGCGGACACCATTGTTGAAGATGCCACGGCCGCCGCTTTCGCCTTCTTCTGCGTTTGATGAGCGCCTGCGCGAGCGTTTTCAGGCGAAGAAGAATGTGCCGCCTCGTGCGCAAGAAGAGGTGCGGGAGGCTGCTGGTTTGGATGAGGAGAACTTGCGGGACGATTGAGCGATTGTTGGTGAGAGACTGGACTGCGCCGCCTGGCAAGCGCATTGCAGTTCCTGTTCGTGTAGAACCCAAGGTATATTTCGCAAACGAACGCACGTTCTTGGTAGGACTTTCTTTCATTCACTGGTCTAGATTCATTCACTTATTTTATTGTACCAGAAATGGCTCAGCTTTGCGGTGCTCATCGGATCCATCGCTACGACGTTATTAAACTTCGTAGATGCAGATGATCCGCGAGGCCTGATCAGCGCAGCGCTGTTCACCCTGGCTGCACTACTCGCCATCGCCTACTCCGCCATCATCTTCGTGTACCGAGCCATTCGTCTACGGGCGCGATCGGCGGAAGGGCTGTACTATGATAAGTACGGTCCGACTATTCTTTGCTTTGTGTTGTTGGCGGCGCTGGGTACCAATATTGGGTTGAGGGTGGCGGAGATGTGATCGTGATGTGCAGGGATAGGTTGTATTATTGTATCGACTTTGAGACTTGACACACATCGGGGTTTGCAGTATTTAAGACAGGTTTGAATGTCGTGCGAAATGTCAAGATAATACTTAAAATTTAGGTTGTCGTCTAAGCAGAAGTGAAATTTCAAATATTAACGAGATCTTGCACGACATGATAAATATAAAGCATTAGCAAACATTTTGTTGCCGGCCGAACGTTAACGACAATAAGAAATATAAATATATATTTAATGCTGGCATAAACTTCAAAAAGAAACTTCACATTTAATACTCGAAAAAACTTCAACCATTGCACGTGACTGAATGCCTGCTCAAGTATGAAGTTTAGACCGCCACTTAGACGGGCGTCAAAATTTTAAATACCCCCTGAGGATAAATGTGAAGATAAAACATCAAGTTTTATCTCCAGATAAAATAGATCGCCCGACGATCGCCCACTCATGAGTTGGGAACACGAGTAGAAAGTCTGATTGCTTGTATATACACAAATATATGTAGTAGAGTGAACTGAAGATCAATCACGAGATAGAGATACACAATTATGTAGTACATCAGTGCCCACTCAACTCACGATAATCTATACAATGAATATATTGGTTCAAACGCCTGGTCCACATAAAGTCGTAACTCGAATCGCTTTAAGCCTCTGTGAAAGCTAAGCAGTAGATCAGAATCAGAGATGCACAAGTAACAACTATTTTTACCAGTAGCAAGAAAACTGCAACATGCTGCATCGACGTTTTTCATCATTTTGCTGGTGCCTGGATTGAACTTGAGTGAGCCTTTCCACTGCTTACCAGTCATTGGACCGTTGGCATCATTAGTGAATTTATGACGCTCTTGTGAAACACCCTGTCGAATGTTGCCCAGGCGTGACTGGAACCAAGATTCACATCGACCAGACCAGAACCCCACATTCAGCCCTGAGGCAGTCCACACCTGGGGTCTAGGCCACTAAGAGACGATTTCCACATTCCCGTCATCTGAAAATTAAAACATAAGCGCCCCCTGTCAATGTGAGTAAGAGAAATTTTGATTACTGTTATGCACATAATATGTTCTGCACATAATATGTTCTGCACATGAAATCTACCTCCTCTTCGGACAGCTCATCATCAAAATAAGTCTGGCCATTAATGTCCAGCATCAGGCCAAATGGTACCACTTCCCATGAAATGCCATCGAGAACGGAGGGGAGAACATTGAACCCAAGACTATGTAAAGCCAGCCGCCATATGAGTCCACTGTGAAGAACGGCTGCTCTTGTGCGAGGCTGGTTCATGAACTCGTGACGGTGCTGCTCATACACAATGTAGTCAGCGTAAACAGGCCTGAAATGGGGAAGCATGTGATCGTTGGGGGGGGGGGGACATGTCTGAGGGAGTATGTATGTAGTTCCATAAGTGGGCGTCACGTGTGAGGCGAAATTGACATTGGTAGCAATGTCTTTATGGCGATTCCTTTTTCAAGGAGATTACGTATGATCTTTGTTATATCTGAACCCCAGTCACACTGGAGGCACATCATGGCTGTGGTAGCGTCGGAGACTGCCAGTTTCCAGGGCACCAGACTTAACGATCAATATGGCTTGATTATGTAGAGCCGCTGTGTGGGTTGCTGTATGTAGTGAACCCGAATGTGTGCGTTCGAGGTCGACAGGGAGGGTTCAGGTCCTAGATCCCAGAGATCAGGCGGGATGTCGGACAATTGAGATTGGGGAAGGGTGACGAGGTAACCTATAAAACATGTGATAACATGCTTCTGTGCCTCTGGAATTGAGGCAATATTCGCAGGCTCATCACCAACCAGTTTGCATAGGTGAGCCCACTGTGTCTTGCAAGTCCAATCATCAAACGTGGTCGATCTGCCTTGGGGTGAAGTGGTAGATGCTGCAAGTCGATATCCAAGATGGAAATGCAAAATTGAGACAAATCGCTCAACACTTTGAGTGTATTGTGCTGAGGGTGTGACTTCATAATGACTGAAGTAGGCTTTGATGTCCCATAAGAAACTGGACAGTGGGGGCGGAGGGGGCGGTAGGGTGGGTTCAGAAGGAGCAGCAAGGGCAGAGGCAGGCAGAAAATCATCTTCCTCCCAATTGCCATTAGGAATGCTGGTAGGATCCAATCTGTCGCACAAGTCCCACTCGTTACGGAATGAGTCATATACCCTGGTAGATTGGTTATACGACATCCAAGTCATCGGTACCTCAGCCTTTGTGAGACAGATGCGTTGAAGAAAGCTGCCAAACTCGTCATCAGGTTGCCATTCGAACACCACGACCGTGCTAGATTTGCCAGGAATGCTGTGGTTCATGGCTGCACACTCACGGCTCTGACATGACTGCTGTCGAGCTGGTGTCTCTGCCTCCTCTTTCTTCTTATTCTCCTCATGGCACCGTGCAAAGAATGCCTTCCAATCCTCTCCTCGCTTCTGTCCAGAGTGGGGTTGGGGGATTGGAAATAGAGAGTCCGCGTGGGCTTCGGGAATATCAGGTGTGGGCTGCTCTCCACCGACTTGACCCCATCCAATTTCACTACCATCCCATCCAAGGGCGCCCTGACTCTTGTTGTCAAGACCCCACGCACTATCGTCCCATTGACCCCAGGTGCTTGTTACAATGGCGTTATATTTTCTTTTCTCTTTCTTTCTTTACTTACTCATCGAGTCTTGTGACTGCTTATCAACACATCCAACATGTGAACACTTACCTATATGCTTACTCATTATGCTTATGCAGATGATTACTCATACTGTTCTCTGATTGGTCGATCCAACATTGTACCATTTCTCATCTCCTTTTCTGATTGGTTGATATTGTCTTCCTATTCTCGCTTACCTTTCTTGATAGGGTCATCTACCTACAGACTGGCCCTAAACTACCTTCTTGTTACATATATATATCACGTTTCCTATACTTGTATTCCTTAACTTGAATCTACTAGGTTCTCTCCTGATACTTCAAGTTCATCAATCTAGCTGCCTTCCAAGCAGACTAGCCTGAATACTTGATCTAGAGAGCCCTTGACACTCGACTAGCCTGAACCTTTGATCTTAGAACTTGCGATACGCTTCAGCCTTGATCATCCTTTATTGGAACACTGAAGAAGAACTATCCTAGTCGTAACAAAAGATTCAAGTCACCCCTAGTCGCCTGACTTCCAAGTGATGCTGAACCCCTTGAACCCCAGAACAGATTAGCCCAACATTTCGGGGTGACGACAGAACGAACCTTCTCACAGTAATTGGAGAAGTAAGAATGAATCAGAAGAATCCTCAACATCAGAAGGATCAAGAACCCCTCAGACCATACCATCATCACCAGTTGTCCAACCTCAAAGTCCATCTTCGATCTCACCCGCCCTAGCAGCATTCTCCCTTTCCCCTCCACCTTCATTCCCACCACTACCACCCAGAAGACTGACAATGTCGACAGCTACTAAAGACATCGAGTACAAGATCGGAACCTCCACCTTCAACAGAGACAGAAACAAAGCTAGATGATGGCTCCTCGCCACTATCACCTATCTTGACATCAATGACAAGATCTACAATGATGACAAGAAGAAGATCATCTTTGCGTTATCTCTCATGACTGAAGGAGTGGCCTCTACCTGGGCAGAGAGCTTCCTAGAGAAAGCCCAAGATCCGACCCACACTGATGCATCTGGACAGCAGATTGGATATGGCAAATGGCCCCAGTTTCTGAAAGACTTCAAGAAAGCCTTTGAACCCACCGCTGCAGTTGCTGATGCACTTAACAAGCTTAGAGCTTTGAAACAGGGGAATGACCTGGCCGAGTATATTGCTAGCTTTGAACAATATGCAACTTGTGCAGGGATCACTGAAGACACCCCCAAGATTCAATTCTTCATTGATGGAGCCCACCCAGGACTCATCAAGAAGCTCTACAACACTGGATTAATCCCTGAAGAATATGACAAGTTTGTCGAAAAATGCGTCACCCTCGACAATGCTCGGCTCCACTTCAACGCAATTAGTGCTTGCAATGGAAACACCTATCAGAAGAAGAAGAACTTTGGTCTAAGCTGATACACGCCCTCTAGAGATCCAAATGCCATGGAAGTAGATCGCTTATCTGAAGCTGACAGAAAAGAGTATATGAGAACAGGGAAATGCTTCCGCTGCGCCAAGACAGGACATCATGCCAATGACCCTAATTTCCACCCCCGAGGAGATGATAAAAGAAACAACGGGAAAGTACTGGTAAGGTGTGAAGCACCTGAAGAAGAAGACACCGAGGAAGAAGAAGAAGAAGAAGAAGCCACCCGCCGAATGGATTTTTAGAAGGAAGGACTGTTTTGACGTCAGTACCTTCCATTGATATATGCCTTGTACGAACTGTAGGAGAAAGAAAAGAATTTCGGGTACCAGCTACCCTGATCCTCACAGAGCATGCGCAAACCGTCGAAACAACTGTCATCATGGACTGCGGAGCGGCAGGAACATTCATCAGTTGGGACTTCGTCAAGGAACACAACATCCCTGTCAAATGACTCTCTGAACCATTCCAGATCAAAACTGCTGATGGATCTTACTCTTCTGATGGACCAGTCTCCTTCTACTGTGTCCTTGGACTCAAGATCGATCAACGAACCATGATAGGAAAGTTCAATGTAACCAAACTTGGACGAAGGGATAAGATTCTCCTTGGAATACCTTGGTTACGGGCTATTAACCCTGACATTGATTGGACCAAGCAGACTATCTCCATTCCCACAATGCCTCGCTCCAGGAAGATAGAATGATCCCTCAAGAAACAACAAGAAACCAAGAAAACCCCTGAACACACCAAGAAACCATCCAAGAAAACAACAGTAGAAGAAGTACGAGATGAATCTCTTCCCCCTCTAAACTCCGAAGAAACACTCCCCAATCTGATCCCTGACCCCAATGATGATGAAGAAATCGAGATGCCTGACTTTAATCAGAAGGAAGATGTATGGGTTACTGACCAATTTGCCCAAAAAGTAGAAGACGTCGCAACCTACCCTCTTTCCAATGACAAAATTCTCATAGAGTATGCACAAGATGGCACTACTATCCGAATCATTGAAAACCTCTCCTTCGACTCCCCACTTACTGCCGATGGAACCTCTGCTGCCGAAATCCGATGAGCAAGCACAACTGCCCCACTATGAAACTCCTGGATTCTTGCCACTTCAACAGAAGAAGAATACCACAAGACAAGTAACAAGGCACAAGAGTTTGCCATGGCAGGAGAACAAGCAAAGAAGAAGAAGTCTTTTGAAGAATTAGTTCCTTCTTATCTCCATGATTTCGCTGGTATTTGCCAAAGATGGGCTAAATAAACTTCCTCCATCTAGACCAGGAATTGACCATCGTATCGAAACAAAACCAGGATTCATTGCCAAATCATCCAAGATCTACCCCTTATCTGAAAAAGAACGAGAAGCAGTCAAGGTGTTTCTAGATGAACACATCCAGAAAGAATTCATCACCGAATCGAAATCTCCCCAAGCCAGTGGCTTTTTCTTCATGGGAAAGAAAGATGGATCCCTCCGACCCTGCCAAGATTATTGATACATCAATGAATGGACGATACGGAATGCCTACCCTCTCCCCTTGATTCCCCCACTTATTGCCAAACTCCGAAATGTGAAGTACTTCACCAAAATGGACGTTCATTCCGGATATAACAACATCCTGATTCACCCAGAAGATCGATGGAAGGCAGCATTCACAACAGAGTTCGCCCTCTACGAACCAAATGTCATGTTCTTCGGACTTTGCAACTCCCCAGCCATGTTCCAGGCATACATGAATCGCACCTTCCAACAAGAACTCAATGAAGGATGGTTGGTAATCTATATAGACAACATCCTTATCTTCTCAGATTCCCTTGAAGAACATCAGAAGCGAACCCGTAGGATCCTGGAAATCCTAAGGAATGAGAAACTCTTCCTAAAACCAGAGAAGTGCCTTTTTGATGTACAAGAAGTTGACTATCTTGGAATGATCATTCATCCAGGACAGATAGTGATGGACCCTGCCAAACTAAAAGGAATTGAAGAATGGCCTATACCAAAGAACGTAAAAGATGTTCGATCATTCTTAGGCTTCTGTAACTTCCATCGCCATTTCATCTCCCACTACTTCAACATCGCTAGACCCCTTGTAGACCTGACAAAGAAGACTTCCACATTCAAATGGGCACCCTCCTGCAATGATGCCTTCAACAAACTCAAGGAATGCTTCCTTTCTACCCCTGTCCTTTGAAACCCTGATCCAACTCGGCAATTCACCCTTGCCATTGATGCTTCCCTTGTCGCCACTGGTGCAGTACTTCTCCAAACTGACGAAAATGGAGTATACCACCCATGTGGGTACCTTTCCCAATCCTTCAAACCTGCAGAATGAAACTACCAGATCTATGACAGAGAACTCCTTGCCATCATCTGCGCCCTGAAGAACTGGCGCCACTACCTTGAAGGGAACCCACACCCTGTTATTATTTTCACTGATCACAAAAATCTCCTTTATTTCCACTCATCTCAGAAACTTACCTGTAGACAAACCAGATGGCAACTGACACTTTCCGAATTTGACCTAGAATTTCACCATGTCCTTGGGAGCAAACTAGCCGCCCCAGATGCTCTTTCATGACGACCAGATCACCTTCCTGATTCCCTCGATAATACAGATATCACTCTTCTTCCTAATTCTCTTTTTGTTCACCTTTTAGATACTGATTTCGAAAATGCCCTCCATTCACCTGATCCTATCTCTGATCCGATCATATTAGCTGTCAGCAAGGCTCTAGACGGCCTCTGCCTTCCTCCTATGACTTCCTCCCTTTCTGATTGGTCCTTTACTGATAACATATTACAATACAAGAACTGTGCTTATGTACCTCCTCATCTCCGCTCCTGTATCCTTTCCCTTCACCATGATCACCCCACTGCAGGTCACCTGGGTCACTTCAAAACTGAAGAACTCATCAAACACGATTACTGGTGGCCTCAGATGGGCTCCTTTATCCGAAAATATGTAGAGGGCTGTGCTATATGCCAGCAGATGAAATCTGATACCCACACGACTACACCACCCCTGACACCGATGGCCCCAAGTACTGTCGTCCAGTTGGCCCCAGGTACTGTCATCTGGCTGACCCCGTTGGATTGGCTCCTCAGTTGCACGGGTGATAGCTGCCTGAGACGGGATATAATGACGCAAGGTGGGGTCGACGGCAGAGGCAGAAGCATTTTGGGGAAAGTGAACCCAAATCGGGATCGACAATTTCTCAAAAAGGGGCAATTGAACTTGCCAAGGGCAGTGATTGGAAGAAATGAAGGCTCCTGTATGTGGCACGTTTGTTGTGAGATCCCCAATGAATGAGCGCGACAACTCAAGAACCCATTCAGCGGGTATGGGATTCTTACGGTCATTCATTAAGATAGCCATCCAAGAATGATTGGAACCTTGGTATCAACGACTCATGATGAACCATGAGCAGGTAGCAGCGATTACTAGGAATACGTCAGGCAATCACGATGAAATGAATATATGGTTAGCGTACAAAGAAATGTGTTCCGCGACCTTATTGCAACCTTTTTTGCAAGGTTAGCGTCTGCATGCGACTGCTGGTACCCAAAGGCAGTCGGAGGGCATGGAAGTTTAGTCCCCCATGGAATGAGCAGCCCAGCACCCAAATGTTCCTGGCACCAGAGCAGTTTTTGCTCTAAGGCAACCCATGTTGCCTGAATATCACGGTGGAGAACATGTTTTCCCTGTGAATCCACCTCTGTGAGGAGCAAGAACCTGGAGTGGTTGAGGCACCCAAAGATCAGCCCATCGAAGGCAGGATTCAAAGGTATAAGAGGAAACCATGGACGAGCTCCATACGCCCAACGAGTAGAGAGCAGACTATCACTATCGTCAGGAGAAGAATTGTAGTCGTCGCGAGGGTTCCAAAGAGGCTTGTAAGGAATAATATCGGGAAGCGAGTCTGCAGTGAGAGAGGTATAGACCTGCCCATCACACACAAAGACATGGAGATTGTTACTCATGGAAGAGTAGACTACTGCAATGGTACAAACCATTACGTTAGAGTCGAGAGATATATCAGAAGAGCTACCGCAACAGTACAAACCATTGTGTTAGACGTTAGAGATGCAAGAATGACAGGTGGGAACGCATCTATATAGCAGTGGTGGAGTTTCAGCGAGTGATTACCATATCGGTGGCAACAATGAGATCATAGGTGTGAAATGTGGACTACAACAAAAAAAAACACTGTAGGGGTAAGCTTTAAGTGAGACACAACTGGGTTCAATACAAGAACTACTCAAACAAGGAAATATAACTTGGTGTGGATGGCATTATGGACTAAGATGCTGAGGATACCCCAAGAGTGACGGTGTATGTAGTCCTGAAGGACTGACCAATTTCAAGTAAGAAGGGAAAACATCATAATGACTCGCCTTCTTGGTGCAGTTTCTGCCCAGGTTGTTTCTGCGAAGGCAGTCCCATGAAAGACGAGGGCAAGGATATTAAAGCTATGATCAATTATGCAAGGACGTAAAACCCATGATCAATATAAGAGAAAACATCATAACGACTCACTTCATCGGCCAGTGCAGTTTCTGCAACAAGTTATTTCTGCAATAGGTGGTCCTATGATCGGGCCAAGGATGTCAAACCCATGATCAAGTATGGGAGACTAGGGAAAGGATAACGACTCACTTCATTGGCCGGTGCAGTTTCTGCACAAGTTATTTCTGCGATAGGTGGTGCTAGTCAATAACTAGGTGTCAGGTCGGCAGAGGACGAAATATGAAGGAGTGACTTGGAGTTGGGATGTTGGCGATGGCGACGAAATTAGAGAACACCGGGCACGACCGTACATACAGTCGTACCCTGGGAGAAGGTCATGGAAGGACCACGGGCGTCGAGCCGGGGAGTGACTCGGAGTTGGGACGTTGGCGATGGCAACGAAATTAGAGAACACCGGGCACAACCATATATACAGTCATGCCCTGGTCATTCATTGTCAACAAGGATGACAGGCTCGGCGGTGACAACAGCCAAGCCTGGTGGTGATAAAAGTACGATAGGCATGACCATACATACAGTCATGCCCTTAGGGGAGGATGGCCATTTTTTTGATGAGGAGAATAATAAGGATATGAGTTTGATATAAGTTAATGTTTCATAAGGAAGAAAGACTTAGAACTTTGGCAACGAAAGAGCACAACAGTCACAAATAACAATATTCCCATATTAGGACATTGTTACATAATATTGTTCTCAGCATTGCAAGCTTCAGAATCACTGCCAAGTTCCAACCACCAAGACTCGGAGCTCGACGGTTTGTACTGTCGAGCTCATCGAACTCATCGTTTTCCTATCTTTTTTCCCATGTTTGGAGCACGATGGTATGTACTGTCATGTCTCCTGCATGGGAATACTGTCTACCTTGCCAAATTTTTGCTGATGCAGCGATCCTTTGGATCCAATCTGAGGTCCATCCATCCATCCTCTACGTCAGGCAAGCAATAATCCCACCATTAGCAAATCCAACCGCTAACAAATCCAGCAGTCAACACCCTTCATCCCCTCCACCATTGGTCAACACCCATCACCCCTCCACCATATGTACAGTGGAGGGGCAATGGCTAATCTCTCGTCGACCTCCCATCGAGTTCCTCCACTTTCACTGACTGCAATCCTTTGGCTCATGCAAGCCCGTTTGTCACATCAGGTAAGCAATCCAATTGTCAACAAATCCAACCATCGACCAACCGTTAAAAAATCCAGTCATCAACATCTGTCATCCCCTCCACCATACATACAGTGGAGGGGACATGACTTATTGACTTAATCGTAGATTCATCTGCCAAATCCAATGGTGGGCACAATGCCAAAATAAGTTATGTTCAGCTAGCGTGCTATCTTTTACTGGACGAGAGATAGGTTCTTCGTCCATTCATCTCCTTTCACTGCCTGCGGAGTATCGTGCTTGCCCTCATCTTCATTGATTCCACCTGCTTCTTGAGCTATCTCCATGAGCTTCACTGCTAATTCCCGGAGCATCCTAATATCATTTTTGATGTATCCTTCAGTCAGCCCTTCCTTATTGTCCTCGACATCTACATACTCGCCAAACTTCATTGCTGCTTTGATATGCTGTGAAAACTCATTGGCCACATTATTCATCGTCGCTGAAGTCATGTACCCATGCACGTGGTTCACTGCGCTGTCCTGGAGGTGCGTTAGTTATATTCCTGCTGACCAAATGAATACTTACCAAAAAGCTGTCTCTATAATTTATCAGCAGGAAGACGCTCATGGATAGCAGTGCCAGTAGTTGTATCAGCATCATCAGTTTGCGCAACAGGGACCAGTAATTATCTGAAGGCGCCTTGGACCGTGGAGATCATGCGTCTAAACCAGTTCAGCAACATTCTTTCCAATCAGTCTTAACGCTTACGGATATTGTTTGCACAAGGCCAACATCTGTGTCTGCGTGGTGGAGGGTTTTGAGTATCTGCCCTGTCTTCCGATCGAACACATATACCAATCCATTGTCACTTCCCCCCACAACTACCTTTCCTTCTTCCCCAAATGCCACTTGCTTGGGGACTGACATGCTTGGCACAGCAGTTGCAAACGTTCGAACAGGCTCACTATCGCCTTCAAGGCGATACAATGTAAAGCTGTCCGTCGCATTATCCATGACAAAAATGCCCTGCTTTGAGTGCACCACAGCATGACCACTGGATAATGTCAGCAACACGCGGGTCAAGAGTGGTGGTCCTCACATCACTGATTTGCAGCTCGTTTCCTGCAATACAACACCATCTTCATTCTTCAGTTTTATGCTGTTGGGGGCTTAGTATCAGGCGATGAAAATCCTGGAGTGGAGGGACTGACAAGTTGCCATTGTAGAGCCCGAAGACATAGATATCTCAGTTATCTGCGAATGCCACAGACTTGGGTACCGTATTTTCAAGTTGCACTGTGAAGACGGACTGGAGCTGCGAGCTTGTGTTGAGCATCAGAACCTGAACCATCTTGTCTCTCATCCCCACAGCAATCCATAGGTTGCCTTCGGAGGAAGTCGAATGCCAGGACAAGCATGTACTCTCAAAACCTGATCCAAGTCTCCTGGCACAAATCTCCTGGAATGTTTTCTGCTGATGTCAATGGACGGTCGAGTGGGAACCCTGGGCACTTACATTTGTGAGACTGCATTGCAAAAATATGATGTAACCCAGGCCTGTTCTGTAACAGAGGGTTTCTGCCGTGGTTTTCCTGGTCGTGGTCCAGATTGTGCAACTGACTGTTCCCCGGGATTCATGATGATGAGACGAAGATGTGAGTTCTTTCCGAGATTTTATATCCCAGAGTTTGATGCCCTCGGTACCTGCTTGTTTGTTAGCGCTGTCTATGGTTGAGTGTCTGCTTTATTACCACCGCATGCAAGTAGGTGCCCATCATTAGAGATCACAAGTGCATAGACAGAGCCACTGTGGGCAGTTAGACGAGCGAGCAGCTTGTAACGCTGTGGCTGCGCTGATTTGTTGAAAAATGTAGCAAGGAAAGACATTGTAATATGATCTGCTGTAGTTGCCCACTCACAGCGTATTTATTAGCATTGCACATTTGTTTTCGAATACTTTTGTATCTGTTTGATTCCATGGTAACTTATAGTCTTGATGCCTTTCAATGTTCCCCTCAATAAGTCTTATTGTTCATAATAGTTATTGTGCTTCGACGGTTACCATTTATCATGTAGCCCTTATTGTTTTCACCCAATATGGTAGTCTGTTGAGTGCTTTTGCTTCCCTTGAATCATCCCTTAAGTTCAACGTAGTTATTCGGTCCCTTCCTATCACTCTATCATGCACAATACGTCTACATCTACAGTTGTTCCTCCTTTCTATGACCTGGAGACTGGTGCACCACCGCCCTTTCCCCCAATGCTCACAGACCAGCTGGAGCTCTTTGACCATGTTGATCGTCGCCCAACTACACTTATTGCCGATGAAGTCCTGGTTCCTAAAGCCAGTATCATTCCCACTGCAAGGGCATCGTCGTCCACACCCGCCCCTGAGTTCAAACTCGCAAAGCGGATTTTCAAGCAATCTGATCACTCTTCCTCACCATACCTAAAGAAGGTCACGTTCCCGCATTCCCGTTCTCAAACACCTGTGCCCTCAGATTCTGCAGGCTCCTCTTTGGATTCTTTATCAGATAGCGACTCCTCCTCAACTTCAGGTGTGAGTTTATCGGAAGACTCGAAGATTCCTAAACCTGCCGGTGAACCTGGGTGCCCAGGGCATGGGGGGTACACACTTTATGAAGCTTTGGATTGGAATCCAAAGATGTATGCAAAATTCAAGGTTCACTAAGTATTGTTGTACCCATTGTAAAGTAACTCACAAATCCCTCAGAAAAATGTGCATAACTTCATCGAGGACCACCTTGACACGACAAAATGCGATTCTGCCCAAAGTCCTGTGCTGTTGAAAGTTGTGCACGACAAGGTGAACAGCCTCTATCGGTCTCGTTGTCAATGAACTCATGACATCTCAGGCTCTCGACGATTTCCCAGACCTTGAAAATTATAGCAACTTATGGCCAGTCAATGATTTGATTATGATGCGCCTGAAATACACGTTGGGTCATGCTAGACGAAAGGAGGGAGAAATGTCTGTGGGCAAGAAGAGGAGCAAGAAGTGATACCCCCACTGCACTAGATACCCCCATCCTTTACCAGTCATGTCATTTGTCTGAATCCTAGCTCTGACTGTTTGTATTGAGCCATGCGTGATATCTTCGCAATTTAATGCACGCACACGACTACGAAGTGCTCTGTCTGTTCTGAAAATCCACAGCAATCCAAGATGTCCAGAAGGCCCATTTTGAAAGTGTCACCCTGGAATTGATGTGAGTGAAGGTGAATACAAATTTAGGACTATTTCGCGCACCCTTAGCTTGAAAATTGCAATAATATTATGTTCACAGTCCAGCTGAGAAATTCTGGTAATAGTGTAACAATACATTCATAGTCCAGATACTAATGCATTCGCAGTCCAGAAATTATGCTACTCCACACCTCGCAGCCAATTGGCAACTGATGCAAGTGCTCAAGGGTTTTACAAGAGTAAGATAGTGCGGGAGCCTAGCTCTTGGACGACCACTTATCCTCTGCGCAAAGCTGAAAGATAGTTAAGGTAGGCTCAGTCAATTGTGGAGTTGACTATTACTCACCGGTGAATTATGAAGTCAGCAAGCGCGTTGTCTCTGCCTCGCATGTTCACAACGGAAGGATTGTTGACACCAATCCTCATAACAACTGCATCGCCTCAGAACTTACGATCGCCACTACTAAGAAGCAGGTTGTCTCTAAGACGAAGATGCCGTTTGAAGAATATGCAGAATTGATAGATGTGTCTCCCTTCATGCACAGTCACAAAACAGTTGTGGATATAAGGCTGCATGGTAGCTTCCTCGAAGAGACTTTCAGGAACAGGAAAGCGCTGAGCAGTACACGAGTAACCAGAGCACCGCGTCAACATAGTGGCCTGATGGGGTCTGGTCCACAATGTCGAATATAGCCTGCACCGCAGGTGAAGTTCCAGGGTCTGTTTGAAGGTCAAAAAAGGGTGCGAGCAAGTGGCTGATGACTTACAGATGATGTAGGAAGGATATATGTGTGAGAGTTCACCATGCTGATTATATTTTGATCAAGACAAGAATGTAAGACGTGGGCGATGAAAGCGGGCTGTAGTAACGGTCCAACTTTTTAAACTTTGCATGCCAAATCAAAGACAATAACCATATTAGAGTCTACTTTGGGGACACAGTTGCCGGCAACAGCGGGGAGCCAAATGAGCCAAACCAAATCGGTAATGAAGAATGACAATAAGAATCTGTACTGTTAATCCTGCAGCGCTGGTTGCCAAGGGTAATTGTATGGTGTGGGTACAACAAGTGCAGCGGAGAGAAATCGATCTACTACACAGTTGGGTCTTTGCTGCCTACTGCCTCGCTTGAGAACAAGCACGCTCGACCCTAAAGGGGATTGCTACTGGGGAGTGTTAATCTCTGTCTAAGCGACCCTATTCAACCCTACCGCAAGTAGGATGAGGATCCGCAAAAATGCGGAACAAGCGGAACTCGCGCAGAACAAGCGGAACCCGAGCGGAACTCAAGCGGAATGGAAAGGAACTCAAACGGATAAAGCGCGGAACGTACTGATTCGTCGGAACTCGCAGGCGAAGTCGAAGGAAGTATATCACAAGGTTAGATTGATAGTGGGCATAAGTCAAAGCGGTCCTCTAGTAAGGTGAAGGAAAAGTGGGAAGGTAAAAGATGGGATTCGATAAAAAATCCCCAAGCCCCAAGTACCACTACTTAAAGGGAAGTTTATTTTTAAGGAACACTGAGGTACAGGTAGTAAGTCTCTCAGGAAGCGGAAGTGAAGGCAGGCAGTGCACATCGGCGCAATACTCCGGAATAGGGGTCCGTGCCATAAGGGCATGTGTCAGTTTGATCCAGATAACGTTAGGAACAGCGGGAAGAGGGATACAGCGTGCCAATGGACCTGGAAGGATGGGGACAGGACATGCGAAGGTTGTCCAATGATGCGCGGGAATATCGGATAGTGCGGGTGGGTTCCGAAGGATGTGCAGGAATGCGGAACCCATCGGACAATGCGCGGGAAACATGGAATGTGCGGAATACACGGAACTGATGTGAGATGATGCGGAAAGGACGGGGTTTTACACCTACAGTGGGGGAATTCCCCACAACAGGGGAATTGAGCAATGAGATAATTGAAAGTGATTGGGCGAGATGGACTTGTTCATGCAAAAAGACAACTAGAAGAATAAACACAAAACACTTGCATGACTTAAGAAGACTCAGGAGAGCAAGAGCCACCACAATCTCAGCCGGACAATGCCATGTCTGCAATGGAGAACACGGTCTCCAGAGGAGTAGAGGCGGCACTCAGATGCATCTTCATCAATAAGGGTCTCCCAATGTCCACAAAGTGTAGTCCTCGAAGGAAAAGGATGCAGGATGATGAAGTTAGGATGGAAAGGGCCACAGAATTGAGTCACGAAAGACACTTCCTTCTTGTGAGAGCTAAAACTCGACATATGTGCTCATACTGAGCATGGAACAGGGTGAAGTCTGGCGTCTCCTCAAAGATATCTTCAGCATATCTCAAGATGCAGATTTTATCATGCATCAGCCAGCCATCCGTGAAGATGTGTACTCATACGAGTATGAAGATGGACCAGGCCCTGACACCCAGAACCTCGCCTTCAATCTCACACATGGATCTAACACCCCTTGGAATGCAAGAATCCTCGATATGCTACTTAAAGAATTGCAAAGGAGGAATGTGGAAGAGCAGTGGCCGTTCCAAAGGTCAGATGGGTATTATAAAGTGATTCTTGAGGATCGCTATAAGCGGCTGTGGACGGCCTGGAGAGCAGCACAACCAAAGGTCACAGCAAAGGGCATCTTGGAAACTGCAGCAGAGGTGGAGGAGAGGTTGATCACAAAGAGAGGCAAAAATCTGAAGTCGGTTTGTCAAACAACTTGTCAGCGGAATGTATGTCCATGACACAATCATGAGGCTTTCGGATACATACTAATGCATCCACAGAAATACATTCGCAGAGCAAAAATGCTTGAGCATATCATCAAGCTGAAGGACGATGAGGATGATGACCTACCAGCTTGGATGTGGCTTCAAAAACTAATCAAGACACTGGGAGATGGTGGCATGAGTTCAGAAGAAAGCAACGTGGAAAACAACGTACAATGTGTACTCCGAGTGAAGAACATGGCATGGCGTCATGGGATAGAGTGAGAACTGAATGTCATCGACAATCAGAGAGTGTTGGACGATGATGTTTTCGCGCCGCAGGGTTCCAAACCAATGAAAAGGATACACGTGCCTGGTAACTCGACAACTGTACATAGCCTGGTCATTGGATTACCGAAGGCCCTATACAACGGCGAATGGTTTGATGGTCTTACTGGGGGGCAGGTGGAGAGGTTGAATGTTTCAAACAAGATGTTCCAATGGATGAAAGTTGTGGTAGCATAGTATATGTGGTGTAGAGTAGGGTTGAATAGATGGAGTGAGTGACATGCGCCACAGGAATGTACAATAAGCCATTGCCCCCTTCACTGTATGTACGGTGGAGGGGTGACGGGTGTTGACCAACGGTGGAGGGGATGAAGGGTGTTGACCGCTGGATTTGTTAATGTTTGGATTTGTTAGCGGTTGGATTTGCTAATGGTGGGATTATTGCTTGCCTGACGTAGAGGATGGATGGATGGGCCTCAGATTGGATCCAAAGGATCGCTGCATCAGCAAAAATTTGGCAAGGTAGACAGTATTCCCATGCAGGAGACATGACAGTACATACCATCGTGCTCCAAACATGGGAAAAAAGATAGGAAAACGATGAGTTCGATGAGCTTGACAGTACAAACCGTCGAGCTCCGAGTCTTGGTGGTTGGAACTTGGCAGTGATTCTGAAGCTTGCAATGCTGAGAACAATATTATGTAACAATGTCCTAATATGGGAATATTGTTATTTGTGACTGTTGTGCTCTTTCGTTGCCAAAGTTCTAAGTCTTTCTTCCTTATGAAACATTAACTTATATCAAACTCATATCCTTATTATTCTCCTCATCAAAAAAATGGCCATCCTCCCCTAAGGGCATGACTGTATGTATGGTCATGCCTATCGTACTTTTATCGCCACCAGGCTTGGCTGTTGTCACCGCCGAGCCTGTCATCCTTGTCGACAATGAATGACCAGGGCATGACTGTATATATGGTTGTGCCCGGTGTTCTCTAATTTCGTTGCCATCGCCAACATCCCAACTCCGAGTCACTCCCCAGCTCAACGCCTGTGGTCCTTCCATGACCTTCTCCCAGGGTACGACTGTATGTACGGTCGTGCCCAGTGTTCTCTAATTTCGTCACCATCGCCAACGTCCCAACTCCAAGTCACTCCTCACCTTGACGTTTGTGGTAGCCTGTCGCCTCTTCCCCACAGTTTCGCCATATGTTTTCGTACTAGGCTTATTTCTGCGATTGCAACACTTTGTTGTATTCCACCGATCATTGTTCTTGTTGTTTCATTACTAGACATTGCAAGTTGTTTCTTCTGTTGTTGTTTTTTGTCTAACTTAAAAGCTTGCCTGTGCAGGTGGTTCTGGCTCTCCAACACTACGACTCTCACTCCCTGTCCCTTTCATAGAAACGACGGTACATACTGTCATTGCTATTGATCACTCTTATCATCACCCCCACTCTTGATGCCTGTGTCCCGCACAGTGTATAAACGGTGCATCTGTGAGGAATGCATCGAAACCGGCGATCGTGCTGATGATGGCACACCTAAGGGGGTGCTCATCGCAGAACACCTTATGGCCGCCCATCTACAACATATCCAAGCAGAACATGCTGTGCTTGTTCATGCTGCTGGATCTGATCGCAGGAATGATGGCGCGGATTTTGTAGCCTCACAGCTCCGCACACTCACCCTTACCAACAACGAACTGCTTGTTGCTCCACATATGCCTGGGCATCCAGAGCACCCCAACCCCACTCTACCAGTATCTATTCTAGCTCTGGTAGATGATCTTGAGCGACTCACATTGTTGGATCCTTTCATTGCACAAGAACCCAGTGTCGCAACTGCTGATCGTTGCGACGTCTCCAAAAAGATCAGACACCAGCCAACCGTGAAGGCCTTCGCAGTCCTCAATAACGTCAAGTTCTGTGTTCAGCAGTGCTTTCGCTTCTTGCTTGCTGGTAATTTCGATCATGTTGGTCGCGAGCTACCAGTGCTTCGCAAAGCTGTGGAGAACCTCAAACAACATGCAGACATTGTGGTTGCGCAGAAGAAGGCAATCATGCTGGAGATGGATGGCTTGGAAGCCCAGTTCAATAGTCACAAGCTGCCCGAAATGGACTTGCATACAGCGGTCGAATTCGATGCCGGTAAGAGTTGACTATCTTCGTCATGATCGTGTTCTAACAGTCAATAGATATTCACCATGAATCTCCGCTGACTCAGTATGACGAAATCGCACAGGTCGCCTTATTCATCGGCATGATGTGTAAAGTCGTCATGGGAGTCAGTAGGTGAGGCTGTGATTTCATCTTGGGACTTATCTCAATCCTGCTACTCCTTGCATTCCGGAGATTGGATGGTAGCCTCAGCTATCCCCATCAAAATGTGCTTAGACAAATTCCAATAACTTTTGAAACTGCACTCTCAAATTTCCATCTCACCGAGAAAACTGTCATCTACACAGTCTGCTCCAGTTGTCACTGCACTTACAGCCCACATTATGCAGACGGCTCAACTGTTCCTACATATCCTGAACGTTGCACACACCAACCCATGCCAGAGGCTGAATGTGGCGAGTCATTGCTTGACCATGGCCGTGATGGAGTACTCCGGCCAAAGAAGACATTTGTCTACCACGGTTTCAAGGACTACCTTGCTGGTCTCCTCTCCTGTGCAGATATCGAGGCAGTGATGGATCAGGCCTGCGACAATTTGCAGGACTCAATTAGTTCTCCCCATCCGCCTTTGATGAAACACGCATTCAAAGCTAAATTTCTCCGTCAGTTTGGTGGCCCAAAGCCAGGTTCACTTTTTATCGATAGAGGAGACGAAGGATGCTACACTTTTGCTCTTCACATGGACTTCTTCAATCCTGAAGGTATGAATTTGTGTGGTGCTAGGAAATCCTCTGGAATCATCTTGATGGCATGCTTGAATCTACCATTGGATATCAGGTACAAACCCGAAAACATGTATCTTGCAGGGATCATCCCGGGTCCGAAACAACCGTCCCTTGAGCATCTCAATCACTACATCCGGCCACTCATCAATGACATGGTAGATTCATGGGAGTGCAGTATCAAATTTTCCAAGACTGCTTGTTTTCCTACCGGCTGGCTCACTCACAGCGCTGTTGCTCTGGCTGTTTGTGATCTTCCTGCCGCTTGTCATCTTGCCTCTTTAGCTGGAACCGGCAGTCACTTCTATTGTAGCGCATGCAATTGCTACCACAAGACTACCTACAGTAGAGTGGACTTTGAAAGTTGGGAACCTCGTGATAAAGATGAACTCTGGAAGTTTACTGAGCAGTGGAGGGACGCTGCGACGACCTCAGAACGAGAGAAAATATTCAAAGCTGATGGAGTGCGCTATTCAGAGATGTGGCATTTACCATACTGGGACCCCTCACATCAGCTTGTTGTCGACCCGATGCACTGCATATTGGAAGGTTTAGTTCAGCATCACTCCCGTAGCCTTCTCGGTTTGACTATGGCGACCACTTCATCGACTTCATCCCCTCCAGCCTTTTTGTGTGACTTAGACGAGATGCCTCCGGGGATGACTTCCAAGGAATTAACTCAGGTCGCTGCTATATGCACCCTTCTGGTTTCCCAGTTGCCTTCCGATGACGAAAACCTGGAAAAGTTGAAAAAATCTCTGTCTCCCAAGAATACAGGACCCCTCAAGTTTGTTTGCGAGGCCTTGCAATGCATTCCCCAGAAATCTAGTAGATTGTTCAAAATTGACTATGTCAAAGCTCTCGTGGAATGGGTAAGTTCTTAATGTGCCGCTCCCTGTTTACGAGTTTCCAATGTTTGTTCTTAGCGCCGTGGAAAACCTTTTACTGCTCCGCAGAAGGAACATGGGTTCAATTCTCTAGATGCACTCAATCGTGTTTGAGACATCATCCAGGAGATAACCGTTCCATCTTGGTTTACTTCGGCCCCAAGTGATTTTGGAAGTGCATCTGCCAGGACAATGAAAGTGGACGAGTGGCACTCCCTAATCACCGTCTACATTCCCATTGCCCTTGTGAGCTTGTGGGGGGCTGGCACTTCGCATCCTTTTGATGAAATCAGGACCCACCTTAGAGCTATTCTCGACCACACTATGGAACTTGTTTGTGCAGTTTATCTCGTGTGTGCCCGAACAACCTCTGCAGAGAGAGCACATGCGTATCGCTCCCACATTGCATGTTATGTTGGAAATTTGAAGAAGATACACCCCACCTTTGCTTTGCATCCGAATCACCATGCTGCCTTCCACATATACGACTTTCTACTTCTATTTGGCCCTGCCCACTCTTGGTGGTGCTTTCCATTTGAACATTTAATCGGAATACTTCAGCGTCTTCCAGTAAATGACAAGACTGGTGGGTCTTTACAGAGCACTAGTTAGTAGCAAAACTGATTTTTTTTCAAGGTGAGTTGGAAAATACCATATTGTATTCTTTTATCAAAACTTCAAAACTTCGCTGTTGGCTAAGTCGACTGGATTGTCCACCAGCTATTCAAGAGTGCAAAGTTCTGTTTGACAATATGTATGCTGCCAAGAGCGCTACAAGTCTCGGTGAAGAACTTGTCAAGGATCCTTTGGACAACAGTGTACAGGCTTCTTCCTCTGCTAGAGCTGTTGCTGTACCTGAAGACTTGTATGCGCTCATCAAACGACGCACAGCCATATTACGCACACGACTAAAATTCAATGGTCTTATCTACAGCAGGGCCTCTACTCATGTCGGGAATAGTCAAGTTTTTTTTTATCCTCGGGGTGACCGACTATCATCTCCTATCCCTGGCAGCATTCCACATATCTATGCCATGCCCGCAGGTGAACTTGTGTTTGCTGTACACAGACTCGTCCCACTGGATCATCATGATCAGACCGTCAATCCATTTGCTATGTATCTGTTATGCGAAACCTCTCAGATGAGATCTGGTGGCACTAAACCCGCAAGGGGCATTTGAAGCGTGGCCTTCGGCGCTAGCCCAGCAAGGAGCTTTTCTGCGCTAAGTCTAAGTAAGGGTTGAAGCCCTTACTTGTGTAGAGTCGATTGGAGTTTCTCGAGGATACGATCCAAGAGACAGAGTTCTTCTCAAGAGTATTGTCTCAAGAGAATATGGTTCTGTGTACAGAGGGAGTTCTCTTTTAGACAAGAGAAGTTCAGACCCAACGACAAGATCAGATGAGAACCGAGTAGATTCAAGTTAGAGAATCTATCTACTGTACAAGTGATATATATACGTAAAGGTGATATACCGGTGGAACAGTAAGGGTACAGGGTAAGCGGAGGCAATACTGAGTTAGTGGTAAGGGCGAAGGGTTGTGTGAGTCATAAGTATAAATAGGTAAGAGTACCGGTTGAGCGGTAAGGGCAAAGGGCATGGGAAATCCCCATCAATGAGGGAACCGAGACAGTGGGAAGGGCATAGGGTTCGGTAGAAGCCGAGGCTCCTCTGATCTATGGGTAGAAGCGAGAGCTTCTCGCATTTCAGAACAACGGGATCAAAAGAGGAGATGAAAATAGAATAGTCGTAACCATGGTCTAGGTCTAGACGAGTCCGAAGAATGAAATGACGTGTAACGCTCATGTTACTGTAACAGTATCCTCCTTTCCCCGCAAAAATGTACTCATCAAGCTTCAGTAGTCACTTGGAAAATGTCAAGGTATCCTGGGTTGTTGGTCACTTTGCTTGATGGGCGGTTTCAAGTGATACTGTAGTCATACTATCTCTATCTTGTGATTGATCTTCAGTTCACTCTGTATATACAAGCAATCAGACTCCCTACTCTCGTTCCTAACTCCTAATGTTTCATAATTCTTAAATGGAGAGAATCATCTACTCATGAGTGGGCGAATTGTATATAGATCATCGTGAGCGGGCAGTCAGCGGGCGATGAGTGGGCAATCGTCGGGCGATCTATTTTATCTGGAGATAAAACTTGATGTTTTATCTTCACATTTATCCTCAGGGGATATTTAAAATTTTGACGCCTGTCTAAGTGGTGGTCTAAACTTCATACATGAGCAGGCATTCAGTCACATGCAATGGTTGAAGTTTTTTCGAGTATTAAATGTGAAGTTTCTTTTTGAAGTTTAGGCCAGCATTAAATATACATTTATATTTCTTATTGTCATTAACGTTCGGCCGGCAACAAAATGTTTGCTAATGCTTTATATTTATCATGTTGTGCAAGATCTCGTTAATATTTGAAATTTCACTCCTGCTTAGATGACAACATAAATTTTAAGTATTATCTTGACATTTCGCACAACATTCAAACCTGTCTTAAATATTGCAAACCCCGATGTGACAGTGATAGATCATTGGGGTTCATTCATTTTCGTTCAGGATTGTGTCATGTGATGCAAGCATGCTGAAGGAGTGATGATGACACCTGACGCAGACACATGGTGCATTTGATGGAGGAGCAGAGTTTGATGGAATGCACATGTAGGACAAGTATGGTACTTGTGTGGTTTGATCGTAGGGATAGCAGTACACCGGTACTGAAGAGATTACTCTTGGGTAGGAAAGAGAGAAACCAAAAAAATAATCTGGTTTCTCAGAAATTACCAATAAGACCACACAGGAAATCTATAAAGACCTTCGCGCCAAGGAGGTAACCACATTCAAACTCCTTGAATTCATCCACCTAGCTATATCATCATGCACACCGTAAGCCTTGCCATTGCATTTTCGTCATCTTGATCATTTCGCAGGTTGCTCAAGTCCCTGTTTCCCAGAACAACTGCAGTTCGGCCAGCTGCTCGTGCGGCAAATCGTGAGACATACTGCCTTTGAACGAAGTTGGATTTCTGGTCTGATTCATGACTTTATGCACAAATGCCAATGCAAGGCCGGAGAGTGCAAGTGCTGAGCACTGAACACTGAGTGTTTGAGGGGACGTGTAGTTATAGGGTTGTTTATGAAGGGTCAACTGTATGATTTGGACGTTAACATGCATGTGGTTGGATTCTGAAATTTCATCAGAGGACGCTCACCGTGTCAGAACAATGGCAAGCCATCGGACTAGGTAACTGGGTTTGAATTTGGATTCTCCAGCGAGTTAGTCCAATTTGCGTCGGTGAGTTATGTTGTCTGAAACCACTCTGCGATCACTGTGCCTAGTGGCTATGGAAAAACTAGTACTATCGTCAACAGCTCGCCCTTGATTTTACTCCAACTCATTTTCACAACCTACCTCTTAGACTTGTCACTCCAGATCCAGACTTCCGCATCTTTGAACAAGATCTACGTAACACCTCCCCAGCTGGTGAGCTGTCAAGATGCTCATCTGCAGCCTTGGGACCAACGTGATTTGAAGGTGTTTATGGATCTGGGGCCCTGTGATGTCTCGCAAGCAGGTCAGCAACTTGACTGTGAGTCGCACAACTAGGGTTTGGGGGTGCAGCAACTACCGCAGGACTTGAGGCTGGAGTTTAATAGCAGTATTCATTTCTGCTAACAGAATGTCGCGACCGTCTTATTAAGAAACCTTGAATGAGACGCCGCCGAATTGAGAATACCACTATCACAAAAAGTTGGGCTTCCTGAACGGCCATGAGGCGCTACATGTGCAATAATCTGAGTTGTCTTCCCTGTCATGTTCATTTCCATGTTCACATACTATAGGGATGGGTTGTATACCCGCCAGACATCACTAATCAATTATAGATCACACACAATGAGCAGAGCATTCCAATGCATTCCTGCCTGAGTCCCTCGGCCCACTCCAAATGAGCATAGTAGAGATGGTGGAGGGCACACAGGTGTACGACAAGCTCAAGATATGCTTATATATTGTGAATGGGTGGATGGGTGGTGGTAAGTACATTCTATGGTCCTGCACGACGAAACATACAGCCTGAGCGGTTCACGCGCAGGGAGGAAGTTGAATGCAGAATTGCACTTGCACTGCGCCATATGAGATGACACTTGAATGATATTGCAAGGTTAGGCTCATCATCAAAATTACCCAAATCAGACACCACGTGATATGTGGCAAATTTTAATATGTGTGCGATACGCATCAGCTATTGTAAGATACACCAGCGATGTTGGCGTGTCAGCATGACATGTGTCTGTCAGACTCACTGTCGGATAGATACCACCCTATCTGTAGTGTACCTGTCAGACATCTGCTAGATAATAAGATGTATTGTAGTAGCATATATGCAGTACATTCATTGCTACTTGTGATCATAATTAAAAGTGCCTAAAGAGCACCATAGCCTTCTTCAATGAGTATGTCGTCATCGAGCACCTCACTGTACTCAGCTATTATCCTGTCCTCATCATCATCCTCATCCTCGTCATCGTCCTCATCATCGTCCTCATCCTTGTCATCACCATTATCACCATCCTCATCCTCATCATTGTTCTCATCACCAGAATCACTCTCATCACCCTCTTCAACATCCCCCTCATCCAGTTCCTTGTCACTACCCTCTTCATCCTCCATTTCAATATCTTTGTCGGCTTCACTATCCAAGTCTTCGGCAACGTGTCCCTCGCACTGCAAAACATCATCCCACTCTCGCATGCCCTTGTGACCAATGGCACCACCTCGAAATCACATGAACATATCTCTGTCCACGAACCTAGTAAACAGTATATACATCATTAGTAGTTGGTAGACAGTGAGATGAAAAATATGCCTACATATTCACATAATAACAATACCAATCTGGGTCTTCCTCATGTCGTGCAATTGTTGGATTGAGAAGTTGTTTGGAACGGCTGTAAGCGAATCCCAGGATTATATGCACACCTCTAATGACACACTCCGGATCAAGAAATCCAAATGCATTGGGGCTTTCATCCTTGAAGAATTTAAGGCATTGGAGCCTCTTCGCACTGAACCCAGAGGGAATATTGTCGTGCTTGAACCATTGAACCAAGAGGAAATCCATACACTTTGGATGGGACCATATTGCACCCGGGGTTTCGTAGTATTCTACATTCACGTGGAAAATTTTGATGAGACGGGCATACCAGTAGGGATGGGTGCAATCGTCCTCATGTGACATGACCATGAGATCAGCACGGGTGCAGGGATTGATTGAGTCTTGCTTGTATCGAAGATCATAGGTAGTTTAGTTGATACAAAGGATGTTGTGTTCGCAGAGCTTGTTGTCCGCAATGAGAACCGAGTTTCGCTCTGTGTTGGTAAAGCCGTGCTCGTCACCTTCATATACAAGCCCTCGAAGACATGCATATAAGTGGTCTTTGAGACGAGGAATAAAGTTCTATTTCATATCATGAGATACAACTTTTAATATGAATGAGAAGCACATACCTTGACAGCTGGATCATCCCCAAGCTCACCCAACCATGCTGTGAGGTCATAAGTTGAATGCGCAGACTTCGCGATGTGGTAATGGTCAGAAGCTGAGGTCCGAACACGACAAGGTCTATTGGTACCCTGTTGGGCGGAAAATTGTGCCCGAGCGTTGATTACCTTTGTACAAAGTCATTCGATGGTATCTTGATTTGTGATGCTTGCATTTGTAGTTGCCTTTGTTTTCGAAGTGTGAGGGTAATGTCGCTTGAGACGCCGGTGCTGTAGTTCTCCCTGCACCACAATTAGATTAGTGTCGAGCATAAAAAAAAGTCTCACTGGTTGTGTACTATAGCTGTCTGTTGTTCCCCTCATCCGAATTGTATTCGGGTAGTCCCCAAGCACGTGAAATTTATAAGTCTGTATATTTAATTTCTTTACCTTGCGATGCAAAGCACCTCCTTGCTCCTTAGCTAATACGCCTTGCTTTGTGGCCAGTGCAGCTTGCTGATGCCCTTGAGCCACGTGTTCGTGAGGTAATTCTGTCATGTGGTAGTGTTCACAAGTCGTCTGTTTGAACTTTCGAACACTGTTGCCGAGAATGACTGTAGCTCCGTCGAAAAAGTTCAGAGTGTCTTCAGTGTGGAGATGGAGCCTTGCATAAGCTTGCCAAGTAGCGAGGTCAAACAGAAGGTCCAGGATGATGTTGTCGTGATGGTTGTCCAGGAGCAACCCTTCAAAGACTGGTATCGCACACTGAAATTAAAATCAGGTATGAAATCATATTTGAAATGAATTAAAACCCACCTGCAACAAATCTTCAAAACCTCGAGCTGCGAGGCACTTCATTGCAGAAGTGTTCTTGTGGACACAACGGATCGTACCCCTCCCGAACGTTGGAACATGACAGTACCTGTAGTAAATATGTAGTCAGTAATACGAAAAGCATGCTATCAAATGACACTATTGAATGACATACCTCCAGTTTAACTCTTGTATCGTGACACCCCCAGCAGCGTGCATGATGCGCAACAAATGAGTGAAGATAGCCTTCCACACACCAAGCTCGAATTCATGCAGCATGTCCACCACGAGCATTAGAAAGAGATTGAATCCAAAGGCAAAAAAATGATCCGAAAAGGTGTTCTGTATCCCATTAGCAACAATTTGAATATAATATGAAGTACTCACACATGTAGGGACAAGGGACTCGGAATTAAGGATAGATTTGACTCACTCACTGTCCACTGGCGCACCATGTTTGAAAATAAGTTTGTGTGCCTTTTCAATTTTGGTATGGCGAGCCTTGTCATCAACATGTTGGAGTGACATGCGATCGTGCATATCGCGTTCTGTACCCATCTCAGACATATCGGCCTTCTTGATAAGGCAGCGCGGGCATAGACATTGGCCAAGAAACTTGATACCAGCAAGCAAGACCCTGAAAAGACGTCAATCTAAGAAGCACGTGACTAAAAAAACTTACTTCTCTGGATAATCAGCCAAGTAGGTGAAAAAACGCGGAAACACCCTGCGAGTGATTCCATGCTCGTAAGCCTGCATAAAGTCGCCATCAAGAAGGAGCTTCCAGATTGCTTGCATAAGCTCCCGCTTGCAGTGTGTGTGCACTTCCGCCGAGGATGTGTCCCCAAAGGCCTGAATGTACAAATCTTGAAAATCATCCGGAATCTAAATGTTCCATCAATAAGGTGCAAGAGGTGCGAGAGATGCAAGGGATTCGAAAAAGACTTACCAAAGGAATGTATGCAACATGATGGCATGCGGAAGCTGTCGGTTTTCCATGTGTATATTTAGATTCATTACCAAAAAAATAGATAGAATGGCCAGAGTGATGCATCCCTGAAGTTGGAAAGGTGAGTCGAATCAGAATACATCATGAGTGATGCTACAACACGTTTGAGATCGTCATCTGCTGCATGGGGAAGGGAGTTAATCTCAGTGTGGGCCTCCAGCATCGCAGGGGAAGAATACGCCTCCGAAAAGACCTTGATACTTCGCTCGTCTGAGACTTTCCACATCTGACAAAATGGCATCATATGGAACGTTTACGCTGCACTGTCTTCAAAAACTTCTGTTATGATATTGAGCAAAGACCAATGGTGCATGCCTGGAATTTCGAGCTCGGGGGTGTCATCTTCGGATGGCCATTTCATTTTTTTCTTTCGGAAGGCGAATATAGACAGACGACTTCCACCCATTACTGGCACCGAAGGGATTGGATTCATCCTCAAGGTACCTTGCAACAAGCTTTTTCTCCCAAGTGACATTGAAATGGCATATGTCATTTCGGTTGTAAGCATCATCATCAAGGAAAGTAGTGAGTTGCTGCAAAGCAGCATCGGAAATCAAGTTGGGGTTGGAATATTGCCAGCACAGAAGTAGACCAGCAGTTGGCCTACTAAATGCAGAGTATAGGTTCTCAGGAGTGACAGACAACGGGAGGGGGGGACTGGTGAGTGGTCGAGAAGAGTCATCCCTCGGATATTCACCAGTCTGCAACATTGGTGCATCGCATACAGTATCAAGCGTAGTACCAGTCCACAGAAACAGAGTAGGATGAGCAGGATACACTCAGTACAATCCCATCACATCTGGTTCCATCTGAAAAGGGATTGGTTCATCACCGACAGAGTCTTCGGAAATGATCTGGTCATTGGCCCGAGCTACCTCTAAGCCATCAGGAACCTCTACGCCAGGAACAAAGTTGTCATATTGTTTGGGCATGTGAATGATGTGTCCAGAACGTTTGGAGCGCAGAGGAGCTGCACTTGGTTCAGGTAATGGCAGGGAACATGCAGGGGACTGGAAATGTAACTCGAGGCTTCAGTTGAGAGTGAAAAAAAATGAAAATCATACCTGCCAGTCGGCAACTGCATCACCCATATCTTGGGGGGGATCATCAATTTCTTGGGAGGGATATGCAATATTAGCTCCCCCCTCATCTTCATCCAAATACTCGTGGTGGTTGATTTTCCTCTTTTTCTGCTGACTCCTCTCAGCGTGCCGGTGAAATTTGCTGACCTGTTTGCTGAATTTGTTGTAAAGGTCGCACAGTGCTTCATGTGCGCTCAAGCTCTTCTGGCTGCTGAATGCCTTATCACAGCCAAGACAAACAAGTTCGTCCATGGCCAGGAAAATGGGGAGGGGGTGGCAGCAGCTTCAGACAGAAAGTGGGAGCAAAAGGTTATTGATTTCAACTGTATCTAGCTAATATACAAGCAGTACTACATCTGTGCATGGTTATATCAATGCCAGAGTAGCCAACGAGAATCACCAGAACACACCTCAGAATTCCTCTGCAGTCAGCATCAGAGTATCCTGCAAATCCCCAGAATATTCAGCTTCTCCGACACCAGGGTGCACGAAGAAGATTGTGCATATATCTTGGCAAGTGCCTTCTCCATCTCGGTGGATGGGGTGACAAAGGAAATGCTGCGTGCTTCATTGAGAAGCTCCTCAGCACGAGCGATGTGCTTTGTGAGCCCTCCTTGCTTGAAGAGGCTGATAAGATGGTCCAGCAGTTGTGCTTCAGAGTCTGTGACCTTTGTCTGAGTGGGCAGATTCAAAGAACTCAGGGAGGATATCAGGTGATGAAGTGCGCTGAATGATGGCTGGAGACAGCGCTGTGTGAATGAGCTGACCGCAAACACAGTGCCTGTGGAGTGAAATAAGCACTGTGTGTCCTATGCGATCATAGCAAAGAACATCACCTGCCAGTGCTCCAGATAATTGGGTCCAATTTGACATGAGGGTACCGCCCAGCCGCTGCAGTACACCTAATAACAACAGTCAAAATTGTGCATGTGTAAGAAAATGTCATTCACCATAGACCAACGTCGTGAACTGCTGGAAATACCTAGATGCTGGTTTGAACACCAGCCATAGTACTCCTGCGATGTGATTCAGACTGGAAACAACCACCAGAAATCATGAGAGTGCTCACTGTCAATGCGAAACACACACAAAATCATCAATATTAGCGTCTGAAATGGACACATGGGTGATATCAACGATGCCATCACAGTCAAGGAATAGAACAAGAACCCGAACACCATTGTTGAAATGACGACCCAGGCAATTGTTGGCTGCTTGTACCTTGATACGATCACTGTGTAGTAGCATATGAAGACCATCGGTCTGCGGACCTGAAGCTTGCCACTCTCACCGTCGGGGTGCAGTGTGGCACCATCAGCGGGATCAATGATGCGCATCTCGCATCCGTTGATGGGACATCCAAGATCAGGGAACTCATGAGCAGGCTCTGTTGCGAGGACATCGACAGGGTCATAAATGCATCCAGCACTGTAAACACTCGTGAGTTTAAGTTTCAATATGATTTAATTAGCCTTACCAAGTTTCTGTCATTTCAAATCCAGCAGAGATGATGAACGACACCGTGGAGGGGTTCTTGCTGAGCTTTTTCATTGTAGCAGCAAATGTTTGCGCAGTTTTGGAAACCGCCGCTTCACCTCCAGGACCTAGATGCACAAGATAACAGCGGATGGTCGTGGATCAGAGCCTAAGCTTCTGAAAGTGTCCCACTGAGGGGAGCCACACGTGGTGCTCGTACCAGCAGTTGGTACTAACTGAGGAACAAAAACAGGAAGTTCGAACTTGTGAATACTATTTTTCAAAGCCTGCCAGTAAATTCCCACACAACCGGCAAATGCTGGCTATTTCCCTTGTTGACACTTGCAGTTGACACATACACTTATCTCACTTTTTCTAATGCATGTCTCTAATCCTCATGAACCTCTCGACTTGTCCAGCTGAACCACCTTTTTTCATGACAATGTCGTCGTCATGGAGGTCGATAATCTTCTCACTGGATGGCCCACTTACACAATAAATTTCACACCTGAGTGTCCAGGACCACTGGTAAGTAATTTTGTTACTGCCTGAATTGCTCAATACAACTGATACATACATTATAGAAGCTTATTTTGCACTTGAAGGATGCATCAAAATTTTGATCAACCAAAGATGATGATAGTGAAGACAAGGCAGAGGGAGCGGGAGCAAGGAAGGAGGATGCAGATGTTACCATGGTCTGCAAGGCAATGTCCAAGTACATTTTTTTCCCTGTATATCTTGATTATTGCATTGACCCCAACTATAGGGATGCACCTCAGTGCTTCAGTGTGAAACCCGTGCAACTACACGGTATCCCTAAGGACCCTCCTTCAGTTGTCGCCTTATGGGAGAAGTTTGAGCAGGAGAACAGTTATACTTGGCCCCCTCGTCATGGCTTCAGGAAGATGTCTGCCGAAGTGCCACTCAATCATGTCAACGCATTCATGATACTACCCGCTGCTGTAGCAGCGTTAAAGTTAGACTAACTCCTGCAATTGTTTCTTGCACTCTATTGTTATTGTTATTGTATTACTGTACTTGCTGTCTCGCTTCGCATATGTCCTGCTTCATGCACTGTCATTATATCACTTCCCATGGACATTGTCTCTCAAATTACTTGCAGTCATACCATTAAATTGTATTTCTTGTTGTCGCAGTAAATTGCGCATTGAATTTAAAATCATGTGAAGTCCATAATCACATGACTTGCCCCAAAAAGATATGCCCCAATCTTCCCCTTAACCCTGTACCCCTCCTTTACCTTCAACCATTATGGCACGTCGGAGGCATTCCCCAAGTCCATCAGAATCATCAAGCTCATCCTCAAGTGAATCAGAGCACTCTCGACCCACTCGCAAGCATTCTACTAAGCAGAAGAAATCACATTCATCAAAGTCGGATGATGAGAAATGAAAGTAAGTCCTTACATATCCATCTTGAGCCCTTGCTTCTCACTGTTGATAGGCCAGACAAGAAAGAATCGAAATCAGATTTGCATGAAGAGTACCTTGCAGCTGCGCGCTGCATCACACGATGTGTTGACATGTTTTGCAAGATTGATAAGGTCATCGACATTGGCACCCTACTGAAACAATGCAAACTTGCCGATTCTGGAGACATATCTGAGGATGAGGATGAAGCAGCTCATCAAGAGAAGCAGTTATCAAAACTGTATGACTAGGAAGTATCCTACTGACACTGATGGACTAATTTTTCCCTCCTATAGATCTCAGAAAACACGGGATAGGTACCAGCAGAACTATAAGTGCTTACTAGAGCTTGCACCGGGCTTGAAACCTCTCATAGCCGGCTCAAAAGACCCGAAGAAAGCCTCGGAACTCAGGAGAATCATCCGAAAGGTAAGTATATGCGCATATATGCACCCATCAGTGCTTTCTAACTTGGATTTTAGATGGAATCTGCCATTTTGGGCACTCACTCAGATGACTCGACGCATTTGAAGATGCCAATTTGCGACTATGTGGCTCCAAATCCAGCAGACAAAGCCGTGGTGCCACCTCTCCATGATGGCAGTGGTCAATGCACACATTTGGGTGTAAACCACCCAGTCTTGGCCCGCTTTCTCTGCCCAATCGGTGAGATTGAAAATTTCAATGAGGACCCAACAATGTAAGGTTTATTTGTTTCTAAATGTGCTGCTAACTTTACTTTACTTTACTAGTACCATTGAATGGCTGCAAAGTGGCAAAATTCGCATGGAGGCAGACACCCTTCCAGCTTTTCTTTGGAATGGCGATCTGCCTGGAGGCAACTATGACCCGGACAACATGATGGACGGCTTTCTTGATGGCTTTGTCCTTGAGCGTGTGGGTATCGCTATCACTCCCTTATTTATGCTTCTCACATTATTCCCAGACCATGAGACACATATTCACCGGCCCTTCGACTGCATATGGTGCACAATCACGTGGGACACGTCCATCCAATGCTGCATTGCATGCTATGACTACTGTTGAACCACCACACATTGCTTATGGCTGTGTACAGGTTCGTCGTCACTGTCATCGCTCATAGCTCACATTGACGTCTCCCAGGTCCAATTTGGAATCAGCTCCAGAAATACATGGACCGAGGAGGACAGTGATTTTAATTACCATGACTTCTACCGCTACATCATTGAGCTTATCAATGACTTACCTGACAACGACAAGGAACAATTGTTGAAGGACTGGAACCTGTAAGCCATCCTTGTCATTTTTCATTGTACTAATATCATGTAAAAACAGCAAACTATTCAAGAATGAGGCTGAATGTGATGTGGCTAAAGACGGTGCTGATGAGTTTGGACCCTTGGGTGCTTGCAAGGGCGGCAGCGACTTGGCTTGCTTGCGCGCACAAATGGCAGCTTGCAATGCTGCGGCAAAAACTTGCGCTATGGACTCAGAGCACCCAGCTGCACCTCTACATCACCCATCGCCCACTCAAGAGAATTTGCCCCCTCCTTCAAGGACACCTCCACCTTCTTCACCGACTCGCAGGAGCCCGCATTGTCCCACACAGCCAAGTATATTTCCCACACAAGAGAACTCACTCCCTTGTCCAAGGACACCTCCACCTTCTTCACCGGCTCGCAGCATCCCACGATCACGCCCTATTGCATGTTCAACCAAGCCAGCTGTGTCAAGTCCATTGGCTACTCGGGAGAACTTACCAGCACCCCCTCCACCACCATCACCAGCTCCAGCTTCAGCTCCACATTGAGCATTGCCAGCAAAGACTTTATTGCAAGCCAATTGCAACACACCTGGCAGTGAACTGATGACCTCCGACGAGGAAGAAGAATCCCAGCCAAAGCCGAAGAAGTGAAAGGCGGCATCAGCAAAACATGGCAAGGGCAAGTCCAAGGCACCGGCAGTCAAGGCTTCAGATGATGAGTCTGATCTTCCAACGCATTCAACCAAGTGCAAGGCAGCCATTGCCATTAGATACTAGCCTGCTAAGAAGAAGCAGAAGAAATAATTGCCACCCTCGCATCTAGAACTCTCATTTGTGCTTTTTTTCCCCATTCCCATCATTCTCACACTGCATCCCTCATCGTCAACTTTCAATACCTTGTCCGCACTCTAATAACTTGTACTAGATGGAAGAGAATGAATATTGTGCTGTATCTGAAGGAGAAAAAAATGTCTGAATAAGTCTGAGTGGCACTCAATATCTTTATTAGTCTGCGTGATACAAAATATCTAAACTGTGACAACGATGTCAACCTCAGTTGACATCATCACTTGAGTTCATAGGGATTGTCAGACAGGGCTGGGTTTTGGCTGACATCGCTGACATGTGTGATGCCCTAGCCATTGTTGGATACTGACATTTCTAGCCATGTATAGTTTGAGCAATTTTGGTGATGTTGCTATTAGTAATATAATGATGAGTGTACGAAGCGGCTGCAGACCTCACGAAGTTTGGTGAACATTCGATGATCACATCTTCATTTCCGTCTTGGCTGACAATAAGAAGATCTGTGCATTGGCAAGATTCAAACCATGGAATATTCTTGACGTCTGCTTAGCAATTGCGAGATAACTATGAGATGTTGTGACATACAAACCTCTTTCCAAATCTACACGTGAAATATTGGGGGTCCTTTGTGCTGCTTGTGTGCTCCAAGGGTAAATGACGCTTGTGTTGGTGTCATGAGTCATCGCCCTGAATCAAAAATGGTCCTGGACATCACTATTACATCCTCTCCGAGCCTACATAGTAGTTGAACTACCAGATGTTGAACGTCACTCAGATATCCTGTGGATTATGATAGCCTTTGTACGAGTCGGTCTTGACGGGTGACCTTAGTATCATGGGTGTCACGGGATTAATCATTAAAGCAATGAACTTCCCTTATTATCACATCAACATATGACATCGCAGTAGTTTTGCTCGTAATCTCTTGGTCAGCCTTTTCTTGGATATCTTCATGTGCCATTATCAATATCAAGAAATTCACAAGCATTACGTAAGTCTGGGGAAAGTTCGTGCTATTTCAAAAATGTTAAATGGGCTTGTGTCCCTTCGAGCTTTGTGTCATGTTCATTAAGAGCCGGATAGAACGGAGCATGTTGACAACATACGACGGAATTGCCTGCCTGCCTGTCGGGAAAATCACACTGTACACTCGACGAATGTTGTCCTCACATCCCTCATTTGATTCTCTGATAGTTTGGAGGGTAGTGGCTTGGAGGAGTATCATGAGCGCCAAATTGAAAGAACGGTGAGGCAGGTGTCAAGCTGTGCTGAACGCTGAGCCTGGTGCACTCAGCACTTGCCACACCTTCTTGACCTGAACCAATCATGACCGGTCCATGACCCGCAAGGTTGATGCATTGTCCAAGCACTGTATCTCATGACCAGCTCGCTACACACTGACTGCAGGCTGAATACGTTGATGTCCTGCTTGACCACCACCACATTCCACAGTGACCTAGCTAGTGCAGCCTCTGGGCTTCGATGAGGAAGCGAGAGATGTAGTACATGCATACCATGCAAGTACTTATTTCTCTTCCTTCTCAACCGATAGTAGTCTCCGTCTCACTGCATTCTCTAACATTCAAGATTCCTGGTTCGTCGCTTACATACATTTTTTCTCTCACCAGGGGCCCACCATCCCAACCCACCATTCGCCCTGATTGGCATACCACTGATACATAGCAAACCAATCAACTTTCAAGTAATTCAAAAGCCTACAAGTCGAGATTTCTCGCCCAGGAGTAATCTAAACAGTAGACAAACCGAGGTGGTGTTAATGTTCAATGGCCCAACGACTGTTGACTGGCTTCATGATACCCACGCTACCATCGACGAACCTGGAGACAGAACCAGATGACAATTGCCTTGGAAAACCAGGTACATATCACAGCCTTGGATGGTTGTGTCCACTAATAGTAGAACCCAGGGTGTAGTCTACAAGGTTTGATCAGAATCTATGTCTGAATGCTGGTCGGCGATCACAGTGCTAACCTCCTACAGCTCACGCTCGCACTCATCACATTTCCACTTGAAAACCACTGTCCTTATCAGTGCTGTCTGACGTCGCTAGCGCATCCTCTCCTAGACGCAAGCATGACTGCACTGTTTGGCCCAGGTGAAGATGCCTGCACGACGCTCGTACATATGTGGCTTGATGTGATGCATAATATGAAGTAAGTTCCAGAGGCTGCGCAGAGTATATGGTTTAAATTTGAAAGATGTATTAAAGGTGCAGCTGAAGAGCAACAGAATAGTACTGAAGCACCTTCCAGAGATACGTTCAGTATCTGATGCTTGGATTAATATAAATCCATTTCTTATGTAGTGGGAATAAATCCCTGGATTTAATCCAGCGCGTTTTGCACAGCTTTCATCGGAGTCGCATTGCCCTTATCATATTTTTCGCTATCACCCAGTCAGAAGCAGAGCAAGGAGGTGCGCATGAGGCTACTGAACTCGAGGTCTTGGAAGGAGGAAAATTGTGCATTGGATTGAGCGTCGAGGGGCGTATGCTGGAAGGCCTGACGCCATGCTAACAGAATGTACCATCTGGACATTTTGGACAAGGCGCTCCCAAGGGTTCATCGTAAGTATGACCGTCGATGTTTTATGAATGAGCCTGTACTATTTGAAGAAAAAGTCGGGCTTCCTGATTGGCCATGGAGCCTTGCACAGGCACATAAAAATATTCTTTTCCCCCATGTGCCCTAATCTCTGTTGTCATCTAGGGGTTATGTCGCATATATACCACACAACCCTTGATGCTGAATCCACTGTGCCGCCTTTATCATCTCATGTCCTTGGTTCAGGGATCGATCATCATCTGGCTTCTTGCAACATTACAAAACGCGCAGTTGATGTAGGGGTGGTCCATCGATTTTCACATCCTGATACATCCTGAGTCATTGCCTTTAATTGATATCAGGATAGCACATGCGAGTGATCTATTAGAATGCAACATTGTCGAGGTTAAGAGACCTTCGATGAGTTATTATGCTTCACGGGCTGGGCAAGCAAGACGGAGGCACTGCTGGTAATCATTGAAATTCAGACTGCGGGCTTGTTCGATGATTGAATCACGCATAGGCCTGTGTTAGATCGATGACCTCTGCACAATGGAACACCCTGTGTACTTGACATCATGCGACAATTATTAAGCACTGTAGTCAGACTCCTACATGGTAACGTAAAAGTTGGACCTAGAACTGATCCGAACAATAATACTTGAGGACACCAAATAACTGGTTCACATAGGTATGAGTTCGGCGGGGACGAAGTAGATAAGAGACAAGTGCAAAGGTAATTGAGACAAGTAGGAAAACGTTTGAGACAGAGACTTTCTGTGAGGCTTTTCAGTCGTGCTTGGAGTGGGAAATCAGCATATGGGATCATGGAGTCTGAGCACAAGGTAAGATCGTAAAAGGAAATGAAAATGGAAAAGACTGTATCTGCGTGACTCGGATGCGAAGAGTAACAGAGGCACGTCGTCTTCGTTTTGAAGCGTGATTGGTGCATAGAGGATATGCAATCCTTACAGTGACATCGAGCATTTCCCGTGCTACACACTACTGCTAGTTGACACATGTACACGCTCCTGGAAGGCAATTGAAGTCATGGCAGTTGCTGCATCTGAGTCGTCCACGAGCTTAGCGTGATATTCTCGAACGGCAAGGATGAGATGTGGTCCCAGCACAAATAACTGCACAACCTCGAATATTAGAATGAACCCAACATAAATCTGGACTTTCAGGGAATATGGGTCCTATAAAAATGATGAACTGCGCTCGCATGCAGAGGTCAGTGACATATTGACATACCGCTGGCATCGTCGACAACTCATAACCGATCTCGAAGCAAGAAACAGCAACAAAGCTAGCACGTTCTGAACGTCAGCAGTAGAAGAGAATGTCATTCATATTATGGGCTCACCTCGCAAAGTAGCCCACATGAGATTTCATCAACACCGTGAAACAGTCTCCGAGAATCCCTCCTGTCAATTGTTGTCGCAGTTCTCTAAAATGTTTTACAGCAATCCAGACAGCGAGACACAGTGCAAGGACCTCCCATACAGTGCCCAGTATCCAAGTCATGGACGTCAGACGCGCGACATCTGACTCATAGTTAATAATGCACTGATAGGTGCCGGAGAGAATGAGCTCCTCTGATATTCAATGAGCCTCATGCATTGAAGTCTTTCAATCGAAGCTTACCCCCCAACATAGTGTGGTCTGCTAATATTTGGATCGCTATGCTCGTGATATTGACAATCAGGAAGATGACACCGAGAAGTATCAGGACCTTTCTGGATTGCTGGTACATGGCATGTAACCGAGTGATCATGATGACTTGTCTCGGTCAAGTCAGTATCATTGAGGTATTACAGCTGGTTCGCTCACCGCCCAGTATTACATTTATGGTAATATTCGTCCAATCTGCCATGAAGTCCATGATAAGGCCTAACAATTACAAGCCCAGTTAGTGATCAGTCACAGCCTCGCCGCAGGATCACACTCGAAACAAACTCACATCTATGGTAGTGAATATATTGAACAAACAAGCTGGTCAAGAATCTCACTCACCCCTACATAGGAGTGTAGTTGATTAGACAGGAATGGCAGGTATTAGTGCAAAATACTCACTAAATCTGTAACTGGGATTGTCGGAACACTGACTGTATGCCGCCAGTCAGAAAAAAACAAACATGGTGAATATGAGACATATGCAGCATCTGGGTCCTGATTGTGAGAGATGACTGATTAGCACAACACCAATTGCTTATTTCTCCAAACATACACAATAAATAACATTCCAAGATAGCGCACCTGGGATGCTTTTGAATCAACACGACTTGCCAATCATTTTTATAATGCAAGCTACATACACTAATATAGAGAAAAGTCATGAGGGACCAGCGTTGCCTCTGTCGCCAATTATTCGAAGTTAATGTTGTTGTTCTGACGTGGGACTGTGCTCACCCAGATCAGTTCGACCTGTAAAACCTGTCTCAGCAATATGGCTGCTCCGGTAATGGCATCAACCTACCTCTTGCCCAAATGTCAATGCTGGAAATACTACCATAAGGATATCAGCGGTTCCTGGATACTTATCTTGCTTACCCCAATCATACATCACCCCAGCAGAGGCAGCAACTGCGAAATGCAGCCAAGGTTAAAATGACATCTCACCATCATCATCCGACAGGCTCCACGTACCTACAAAATAGCTGCCAATCCTAGTCACATTGATGAATGGCCACCAACTGGGATCATTTGAGACTATGGGCATATTGTCAGAGGATGGGTATGAGGAAGCAGCGAACTTGGTCAATGTATGGCGATGAGATTCGTCCTAGATATACCAAAATCCAGTGTTCTTATTGCCAAAGTGAGCATCATAGGGGTGATAACTGTTCCTGCTGTGATAGATCGGAGTGAGTATTTTCGTATGAGGAGCATTGTTGCATTAGCATAAAGGGGGCGAAATCACGAACAGTGCTATGCAATTTCACGACTAACAGATGCATTAACTGTATTTCCATCTAGAGCCTCTGCATTGACTGACTCCCCCTTTGATGTGATTATTGAAAAAGCCTGCCATCTCACACTTCAATGAACATCAACAGTGCCTCCGCTCCATTTGTCCAGCCCACGGAGCGTAGTTCATCCAGGGTCTCTTGACAATGTCACATTCTGTCGGCGCACCATCAGACATCAGTGATCAGCAACATCAGCAAATGTGCAAAGGCCTGTCAACACCTGGTCACCACCTGAACGTCCTGGAAGCAACCTGGACAACCTGAACGTCTGGTAGGAATTTCATTCTCATGCATGACAGATGAATCGACCGCAGCAAAAAAAGATGTAGTAGACCTCTTACTCATACTATACCAGTGTACCATACATTTTCCATAATGTCACTCGAATCTTCGGCTCGTGATTCCATCCCTACAACACCCAAACATGTTGGAGTTCAACGGTAAGCAAATTCATTATTAGGCTACTAATACTATTACTACTAGGGCTACTGACACTTAGTGATGTGCTGGGCCTGGCTTCAGAGGGCTCGGGCCTGGTGAAAACTCAGGCCAGGCCCACCCCAAGGGCCTAGGCCTGGCTTGGGCCTGGGCCAGGGCTTCTAATACCAAAATGTGCCAAAAGCTATATTGTGCCTATTGTACTGCATAACAGATTTAATTTTCTTCCTCTGACATCAAGATATTCCCATCACCACCCTCTCCAACCAGTTCCTTCTCCAACTCAGCCTCCAGAACAGAAGTTGGAGCAGCCTCACGAAAGATCAATTCACGCTGAAACATAAAGCGAAGAACTTGAAGGGCCTCGACCACATCAGCCTTCAAGAGATTATGACGCTTCGTAATTGTCATCCCAGCTGCAGAAAAGGCTCGTTCACTTGAAACCTGAAGAGGCCATAATGCAGAGATAGTCACGAGCCAATGAGGCCCAGACAGGATAACGCTGAGCATTAATCTGTTCAACAGTGGTTCAGTAAGTCATCATATATAGAATTGAACACATACCCCCCACCACTGGACAATAGACATGTCTTTAGGTACAGTTTCAGTGGTGTTGAGATAGAGATTGAACTCTCGCATCCAAGGCTCCTTTGGATCAATAGGGTCCTCAGTCTCATACTCACCATCACTGTCCTCATCACTTGACAGCTCCCGAAGGACATTGGCCAACTTTCCTGACCCTATCTTGGGTGATATTGGAGCCTCTGTCTCTCTGAAGATCTGAATATGGCGTTCCTTAAACTACCAATATGTTAGATTGGACTTGGAAGGCTACAAGCCGAAAACTTACAATCTTTATGGCATGCTCAAGAGCCTCCTGGTGTAAAGCCTTGCCCCAGAATCGCTTAAAATGACCATCTTTGTGGTTTGAGTCAAGTACTGAACATGTATGAGCAGAAGCAACAGAAAATAGAAAATAATCACATACTCATGCCAATAATATAGGCATCACATTCTGCAGATTTCTCATAATACTCCTGGATCTTGTTAGTAGCAGCTGCAAGTCCAGCATGAAAGGGAGAATATTTTGGGCTGTTCGAACGAGAGGTCCAGGCCTTGTGAAGACCTTCTAGAGCTGGGAGGGCAAGATGAAGGGAAGGTCCAGTGTCAGAAGAGAAGGCTTGTTGTGCATTATCTGCATGCTGTTCAACTCGATGAATTAGTTGCGAAGACAAGGAACAATAAAGGGACAAACCGCCAGTAAGTTTACAAATAATTTGACTCGTTCCCATTCATCAGGCTCAAGCTTGAGTTCATCAATCTTCGCCCACTTCACAAGGTTGGGCTCCTTCTTTCCAAGTTCAGTAAACAAAGATATCAACAAACTTAATGACATGATTTTAATATTGGTTCAAAACAAGAGGTCAATACACTCACTTGCTTCTTCTTCTCGGCTCGGTCAAGCATCACATATGTGGATGACCAACGAACAGGCATGTTGAGAAGAAGTTGAAGTGGGGTAACACCCTCATTTGGTGGACGTGTCTGAATATCTTTAAAAAGTTGCTTCCGAGAAGCAGAGGAACGCTCCTAGAACATTGTCAGTCTTGAGGTAGTCAGCAAAGGATAGTATATTACCTTGACAGAAATTGCATGGACAAGACCTACCTCGTCCCGTCGGCCATCCTCAACATGAACTGCAAGTTCACCTTCTGCAGGATCATAATATGCAGCCTTGCTATATGTCGAGATCAGGGCACGAGTGGCGAGATGGATCACATGCGCAAGACACCTGTCACCACTTGAATATCTGGATAGAATACACAGCAAAAAGCGCACCTGATGCGGTGTTTCTTTGGTATGAAAGTCTTGCCACTGCGAGTCTTGAGTTGAAGAGCAAACTCGTCAAGCATTGTATTGTTGTTCGAAGCATTGTCGCATGTGACATAGCCAACCTGTTATCATGTAAATACTGATAATTGTGCATCAAAATGATAAACCTTGTGTGAAATTCCCACTTGATCGACAACCTTGAACAATGTCTGGCCCAGTCGTACACCATTATGAGCATTGTTGAGCAGGGTGAACCCAATGACAGCACTCTGAACTTCCCATACACCAACAGATGGCTCCTCAATCCAATGTCCAGTGACAGCAAAATAGGCCTCGACATTCTCAGCCTGCCATGCATCACATGTCAGATCGACGGCACCTGTCACAACCTTACTCTGCAAGACATCAGCACTTGAATTCAACCTGTTGACGAAACATACATTGAGCCATTCCTTTAATTTCGACATCTGCTGCTTGAACATGTCAATAATCTCACGTCAAGTTGTCTTTCAGTTGGGCACGATGACACCCGTTGTTGCACATGAAGCAACATCGATCATCTTCTTGAAGCTCGGATGGTCGACCGCTTGAATGGGCTGAAAATTCTATCAGTAATGGCATGTCTCGTCTCCAGAAACAAACATACCTGGTTGGTAGATGCCAGCCATTCGATGGCAGCCTCACGAAAGAGTTTGTCAGAGTATGGAAGAACCCGTTCGGTGGGCTGGATGTCACGGAGATGACCATCGAGATTCCCCTACTTTGCATTCATGACGGCGGCAACATTCTTCCGGTCCTTAACATCTTTTGGTAGCATCGAGAGGAACTTGTTTGTCTCGCACCATGTACGATATGCATGCTAGCGTGTTGTTGAAATGAGACATCGAAGGAACAGAAAGATTTGAATCACGTACTGCATGTAAGTATGCAAGATGACGGCGACAAGTTGAAGTGTCGCTAACAATCTGGTGTGGATGTCCGCTTTTCCTGCAACATATGAGCAAACAAGAAAGTATGATGTGCACAGCAAGTACTCACTTGCATGAAATACAGTCCCGCACATTGCGAGTTTTCCCATCCTTTGATTTGTGTGGGTAAGACTTGCCAAAAAATGTGCTGACATCGCAGCCTTTGTCCTTGCGACTAGCTGTGGCAGGCTGAGATACATCCTGGACATCAACATCTTTCAAAAAAGCCCCGTCGTCAATAGGTGTCACATCTCGTGTGCTCGTACCACCTGTTATTTAGTATTAGATATGTCTCTAGATATGAAACAGCTAACACGTACCGTCAATTGTGCCTGTAGTGACTTGGCTGTTTGACACGTCGACATCGGGCACGTCGGCATCGGGAGTTTCTGTATGGATGTGGCCATTAGTAGCGAGTAGTAGCGACGAATAAGTGATTGAAAACTTACGTGCACAAGGACCTAAGTCATCAAGTCCGTCGTCTGAGTGCATGGGTCCATCATCTGAGTGTACAATCAATGAGTAATTACATTGACCAATAGTAAATGAACGTACCTATGAAATCCAGACTGTCGATGTCATCCACGCGACGCAAGCGCTTGCCTACGAGAGATCATTGAAAACATACATAATGAAAACTGAAGATATACATACCTTTTTGTGGTCCGATTGCCTCGATCTCATCATCCGTGCCATCTGATAGCACACTCAGCGCTTCCTTGGCGCTCCGTTTGTTGCTGCCTTGTGTTGGTTTCAAAATCGTGTGAGGGGGTAAAAATGTAGATGGCGGAGGCTTGTGGATGGAAAGTTCCGGTGTGGCGTTGTTGTTGGAGTCGGTGAGCCATGAGGAAAGGGTGATAGGTCGATGTGGGCGAGAAATAACACGCACGGATGATTCATCATCTGATACAACAGTGGGCATGTCTGTGAGAACACTGTGAGTGTTGACCGCAGTTGAGGAATGGACTTGCCCGTTTGAGAAAAAATTAAACTATACACTTTCTAATCTTGCCGCTGTATGTTCTACTTTTGGAAAGCCGGGGCTCAGGCCCAGGGCTCGGGCCTGGCAATACCTCAGGCCAGGCCCCAGGCCCTCGCAAGCCGGCAGTGCAGGCCTGGCTTGGCCTGGCCTGGGGAGGGCCTGGCCCGGCACATCACTACTGACACTGGCATGTGTATACTACTAGCTTGCGCTCTGAACCCCCAACTCCGAGTCCAACCAAATCAGGCATACTCTCAGATGATGAGGAAGGCCCCAACACAGAAGGACATGCCCCTTGCAAAAAAAAACTGTGAGTCAACTCCGAGTTCTTCAAAACACCATGTTGTGACTTACCTTTCACCAGTCATCTTTTCTGGTGTCTCAAACTCTGTAATGATCCCAATGACCCTTTCGAATACAGTACGAGGCTCTACCTCTCATCTCCCAATAGCAGACCATATCATTCACCACTGCGCACAGCACCCGAATATCTTGAAATACTCAACAAGCGAAAGACACCTGAATCCCCGAGCCCCCAAGTTGAAACTCTCGCAGTCCCTGCTGACTACCTTGAAGGGCTCATTGAAGCACGCTGGAATGCTGAGCGAGCTCGCTGTGATGCTGAATGTAAGGTTCAATTAGAAGAGCTGAAAAAATTGCCACGTGCTTAGATATACCATGTATACTCAGAACACAATTTCATGTGCATGATGATCTGCATACTTATTTACATAGTAAGAATTGAACACGTCAAGAGAATGAGCAAAATGAAAACCATCGGGGAGGGGACCGCTGCCAAAGACGGGGATGAGATGAGCACTTCGAAGGATTGTGTCAACATGCTCGACAGACTGAACACGAGTCCTATGCTGCCCGAACACCTCAGGCTTCACCTTCCACATGCCCGTAATCGAATCTGGGCCTCTCCCCATCCGTGAAAACCTGTCAATCAATGCACAAGGGTATGTCACACCCTTAAAAGCAAACGAAAAAAATAGCTTGACCCTCCCAATAATCATACCCCTCATTCCAGCCTTTTCCTGGTCTTCAACCACAAAGACACAATCATGATGTGGATGCTTGCGACGCCACAATGGAGTGCAACAAATCAACTCCCAATGCATGCCGTGGGTCCCAGAGACATCACTGGATGCCGAGAAAGTAGCCACGGCAGAATGAAACACAGCAATTGGACCGTCGATCCGTGGTAAGTCGTTCCAGTCGATCAGAGCTGCTCCAGGGTTCAATTGGCTGGAAAGGAACTCGCGAGCAAGTAAAGGAAGGTTGGGCTGCTGGAGATGTGCTGCGAGTGTCTTGAGTGTCCGAGGATAGCCACGTTCTGGATGTTTGCAGATGTAATTAGTATTGCTGTATTCAGATATACTGAAGAACAACGTACGAGGGCTGCGTGCCAAAACAACTGATCCTTGGACTCTTTCAATGTCTGGTGCACCATTCTCGATACCCTCATCCATGAAGTCAAGGCCGCGCCTGGGTGGGGGTGCATGTGAGGCTGGCAGAAGTCCTCATGCCACAAAGTCAACATATGCAGCCATGAGCTTGTCAAGACGCTGGTTTGTGAGCAGCATCTGCCCAAGCGCATCATACTGATTCGATCGACGCCATGGCTTCTTGACTGCCGTGATATGGTGAGACTCGGTGATTGAGGAGCATAGGCCATTCGGAGCACCGAATTCTTGAATCAGACAGATATAGTGTACCATTGAATGCTGATGTGGCAGTGTGAAACCCTTTGGCCGGACCCCAGAGTCACGAAAAATCTCACGGGCCTCATGAAAATGGTGTAGGGCCTGTTTTATTTCGGCCAAAGAGTCTTCTCCAAGTTCGGACCGTCGTACAAGGTAGCAAAAATTCAGGAATGCGCTGAGGCATGCAACAAGCTGGGGAGGAACATACTCCACAATTGCAGGGATGTATACCTGTCAGTGTACAAGTGCGAGTGATTTAGATTTCGACCAGAGTAAGACGTGATGAGTATTTACCTTCATTAATGCCTTCGAGTCATCCCCGGTCCATTGTTTGAAGCGGCGACCTTCGGGAAACCTTCGCAGGCCAGGGAATGCTGGTGTTGCAGCAATTCTGCAAGTCAACATCAAGAGGATCAGTACAACTCTCGCAGCTGCAAGAAGTATGACGCACTGGTGATCTATATCATCAATGATCTCATTGGCACGTGCCTCACCATGGACTTCCTTCAGATACTCGCCCGTCCAAGTAACCAGATGATCCTTGAAGCATCCCTTGATAACTTGATGAAGGAGGTCTGGTGACAGCATTTCATGTATATCGGCATGTGGAAAATCGTTTGTAAAAGGCTAAAGGTCCATTTTGATCAAACACGCATGCAAATGTTCAAGTTTAACAAGACTTACCACAATATCATCATCTATCCCATACTGATCCCACAACGCATCCGAATTGAAAGTTTCGACTAGCGCATTGGTATATTCTTGAGTACGACGCTCGGCAGTGCTCCCATTGAGATCCTCAGGCAGTGCAGTGCACCTGTAACCAAGTGTAAGTCAAACAAAGCTATCCAAGTCAAATCCGCAGTCCACTTACTTCGCACACCAATTTTGCACAATTCCAGCAAGCATCACTTGTTCAGGATAGTCGGCAATAAAAGCTGCCAAGTCATAGATGACTCGACGAAAATGTCCATCGGGGCATCGACGGACAATCGGCTTCGTCATTGGACCTTCAAGTGACTTAAGGATGGCTGCCAGGGATGAATGATAAAGCTGGCACTTGAAGGTTCGAAATTGAACGTCATTATCATATTTGCGATCAGCTGAAAAATAGTGTCAAGAAGGCACCTAATAGTACTATGTCATATACCCTTTGGAATGGCAAGAAACCCGATGGGAGTGACTGCGTTACGGTGAGCTCGCCTGACACAATTGTGTGGATTTCCGATCGACAAATACAATGGATGATACTCAACATGACCAGTGGCAATGGATACCATTGTCTTGTCGCTTCCAAGGATGACTCCAACATACATGGATCCTTCCGTTGATGGGTCATTCTCATATATGGTGTCCTGCAAGTGCCAATGTCAGTGAGATATTTGTGAAGATTATAAGTCAGGATACTCACGGCCTTGCGCCACGCATAGTTGCCAGACATGAAATCCTTCCAACACCGCTTCCCCGACTGGTCATAATGAACATATGGGGTATAATCAAACTGCTCATCAAAGTCAGGATTTGCCAGCATGGCCTGTATGATGGCATCGGGATCTCGATACCATACTTGATAATCAGTCTGTTGCCACCGGGGCATGTCGGAGTCAAGGTCATGTTGCAGTGATACAGAGAAACATTGCCAAGGCACGTCACCCGCACGGATCGCATCGATTGTGGCATATACATCACAGTGAGATTTGAATGGGCTGTCCTCTTCGTACTTGGCCGCTTTGAATGCCCATAACTCCATCAGAAAATCAATGTTGGGGGCAGACATCTCCTCTTTTCAGAACAAGAAGTCCGCGAGTAAGTATTCAGCTTGATCGCCAAAGGGTGCCCAGCTGTCTTGAGGGCCTACATAGCGAGCAGGCTTGGGGGCATTTGGAGGAAGAGGGTTGCCTTCAAGGTCACAAGGATCACCTAGAGAGAGTTCAAGTTTACTCATCTTTTTGTGATTGTATTTGACTTACCACGGAGATGTGGGTGAGGTATGTACTGTGATTGATGTGGATTGGAGTGTCCTTCTGAGTGAGGATCGTGATCATTGTGATCAGCGAAATAGTCATCACTGATGAGGTCACAGTCGAAATTGAAATTGAAATCTTGGGGGTCCGAGTCGGAATGAGGGTTTGAGTCAGCAGTGGTTGGATCGGGGATGGCATCAACAGAACCATGATAGGTTCGAATGTGCTTTGTCCGTCCACATTGAGATTTGAAGGTTTCAGGACACCCCGCAAATGAACATGCAAGTCGGCTCAGCATAATGGTATTGGGATGGACCTGAGTGACAAGTCAGGCGCAAGATATTGGTAAGGTAAGACAGTTTGTTTGCTGGAAACAAACCTTGGAAATTTTTTGACAGCGGATCTCCAACAAGCCTTAATCCTTCACCTCTTTCTCTTCTTCTTCATCATGATGGCTTGGCCAAATCGCTCAAATGCAAATACTCACCCCGCCAAAGTTCTACTCGAGGGTAAAACCAAGCGCCAGACACCAGCACAAAAGCGAGCCCAAGATGCAGCAGCAGCAGAAAAAAACCAGGAAGAAGCAGCTAAAGTAGAGAAGGAACATGAAGATGGCATCAAACACATTGCTGCGATGGAAGACTCACTAAAAAGAGACGATTGCAATTATGGCAAAGATACCCCACCCTATCGCCCACAGGCAAACACATCGGGTTACTATTCTGTTGCAAAAGGTCAAGTTGCTATCCAAGTCAGTCAAACATGAGATAGAAAGCTTACCTGATTCAAAACAGCTGCTAGCAATGATGAGGATCCAGATTCAGATGAAGCTTTTCAGCCATCTGGCTCGGAGTCCCAAAGCTTCAAGGGGGAGACTGGTGATGATAGCGAGGATGGCGAGCCTGAGGAGCATGACGGCAGTAGTAGTGTCGAAGAAGAAGTCCGTAAGGCTCAGAAGGGTAAGAAACACACTGCATCAAAAGAGAAAGTGAGTAAATGTGATTTAAATTGATATCGGACAGAAGAAAATCGTGGGGATGACAACAAAATCGGTGAGGTACAGTTCAATTAGAGTTTCGGATGAAGAACTCGTACCTGCAGCCTCGGAGACACGTTCCCGTTCAATGTCGGGTGCATCATCACGCAGCACTATGAGTCGTGCAACCACACCGACATTTGAAGAAGACGGAGACGGAGAGTTTGACCACGATGAGACACCAGAGTCACTGGCTGCGACTCAAAAGCATAAGGGCAGCAACCCCAAACTGCCAAAGAAAATCGGTGCCATGGGAACGAAGTCAGCGCGAGTCACTGCTAATGTACCCAACTGCTGCTTACACGAGTGTTTACTGACAAGTCTGTTGTATTCAGATGGGCTTGACGTTGACGCGAAAGGGAGCTGATGATGCTGTGGTGGAAGAAATAAGACGCTCAGAAGATAAATCAAAGCCACTCAAAAAGTTAAAGCTCGAAGACCTACCTTTTGTCGATAAGAAGGACAACGAGATATGGGCTCAATTGATCTGTGCGCTGATCGATTGGGCTGGGACGACTACTGATCCCTTCAGTACGAATGAACACCCAGAGGTCTCTGGCAAGCTGCAGGAACTGTGGGATGTTCTCTTCGCGCACAACAAGGTCGATGTTGCGAAGTGTCCTGCTATCAAAAAAGTGGTATGTCACGGTGTACTAGTTTGGGTGCCTCGAATGCTGATGCCATAACTTTGGCTTTGAGGCAATGGACCGGCTGAATGAGTGGTGGAGTATGCTTGGGAAAAATGCCATCAAGATTCTCGAACGTGAACTCAAAAAAGCAGAATATCAACTCGACACCAATGCTCGTATCAAATTCGTCCAAGATCGCCTGCCTCAAAAAATAGATGGTCAAAAACGCGTGCCATTCATTTATGCTGATCATGAGGTATGTCAGCGTCACTTACAATCATTATTGGTCCTCACTGTGACGGTGCCACCACAGGGTCTGAAAGGATCGTGGTTGGCTCCCGTGCTCCTGGAGTTACTTGCGGCACATGCGAGGCGTTGTGGAACATTGTTTCAAGCATTTGGGAAACCTGCAGGTGCATTAGGGGTTTGTGCAGCTGCGGTGAGTCCGAAATTCTCAGTGGTTACTAGTAAAGTCCTACTAACCTCCATTTTGCAGGCGCACTGCGCGCTATTTTTGTACAAAGATGGGGATTCTGCGAAAGAAGCTGCCAAGGACGCGAAGCGTGCCGGTCTCCCTTCCCAGCCCATGAAAAACCTCTCCTTCAATGCAGCATGGGGCAGTGTCGCTATGCAGTACTCCCTGCAGATGGCTCAACTCCCAGATAAAAAGTGGGATCAGATTGTGGATGGGATGTGGGAGCTTGTAGGTGAAGACTCTCTTGTCCGTCATGTCCATGTTGCCTCGGATGACAATTCCATGGATGTTCGTAATGCCATTCTCCTCTCGGACAATGACGAAGAGAATTCTTAGGCTAGTGAGTCTTACCGAGTCACGAGTTTACTGGTCTAATTATTTTCAAAGTGCCTTGTGTCTTTGACCAGCGCTTACACTAGTATTATACTACATTTTTCGCTAATGAATGTGATCAATTCTGGTGCTTTCATCATGTCTGTTCCATGCCTGGTTGTGATCTGTAAGCCATCTGTCAAGGACCTGTAAGCTATCTGGTGGTGATCTGGTACCAGTCATGCCAATCTGGTCATGGCAGATTCATGTGGACCCAGGCTCGAATCTGGTCACCTGATAGCCTGGAGCCAGACTCTCCAGGCCATCCAGGCCCCTCTGCACATTTCCTGATGAACGTCGGGGATTAAGAACATTGTTGATAAATGCCACACACAGCCCCCGAAATAACTCTTCTCTCCCATCCGGGCTGCCAACACCACACTCGCCTCACACCGCTTTTCTCTTGCCAAGGCCTCGATCCAACGATTGATCGCCTCATGCACACCTTTTCGCTCTCTATTTGGTCATGTTACAAAGACAAAGTCAGATTAGTTATATACATACGAGTAACAATGTATCATACCTCTCATGCATTGGTATGAGTGATCCAACATGCCTGGTTAGATACTTGAGCAGTGTGTTTGATGATTGGGATGGGATTTGCTGGGAGTAAAGGCAGGAGAGAAACTAACCTAGAGAGCGAATGTCTGAGGGGTGTGCATGCATGATTAGTAATTTTCGCTGACGAGCCCATTCAGTCACATAGTCTGTATTATACAGGCAGCTGAGGTTGAAAATATGCTGTTCCATACAGGCCAGCGGACATCGGCCGATCAAATGGTTTTGCCTGTGCATAACGTTCGGCCGGCAGGCTTACTGAGACCCGATTTCAACAGCTGGGCCCATAAGTAATGATGGTTGATATTAACATGTTGGCCGGTGGCCATGAACATCATATGGCCCCATGGGTTCGGTATATTGGTGGGCAAATGGTGGTGGAGGAGTCTCTGATGCTGTCAGCTGGGCCCATGTAGAACATAGTGCCTGTGTGTATCGGTCGGCCAATTGTATGCATCCTCTGTGTATATTGGTAGGCCAATGATGGGTGTGAAGCCATCATGTGGGCCCATGGGGAGAAATTCCCGATGCTATCAGGCAGGCCCATGGAGCTTGTTGGCTGTGGCCATCGACCGGCTGATGGTCTGTATTAGATCAGGCGGGCCCATGTAGAATAGGTTGCATGTGCGTATCGGTTGGCCGACATGGAATAGGTTGCCTGTATGCATCGGTCGGCCGGTATGGAATACATTTCTTGTATATCGGTCAGCCCATGTGGAAAAGGTTGTCTGTGCATATCGGTTGGCCGACATGGAATTGGTTGCCTGTGCGCATCGGTCGGCTGGTATGGAATACGTTTCCAGTGCTTATCGGTCAGCCCATGTAAAATATGTTGCCTGTGCATATTGGTTGGCCCATGTGGAATACATTGCCTGTGCGCATCGGTCGGCTGGTATGGAATACATTTCCTGTGCTTATCGGTCGGCCCATGTAAAATATGTTGCCTGTGTATATTGGTTGGCCCATGTGGAATACATTGCCTGTGCGCATCTGTCGGCCGGTATGGAACACATTTCCAGTGCTTATCAGACGGCCCATGTAAAATACGTAGCCTGTGCGCATCTGTCGGCCCATGTGGAATACGTTGCCTGTGCGTATCAGTCGGCCCACATGGAATACATTTCCTGTACTTATTGGTTGGCCTATGTCAAATACGTTGCCTGTGCACATCAGTCGGCCAATGCTAGGTGTGAAGCCACCATGTGGGCCCATGGGAAGGGATACCCGATGCTATCACATCAGGAAAAACTATATCTCTATATAGAGGACCATCCTCTATATAGCCCCGATAGCACACCACAGCTCTATACAGTCTATCGCAAGCTATCACAGCACTATAGACCAGTATAGACATCATGAAAGTCTATATATTACCATAAAGTTTTTTCTTGTGATTGTGGAACCACTGCCTGTATTTCTGTCCACCATCACTGCAATGCAGCATGACCCGACATCACAGCTGAAACACTTACCTCTTTTCGTTGCTTCAAGAGCTCTTTGTCCATCTTTGGAGCAAAGAGTTCATCAGGAAAAACTGTATCTCTATATAGAGGACCATCCTCTATATAGCCCCGATAGCACACCACAGCTCTATACAGTCTATCGCAAGCTATCACAGCACTATAGACCAGTATAGACATCATGAAAGTCTATATTACCATAAAGTTTGGTAAGTGTATTTAGAAGTAAAACATTTCAACAACTATAGACCCCAGTAGACCGTGGGAACTTTTTTCGATGAAAACCAAAGTTGTACTCCTTGTCAAGGGAAGTCTATCCATAGTCTAATGACTTCAATAGGTTAAGATCCTAGTGAGTTACAAGGAAAATACTTGAAATCGAAGGGTTCAAGAAAGCAACTTGACCGTGGGAACCTTTTTCGATTAAATCAAAGTTGTAGTCCTTGTCAAGGGAAGTCTATCCATAGTCTAATGACTTCAATAGGTCAAGATCTTAGTGAGTTATAAGGAAAATACTTGGAATTGAAGGGTTCAAAAGTGTTAAGGTACACCTTATTTATGTAAGCAAAAATGCGAAAATTCACCTTATGTGTATTCAAAATCCTAATGCTAACAGTCAATTTCATTGTCTTTTTCTTACTGTCATAATCCTAGTCCTAATAAGCAAAAACTCGAAAATTCACCAAGTCTTGTGTTGTGGCTTTGTTTGGCACTGCTTATGTAAGCAAAAATGCGGTCAACCAACAAGTCTTTTCCCATTCTTTCCTTCCCCCCCCACTGCCCCCTCATTAGATTATCTTCCATATTTCTCTTACAATTTTCGAGTTTTTGCCTCTCTTCTCTTCTTCTTGCTTCTCTATCCTTCTCTTGGTGTTGATGTTGTTGGTGCTGGTACTGGTGCTGGTGCTTTGAACTCTGGTAAGTCTCCCTCCATAATTTTCGCATTTTTGACTATTTGACTAATCTTTTTTCTAACCCTCTCCTTCTAGCTCTCTTCCCTCCTGCTCCTCCTCCCCCCAACTATTTTCGCATTTTTGACCATTTGGCAAGTCTTTTCTCTGACTCTCACTTCCTCCTGTCTAATCCTCTCCTTCTAGCTCCCTTCCCTCCTCTTCCCTCAAGAATTTTCGCAATTTTCACTATTTGGTAAGTTCTTTCCTCTCTGATTCTTCCTTCTAGTTCTCTTGCCTCTTCCTCCTGTAATTTTCGCATTTTTGCCTGTTTTGTAGTTATTAGTTTACATGTATTGTAGTAGTTGAAATATAATTTGGAATTTTCGCTTTTTTTTAATTTTAATTTTGAGAACACTATCATGGCAACAAACAGCTATTAAGAGAAATTTTTGCTTTGTGTTTTGAGCTATAATAGCTACAATAGTTGTGGTATGTTCCACCCAGCTATAGCAACTTAAATAGAGCTATATAGCACTATACACTGGTGTAGTAAGCCTACACAATTGGGCACTTGGCTATATGAGCTATAGGGCTATGGAGTCTGTATAGCAGTCTATAGCGCTATGGGTGGCTATATAGCCTTACCACATTTTCCTGATGTTTGGCCTCCCTGGCAGCTGCTTTAAAGATCTGTCGTCAGTTCAGGTCCCATCTGCCTTCTCCCAGTCCTCAACATGGGACTGCAGAGCGGTTGTCTCTTGGTCATTCAACCGAGGCTGATCCCCTGTCTTTATCTTCGTCCGAGCCATGTCACAGTAGGTAGCTTAGAGTAAAGGACCTGCAAATCTGAATGCAGGAGAGGGTTGATATGGTTGATGGAACAGAAAATGGAAGGAAGGGTCGTGTGAGCAATGATTCAGATGAATGACATACCAGTGTAATAATTGCACGTAAGGTCTAGATCGTACCGAATAGTGTGACCCCCATTGCTACATGACTTATCGAGTGGTGCAGATGCATGGGCGGGTATGTCGAGTGAAGTCGGAGGTCCTGAAGTGCTCTGGACGTATTATATACACAATCACTATAAACCATTGACATCGTGCCATGAATATCCTTGCTGATGATTCGCGCGAGGTCAAAGTGACTATTACATATGATGCATTGCATTTGGCAGTTGCATGTAAGCACGGTACTGTCCCAAAGTCTAAGCATCCCATTCCCAGCAACACATCCAGACAATCACAGCAGGACTTTGGAACATGGTCAAGTCAAAGCCAAAGGCCTGGAGTCCTCCTGAAAACATCCTCTTTGGTTCAATGGGAGGACAAACGAACATCTAGGGGAGATAAAGGACGATTTGTCAAAGCTCGATCGTTCCAACCGAACCCAATCGGTTCATTCATCCCCCAGAAAATCGCCTACCAAGCAAGGATCCGCCAGAGGACTTCATGCGGAGGGTGACTATGAACACTATGACCTCGCCCAATGCAACTTGGAGCCGTGTCGGCTTTGCAAGTCCATGGCAAGCTCACCATTCGCTTGCCTTGTCACATTCACTGACACCGAGTATCAAGAGTCAAAATGACTATCTGCGTGAGTGGCAGTCCAAGACCGACGACTACTTGGACTTGCTCCTTCGGCGAGAGGGTCCACCTTCAAACAGAACCTGCTCGGTCTGTCCAAAGGATGGGGTCTACAGATGTCATGGCTGCAGTGGCCGAGCTGCTCTTCTGTACTCATTGCTGTCGGACGACGCACAGCCATATGCCATTCCATCGGATCAGTCAATGGACCGGGGGATTCTTTGAGGATACTTCCTTGACCAAGATTGGCCTGGAAATACACCTCGGTCATGCCAGGCCAGCCCTGCTCCGGTCTCACGGATGAGTGGTGTGACACAGATGATGATGAAGGAGACCATTTGACCGACGGCCCTTGGATACCCTTGGTCAACGATCCTCAGAACAACCATGGTGGTGGACACGTTGGGGCTCCACTCCCTGATGATCAGATTCTGTCGGTGCAGCCGACGCACTAAGCCCTGACATGCAACTATTTGAAATGGGCCTCTTCCCAGCTTCTTTCACTTCGCCGAAGACGGCATTCACATTTGTGGTGTTGGATGACTTCCTGTTGGACAACCTGGAATGCGGGACTTCCGCCATGAACTACTACAGTAAATTGAGGAGAGTTACTTCCAGCGTGTTTCCTCATCTGGTTCCAGTGAGTGACTTTGATGTTCTCCGCTGCATCGCTCACAATGGCCGGCAGGACCGATACAGGGAATTGATGAGGGTGGGTAGGCAGTGGAAGCAAGTGAAACAGCTCAAGTGGCATGGGTTCGGCCATGAGAAGAGAAAGCCAAAGGCAGGGGAGCTCGCACTCTTCTGTCCTGCATGTCCACAGCCCGGGGTGAATGTCAATTTGTCAGACAGGAACGGGTCCGACCCTGCATGGTTGTATTCAAGATCTTTGGTCATGGATGGCAATTTCAAGGCTGAACATTTGTATCCGGCCAATCCGACCGATGAGGTGGCATTGACCGATGGCTTGGGCTTCATGGTCGGCGATGCCCAATACAAAATGCATCTCGCCGAGGCGCAGGACACGGTGCAGAGATCAGATTGCAACAACCACCGAGCGGTCAACCAGGCAAATGCATCACGCCACAAGCTCGAGGCAACAGGGATAGGCTGGGTGTGCTTGCGCTAGACATGGGTGTTTTGTTCCCCATTCAATGGTGGACTTTCAGAAGGGGGAAAGGTTCGCCGTCCGATATACTGGGTCGGCCGAGTTGAGCTGATGCATCGGTCAGCCAAAAGACAGATGAACATGGATTATGCGCTGTGCCAAGCTCTGGGGTACAACACCGATGGGATCGACCAGTGCATTGACATTCTACGACATTAACTGCCAATACCACAAGCATCTCAACCTGGCGGATTGAGGAGTCGCCCTATCTTGACCTTCCATGGGGCATGGAGATTGTTCCAGGCATCGGGCTCTGGCATGTCCACGGCCATCAAGACAAATGCTACGTACGGTACGCATCCAACTTCATCACCGGTGCAGCCAGGATCGATGGCGAAATCATGGAGACCCTTTGGGCGCCTTTGAACATAATATCGCCGTCGGCGAGAGGGATGTCCACCCCTCACCGAAAGGAGTGTTTGGACTTTCAAATGAACGACTGTAATTTTATGAAGATGATACGCATGAGTGAGCAATATTATTTGACCGAGTGCTTAAATCTCAATGCATCTAGGCAAATTCCTTTGCCGAAAATTCAAGGAAGCTGTACAGGGAGTCCAAGACAGCCGATATGCATTTGACCGGTTGACCGAGACCGCCGACAACGACACCCTTGCCAAATGGGAAGCAGAGGCCGCTGCTGCTCAGGATGACCGACTTCATAATCCCGGTGCCATGGATATATATGAAATTCAATTGACCAAAGGTACGTGCGAACAGAACAACCATGTGCAATACGCTGATATGCTTTGGCAAAGCACCGACAAGAAAACAGCAAGAGTTGCACCTGTTGAACCGCCAGGCGCAATGGCCCGCCGGCGAGATCCATCGCGGTGCGGCAACATGGCTGGCCTCTGGGATCACGCTCGAGGAGGCACAAGTAGCCCTCCTGATTGACGTGAAGAAACTGGGAAAGCGGCCGACCGACACCCAGAAGCTGGCCATCAGCTCGGCGTCGCCACAAATGGCAAGACCAACTTGATGAATTTGTCAGGGTGGCGGGTACATTCCTCAGGCGATCAATTTGACAGCTATGACCAGTTGGACGGTATGACTGTGATGTTGGATACTGCAGCTTTGGATTCTGTGGGTTCATCGTCTGACGATCCAGATCGGTCAGATGAAGAAGAATTTGATATCCCGGTCGAGTTCAATCCCGAGACCTGTGGTGATTCCATTGCCGTCCAACATCGGCATCACAAGGTGTGCCGAGTGGGGCGTTGCTGACCTGGTGTTGCAAGAAATATCCTTAAGACAAGGCCAAGCAAATGATGCATTGCATGCCATCAGGGTCAACTTGGCCGACAAGGCCGTGCTCTTTCGCACCACGGTTCGGTCGGCAAAGTCACAAGCTCGGTCAACCAGGGCATGGGCTCGCGTGCACTCGGTCGACAAGGTTCTTCACTTGAATACTCAGATCTACTCAAAATGCCAGCAAGCAGCTTGTCCATCTCAGCGCCGATGATTTATTGACCAAATATCGGCCGTTGGAGAAGGCCGACTTAAAGGCTACTACGGTGGTGGCAGACCCGAATGCGCGCGGTCAAAGAAATAGCACTGCTGGCATGGTTTTGGTCCATTGATGTCCAAGGGGATTCCACAAGCAATGACTGGATGAATGAATGTGTGCACTTCGCCGACCTACCTATTCCTGTCCGGTGCTAATTTGTTCATCCGACAGTTTACCGTGTCCATTGGCTTCGGACACTGGCACTGCTGTGACCGTTGGGCAGAGGAACTGCTGCTCAGTCGGTCGGGAAATGATTTGGACTGGTCGAGTTCTTTACTCACAAATCCCAACAATGGGTCGGTCGTTTGCAGGAGGCTGATGCAAACAACATGGTCGGGCACCGCTGCTATGCAGCGCGCCAGGCTCGGATGTATCTCCGACTCTCACAGCATGCACAAGACAGTTTCGAAAGAACAAAAGGGGTGGCAGTGGTGGCGGAGTGACAGAGGTCCACGCACATGCATTTGGACAATGGCAAGCCTCACAGTGGATTAGTCACAAGTACAATGCCGATCCATATAAAACTTGTGATTCTGCTTCGGTCAAAACTTCAACTAGTCCCAGCTCCGCCCATCATGTCCAACTCCACAACACTTTTTACATATGAACTCAATGACTTTTACTGCGTGGGATGCTGCCAACGTCTTGGAGTATGCTACATTGTGATTCGCCGCGATCTGGCTTGTATGCGACCGGAGCCATGTGCCTCTGGACGCCAGGCTTACAAAGCCAGCTTTGTCCGGCACCTTCAATGGGAGGCAGATGTGAGTGCCTCTTCGGTCGGTCGACCGGTTGGCATGCTATTGTAGCTGATCCCTCCATCAGCGTTTTGCTTTTCCTTATATCAACTTATGTCTGGTGATGAACATTCATTTACACCAACCCCACAGGCCGAGATGGAAGCAGCCATGGTCGGGATGGGCTACCTCCTGAAAACAAGCATCACCAGTGGACAAGAGTCCAACTGGAGAACATTCTCCGGTCATTTTCACATGAGCGATTGCTGCCTGCTAACCCCAGGATGCATCAACATAGCCCCTTGCTGGTTCCAGCAAGGCCAAGAGGTATGACATGCTTCTTCATGTGCGATGCCGACACTCACTCGGCAGTGTCAGCTTTATGGATTCCCCCCTGCTGGTGGCTTCACCCTGGAGGTGTCGGCTACACTGAAGGGCGAAGGTGGTCCGAAGGTCATATTATTAATGCAGCGATCGGCACTCCTGGCCTCGGCGGCTCTTCGGGTGATGCACCCGGAGTTGTATTGGGCTTCGGTCACCACACAGATGAAACTCGCTCGATGGGCTATGGAAAATGAGCTTGATGGCATGTATGCTCGTCTGCAACTTTGGGCCTCGGTGTTCAACTGCGCAGCTGTCATGTGTAACAGGCAATGCCCTCTTCACCAAGATCCTAGATCTACTCCAGAAGGGTTCGACGTCATGACCAGTGTCGGCCATTATTGCAATGGCCTCATGACGCTGTCCAATCTCGGCATTCAGTTGCGATATAACTCCGGTGCCATGGCCAGCTGCTCTGGACACATTTTCAGGCATGGCATCACATTCAGGGGTGATTGGTTTGTGTGGGCATGGTTCATGTGCGATAGCCTTCACAATTTTGTGGGGACACCTTGGTCAGAGTATGCAAAATACAAGGATGTAGATTGGGATGTCTCGGTTTCAGCTTAGACGACCGTGTCATGGTATATCAGATTACATTACAGTTGCATTCAGCCTTTTGGATCGATTAGTGATATGGTTGTCAATTAATTGGAATCGATGATGTTGATTGAATCCCTGAAGTCTTCTCGCCATGTCACCGATCGACCAGACGTGAAGATGGAGGCCATGGGCCGAGCCGAGATGATCAGCATTGTTTGCCATGTGCTGACCGATGTGCACGGGAAACATGTTCTGCATCGGCCCACCTGATAGAATCAAATGCTGCTCATTTGTGGGCCCACCTGACACCATCCATCCCATCGGCCCACTGATATGCACAGGAAATGCATTCTGCACGGGCCGGCCGATACGGACACGCAACACATTCTATGGGCCCACACGATGACTTCATAGCAAGCATTGGCCGACCGATATGCACAGGCAGGGCATTCTACATCGGCCCAGTTGATTACATTGGGAATTCACCCCCATCGGCCCACACGATAGCTTCACACCCATCATTGGCCGACTGATATACACAGGCAATGCATTCCGTATCGGCCTTCTGGATAGGATCAACCTTTTCTCCCCCATCGGCCCACCTGACACCACACATGCCATCGGCCAGCCGATATGCACATACAATACATAGTATGGGCCCACCCGATAGAATCAAATGTTCTTTCGCATGGGCCCACACGATGGGTTCACATTTGCTGTTGGCCGACCGATACACACGGGCAAAGTATTCAACATCGGCCCACCTGATAAAATACAGACCGTCGGCCGGCCGATACCTAAAAACAACACATTATAGGGGCCCACCTGCATCAGGAAAATGTGGTAAGGCTATATAGCCACCCATAGCGCTATAGACTGCTATACAGACTCCATAGCCCTATAGCTCATATAGCCAAGTGCCCAATTGTGTAGGCTTACTACACCAGTGTATAGTGCTATATAGCTCTATTTAAGTTGCTATAGCTGGGTGGAACATACCACAACTATTGTAGCTATTATAGCTCAAAACACAAAGCAAAAATTTCTCTTAATAGCTGTTTGTTGCCATGATAGTGTTCTCAAAATTAAAATTAAAAAAAAGCGAAAATTCCAAATTATATTTCAACTACTACAATACATGTAAACTAATAACTACAAAACAGGCAAAAATGCGAAAATTACAGGAGGAAGAGGCAAGAGAACTAGAAGGAAGAATCAGAGAGGAAAGAACTTACCAAATAGTGAAAATTGCGAAAATTCTTGAGGGAAGAGGAGGGAAGGGAGCTAGAAGGAGAGGATTAGACAGGAGGAAGTGAGAGTCAGAGAAAAGACTTGCCAAATGGTCAAAAATGCGAAAATAGTTGGGGGGAGGAGGAGCAGGAGGGAAGAGAGCTAGAAGGAGAGGGTTAGAAAAAAGATTAGTCAAATAGTCAAAAATGCGAAAATTATGGAGGGAGACTTACCAGAGTTCAAAGCACCAGCACCAGTACCAGCACCAACAACATCAACACCAAGAGAAGGATAGAGAAGCAAGAAGAAGAGAAGAGAGGCAAAAACTCGAAAATTGTAAGAGAAATATGGAAGATAATCTAATGAGGGGGCAGTGGGGGGGGAAGGAAAGAATGGGAAAAGACTTGTTGGTTGACCGCATTTTTGCTTACATAAGCAGTGCCAAACAAAGCCACAACACAAGACTTGGTGAATTTTCGAGTTTTTGCTTATTAGGACTAGGATTATGACAGTAAGAAAAAGACAATGAAATTGACTGTTAGCATTAGGATTTTGAATACACATAAGGTGAATTTTCGCATTTTTGCTTACATAAATAAGGTGTACCTTAACACTTTTGAACCCTTCAATTCCAAGTATTTTCCTTATAACTCACTAAGATCTTGACCTATTGAAGTCATTAGACTATGGATAGACTTCCCTTGACAAGGACTACAACTTTGATTTAATCGAAAAAGGTTCCCACGGTCAAGTTGCTTTCTTGAACCCTTCGATTTCAAGTATTTTCCTTGTAACTCACTAGGATCTTAACCTATTGAAGTCATTAGACTATGGATAGACTTCCCTTGACAAGGAGTACAACTTTGGTTTTCATCGAAAAAAGTTCCCACGGTCTACTGGGGTCTATAGTTGTTGAAATGTTTTACTTCTAAATACACTTACCAAACTTTATGGTAATATAGACTTTCATGATGTCTATACTGGTCTATAGTGCTGTGATAGCTTGCGATAGACTGTATAGAGCTGTGGTGTGCTATCGGGGCTATATAGAGGATGGTCCTCTATATAGAGATACAGTTTTTCCTGATGAACTCTTTGCTCCAAAGATGGACAAAGAGCTCTTGAAGCAACGAAAAGAGGTAAGTGTTTCAGCTGTGATGTCGGGTCATGCTGCATTGCAGTGACGGTGGACAGAAATACAGGCAGTGGTTCCACGATCACAAGAAACACAAGGCCGACGCCAAACCACCGATAAAGCTCCAAAAGAAATGGACGGCACGCCGAGTCATTGAAGAGGAATGGAAGGCTGACATCCTTCAGCAAATATGAAAAGAAATTGAGGAGGAGACCGGGGAAAAGCCTGAGCAGAAAGAAGTTTTCAGGAGGTATCAACCCAAGATGACCGCAATCATGAAAGGGTTGGACAACAATGAGTTAGAGGAAGCCCGGGCTAAGGCTGATGAGTGGACCAATCAAGCAGCCTGATGCCGCAGTCCAGGCCAAGACAGCGAAGAAGAAGGGCTGAAAAGATGATCAAGCACTTTGCCAAGGAGATGTTTACTCAAGCCGGTATGAGACTGTTTGTATTGGGATCCTGGAAGGATGAGCAGGGCAGCCTCCTTACATCTGGGCAAGTTCATGCATTCATTCGGTCGGTCGGTCGGTCGGTCATCATGTTTACATGGTTTGGCAGGTTCGACTTCAATGAACAGCTCGGCAAGGGCTCCAGCTTCATGAAGTGCAAGGACTGGCAGGTCATCTTACCGGCATGGGAAGATTTCATCGGTGATGTATTCGGTGAGTCTCAAGACCATGTCAGATCTTCCCCCATCTAATCCGTGTCACGTCCACCAAGATCAGGATCAAGACCAGGATGGCATCCTGCTCGGAGGCACTCGCCAGGGTTCCAAACCATACTATGAGTTTGACCTGGACCGCATGGGTTTGCCGATCTTGCCAGATATTGATGGTTTCTCGCTCAACACAAAGAAGGGTGTCATTCAGGTCATTCCTCACCATTCATTATAGTAAGCCTGACATCAGAAAACCTGCACCATCATCTGATACCCGCCGCCACAGGAATGTGCTGTGGAAAGCCGAAGGTCCCAGTTCCTTGGAGCGACATAATGAAGGGACAGTCAAGATTCATCTCCAGTACATACCTGCCAGATGGTACACAGATCATGGAGCCATCCAAAATGCACCTGGGACGAAGCCATCTCTTTGTTGGAATGTTGGTTGGACCGACAGGACAACCAAGTCGGCCCAACATTCCAGTTCAAGGCTTGGATTGATGACAAGGGCAAGATGCACCCACCGGTCGGCAAAGAGTCTGATGACTCTGATGGTGATGCCGACAATGAGGCCGTGCAGCCCATGCTGACCAAAAAGTCACGGACCACGGTTGCACTGTCACTGCCCGGACATCCCAAAGGTCGACCGAGATCCATCAAACGGGCTTACATCAGTTCTGCCGATGAAGAATCTAGCGACGCCGATGCAGAACTCAGCGATCAAGTCGGATGCCAGTCAGAGTCGGATGACCGACCACCACGGATGAGCTTGTGAAGAGCGTCAGAGTTGAGCCTGCCACCATCTTACCCCGGACAGACCCGGCACATAAAGACCGACCTGATTGTAGATCTGGCGACCGAGGCATCAGAAGATGAAGATTGCGGCGGCAGTGCGACAAACACTGGATATCATTCTCCTGGAGTTCATCATGCTGGACAGCATGCCCGTGGTTTCGGCCCACATTCTACTCGTCGGGGTCTGGAACACATTCAGGCATCCCCAGCAGCAAAGGTCCGGGCACCAAACAAGACTAGGGCTACCGGGCATGCATCACTGTCGGTCAAAGCCCAGTCGCCGAAGAAGACAGGGGCTACCTGCAGATGCTTCACCGGCGGCACAAGACCGGTCGCCGAAGAAGACTAGGGCTACCCGATCGGCAGCATACCCACTCTCTGATGCACCAGCGAAGCGCACCAGAAGTAAGGTTGACGACTCGCTAGGCGCCAGACCTCGGCAAAAGCCCAAGAGATATGCCGACTATGTGTAGTTGTCGGCGGTCTCATGGGTTCATCGGCCAGCTGCTCACAGTATGAATGGCTTCGGTATATATCATCTGACTGATATTTGTGTATAGCTTTCTCCTCGGCCATGAATGATCTCGCTATATACATCTCATTTGTTCAATGATCTCGGTATATACATGTCATTTATCAACAACCTTTGGTATCAGTACTCGGTCTTATATACTACTGGAATGGGGAATGTCCCCTGCCCATTTTCCTCATTGCCAGCAGCAACACATGCAGCGGATCATCAATCTGGCGCTGCATGTTCATCAGATGCTGCATCCTGACAACATCTTCACCGGCTTCAATCAATCGGTCGCGTGCATCCCGATATGCCGATATCAAATCCCGGTTGGCATGCATGATGTCTCTTGGAGACGCGACACCATCCATGGCCGAGGTGTGTCCTAGGTCATCTCCTGTCGGGTGGAGGTCAATGTGATGGCAGTGAGGATGAGCTGAAATATGAACGTACTCGATAAAGCGTCGATGCTTTCCAGCCTCAGAGTTGCTCGGTGCAGCAAATCCTCGGTGGTTTCGAACATGTCGCTCAGGCGAGCCGTCTCTCGGTACTACAGATGTATCCGGCGAGCCACGGCCAAAGCCCATGTCGTAGAAAGCCTGAGTGCCAGTGGAGTGACTCTCAGACGACTGCTGTGTGTTAGCAGCTGCACCATACTGTCAGTATCGGCAACTCAAAAAAGGATTTCCGACCGACCTGAGTTGACCAAGTTCATCGCTGGTGCGGTGGTCCCACCAGGTGCGAAGGTCATCACCTCCGCCCGATGGCGAATCTCCCCAGCACATGTCAAAATTGGCTGAGAAATAGTCAGTCTTGAATGGCAATGTACATGACCTATACTCACCTTCATAACCCACTGCTGATGCAGACGGCCGGTCCTCCCAACACATATCATATTGACCGGCCGCCGATGGTATGGCGACTATCCATGGTCGGAGTCTCGATAGTCGCCGGCTCCACTATCGGCGGCGAGTCAACCTTTGATGGGTCCGGTTCATCGTCCCAACAAAGATTGTACTGACCTGCGGCAGCAGGTCTTGCTGCATTCTCGCTCATGATCGGTGCCGGATCAACCTCAGTGTCCCAACACATGTCGAATGCTGGCCAATGGATCAACAATGGGCGATCATACGGTGATACATGACTTACTTTGACCTCCAAAGTGTTCACCGGCCGATGATGTTCCAGTCGGCGTCCCCACGGTCGGCAGGTCATCGGCTTCAGTGCTCCAGCCCATGTCAAATACTGAAGTGTGGTCAACAATTAGCAAAGGTCAATTGAATAGGGGACTTACTTTCATGGCCAAAATATTTCTTGGAAAGTGCGTCTGCACGATCCGGTCATGTTCGCATGACTGAGGACGGATGTTTCTTTGGTTGAATGGTGCGGGATGTAGTTGGTCGTTTAGGTCGAATGCGAAATTTGTTGAGACCGACAGGAATCACGTCTTTTTGAGGGGATGGAGTCGGCCACAACTTCGGTAGGCACCCACTGATCCCACATGACAAAGAAATTCCAGTCGGCTTTGATGCGCTCGTCTTGTAACCGCCGAGCTTTGTCAATTGGATGCTCGTGGGAATCCATGGTGCTGGCAATGGACTTCGAAAATTTTGTGCTGCCAGTTGGTATTGTTCGGTGTGATTAGAAGTGCGTTCGGTGTGATTCGAAGTGTGGACCCATCTCGGCAGGTCCCGGCGGCATCACATTTTGCCGACAACACGAGCGCAATTTGTGGACTTCATTTTTGTGAAGTCAAATCCACATCCACACACTGTCAGTTCCCGATATAACAGAGTCAACACTCATCCTATCTTCTACATTTTTACTATTACATCTCTACAATGTCTTTAACAATCGAATCGAACCAGGCTTTGGCGGTCGCCGACAAGTCTTTGCGCCGTGCACTCCGCCGGATTAAAATCCATCAAGCAGATGGCAGCTGTGGTCATTGACCAAGCTCATGCAATCGCCTGGCTAGTGGTAAGTTTCTGATTCCCGATGTTCTAATTTGCTCACCGACCCTTCACAGTCCACTGCCCTTCAGCAACATGGAAGAAATGCCTCGGTCATCTCACCGTTGCTGCTGTCTGCTGCGGCCGAGGTCAGAGCGACCATGAACCAAGGCATCGCCCCACAGTGGGCTCGGGTGCAGGATAACGATACTCGGATGGAGTCCCACCCTTTCTTCCCAAAGACCGTCAGATATGGTGAGTCGGCGGTCATTCTGTCTGTCTTCACAGCTCAACGTCTTGACAGTGGCAGGAGGCACACCCGAATCTGCACCTCAAGTCACCCCAGCTCCAGCTCCAGCTCCAGCCCCAGCTCCAGCCCCTGCACCAATGTCGGTCCCTCCAATCGAATCGCTCCCTACCGCCGGGCACCAGCACAATCTTCTTGTGCCTGGCATGATGACCGGCAAGGGCAAACAGCCTGCCCGCGGGACTCGGAGATCCCGAGAGGACAGCCCAAGCGCTGAGATGGGCCGGAAGAAGCGCAAGGTCTCAAGGCCCTTGTCAAAAGCCTTGGTCTCCGACACCAAGGATGAGGACGGTCAGCCAGGAGGCACCATTGTGGTTGTAAAGCCTGGCCGGTCCGCCGAAGTCCAAGGTAAGCACTTCGGTGAATTCAATATCAACACCGTCGCTGACTCATGGACAGGGCATGACCAAAGGCGTCAAGAAGGTGAGATTTACCTTTGCCCACCAGCGATCACCCCTCAACAATTCTCAGACGCATGCCGAGGACACCATCGGTCGCACGCCGTGCAAGGGCAAAGGAAAGGAGAAGGCCAAGGAAGTTGCCGAGCCCATTAGAGGGCGCCCACTAGCCAAGGCCGATGCTGGGGCCAAGACTGTGAGTTTTCTATCTCTGCTCGGTCACCTGAGTACTCACAGTGTGATAGTACGATCCACCTTGCAAGAGGTGTGTCGACGAGCCTTGCCTTGTCATTATCGGCAAGAAAGGGCAGGTCATGAGGTCCTGCGCCAAATGCAGCCTCATGAAGGTGAAGTGCGACCGACCGATGTCGGTCGATTCCGACACTCCTGTGCCGATGGCACACCCGAGGACCAGGGCTGCACCGGCCTCCAAGAAGGTTCCCCCGACGGCAACCCCAAGGTCCAAGTCCAATGGTCCGCTCAGGAGAACCAGAGCAACCTCACGGGCACGTCCACCGACTCCCATCTTGGAGTCTGAAGAGGAAGCTGTCAAGGGTACCGGTAAGCAATCATGTTTCTTGTATATAATGTCCTCTAACCTTTGCTTCTAGATGTGTCCATCACAGGTGATGATGACGCCGACATGGAGCCTGCTGCCGATGCCCGGCTGAGCCTGCAGCGGACGACAAGATCGTCGTCGATGAGCCTCGGGCCATCGCATCTGCGGATGACTTCCCCGCCGATCATTGGGTGGAGCCCCACTCCGATGACTTCGTCATTCCGACTGGCAGCTCCTGCGGCCGGAGATGTTTCCCTCCCTTCGGCATCTCTCCCACCGACCATCAGCGCCATCCACAAATGTGTGGTTTCCCTGGCTGCTAAGGTCGCTGCCATGCAAGTCGCCGACCAGAATACCCTTGCCAGGGTCGATGCGGTGCAGCAGGACTGCGAAACCCGGATCTCCTCGATGCGTGCGGAGCTTTCCTCCATGCAGTTCGATCTCGGCACCACTGTCAGCCTCGTCAATGGCCTGACCAGCCTGGTGGAGAAGCTTCGGGAGGCACAGACCTGTTGCCAACCCATCCTTCCCACCACCGATGATGAGCAACTTCGGTGCTACCTCGGCCACCCCACAGATGCAAGCGATGGGCATCAGGTACTTGAACGGTGTGTACGGCCCTTCGGTTGCTACCTCGGCATCTGCTGCAGGCCCTTCGGCGTCTCGCCCTTTCGGTCGCCTTGACATGCACGGCGACACATTCACATCTGGCCAAGCGTCCTCGGTGTCAGCACATGCCGGTCCTTCATCCGCTCCTGCTGTAGTTGGACCCCATTCTGCTGGAACATCACCTGCTTCGGCCGCAAAGTCTCTCCCCTGATCATTCGGCTCAATACATAGTTGTACATAGAGCATGCGTCCGTCAGGCAGAATTACCCCGGTATATCACGGACTTGTATTACTTACTTTCAAATGCAATTGTTTGGCCGTTGATTCCATGTATATTCACTCTCTTTCCTGTGATATAAGTACCGACAGCAAGTCGGCAGAGTGTATCTCGGTCATGTGTTGCAGTTGGCACGGTATCCTTCAGTTTCTTGTCTTTTCAGAATTGACCGATTTATACTCCATATGACCGATCGCCCGATCTCGGTCGCCGCATCACGCATGCCGATGAGATTCCACGCAACTGAAACTTCACCAACTCGTACAATTCACCGATATCTTCTTGCCATCGTCTTCAGCTCAGCAGTCCTCCCCTCATCGCACCGCCGCTTCCACGAACGGAGCCAATGGCAACCATTCTGGCACTCCTACTGCCAGATGGCCACTCGGTCAGGCTGATCGCCCCACCCAATGGCATCGCCGCCACGACTCTCAATGGCACAGCACATCAACCGACAGACGTGCAGATGTCACCTCCTGCGGAACCTCCCCAGTCCAATCAGACTGGCTCACCAGTGTCTCAAGGCTGAGTCTCAGCACATTCCTATCTGTCCCACTCAGTAGTTACCACATCCCTATGAATGGCTATGCCACCCTGCCTAATGGCACTGTCATGCAGGTGCTGCGACCGAATGGCTTCATGCAGCAATGTCTTCTGACCAGTCATATTTGACCGAGTCGTATTTACCCAGTGTCTTTTGACCGAGTTGTATTTACCCGAGTGTCTCTTGACCAAGTGTCTTTTGACCAAGTCATATTTGACGTGATTCGTATTTACCCAAGTGTCTTTTGACCGAAGTCATATTTGACTGAGTCGTATTTACCCGAATGTCTCTTGACTGAGTGTCTTTTGACTGAGTCATATTTGACCGAGTCGTATTTACCCGATGTCTTTGACCATGTCATATTTAACCAAGGTGCTCTTAGTGTATTTACCTGTGTCTTTTGACCAAGTCGCATTTACCTGAGTGTCTCTTGACTGAGTGTCTTTTGACCGAGTCATATTTGACCGAGTCGTATTTACCTGATGTCTTTTGACCAAGTCATATTTGACCAAGTCGTATTTGACCGAGTCATATTTGACCGAGTCATATTTGACCGAGTCGTATTTACCCGAGTGTCCTTGACCAAGTGTCTTTTGACCAAGTGTCTTTTGACCAAGTCCTATTTGACCGAGTCGTATTTACCCAAGTGTCTTTTGACCGAGTCATATTTAACCGAGGTGCTCTTAGCATGTATCTTGCATCGGATCCTGGTAGATCCCTCATCCATCATATTTGACCGAATGTCTGTTGACCAAGTTGTATTTGACCGAGTGTATTTGACCGGGGTGGTCTTGGCATTTATATTATGGATCGATTCCTGGTATCCCTCATCCATCATATTTGACCGAATGTCCTTTGACCGAGGTGGTCTTGGCATGTATATTATGGAAGCTAGTCTATGAACACTTTCAGCCCATCTGTATATATCAGTACCACTGCCCACTCGGCCCACTTGTTTCCATCATACATATATATATAGCTCTTGTATATTGCCTATCAAATGCAATAGCAAACTCCACACTTTGGACTATCGGCCCACCTGTTGGTATCAGGTACATACTTCATACACTACCTACCAAAATCAATAGAAAAGTCTACACTTATCTACACTACATACTATGGGCCCACTGTTTGTATCAGATACACACTTGAGACCGGCCCACCTGTCGGTATCAGGTACATACTTCATACACTACCTACCAAAGTCAATAGAAAAGTCTACACTTATCTACTAAACCACATACTATGGGCCCCCTGTTTGTATCAGATACACACTTGAGACCGGCCCACCTGTATTTAACACAAAGATACATTGATGGGCCCACGTCGGGTGGCCTGTGTAGAACAGGGATATTTCAACCTCGGCTGTATGTTTTATATGAGGGTAAAGTGACTACAGTATGTGCGCTGACAACTTGAAAGACAGCGAGATGTTGGATTGATTATCGAATACCGACAAACCAAAATAGTAAACACATCTGATACAACAGCACTGCACTCGACATTGGATCGCGCAGTCGATGCATCGCTTGTCACAGCCTCGTACATCCTGATCGATAATGCATGATTGATATCTGATGAAATTACAAGTTAACGCCCGGGACATGTCAGAAAAGGAACTTTGGGTCTGTACGGCTTCATGATCGAACAAGCAAAGCCGACTCTTTGTTCTTCGAAACGTGCAGATAAAACATTGATGGTCATATTCTTGATGAGCCTCGCAAGTGTCGCCTCCAAGGTCTCTTTGAATAACACGTTCGTGATATTCTCTTGATGGAAACGAACAATACAATGTGAAGGTTGTGAAATTCCAGCATTGAATCCTAAAGTAGCAGTGCTGATCAGACCTCGAGGATCATTTGCATCCACGAAGTTTAATAACGTCGTAGCGAGCACTGAAAAGCTAAGCCATTTCTAGTGCGGTATACATGAGCAAATGACCTGGGCTCAATATGGACAGGGAATGCAATCCGCTGGGCCTACAGCGCGGTCCAGTCTCTCACCAGCAAACATTTCTCCTCAGGGTCCCTCACAAGCCCTCATCCAAACCCGCAGCCTCCCATGTCCCTCGAGTTCCACATGCAAAAATGCATTCTTATTTGCCTGCAGTCCCTCATAAAACACAGAAGACGGCAGACCTTGTGGGTCGATCAACACAGTCCTTCAATAATGGTGTCTGTTCATCACACACCACTTCAGGAGTGCTGCTACCTCCACTGAGACGTCCTCGTATGGCAGCCCAGTGCACTAATCTTCACCTTTAGAAGGCGCCAAGTCAACCACCTCGTCTTCTTCGCCCTCCGAGACGGGCTCAACATCAGAATGCGCTGGCGAGATCACACCAGATTGCTTCCCGGGGGTGCCTTTGTGGTGCTCGACTGTGAGGTAACTGGTGGTTGGCTTCAGGATGTCGGCGTCCACTGGGGGTGTGAGGTGAGCGGAGCACATCAGAGGCAGATCTTTTGACTCACTTTGGGGCAGTCAGAATGGCACAAGATCTACACGATTTGGCACCAGGATGACACAGGCTACACAGCCGTGTATGAATTTACTAACGACAGTCTATTAGCGGCGTAGAAATGCCTGCTGGTGAGAATCATACATGAACTTGGGAACAGCTTCGACGAGGTGGAATTGAACAAGGTCCGTAACCCACTTGATGGCTCTTGTTCGAACTGAGTCTGAAGCTTGACTTCTAAAACACCACGCCTTCAAAGAGCGTGAATATATCCTCCGATGTCAGCTGGTCAGGATGATGGTCAATGTCGATGTCGATCTGCCGCCAGCACGGGACCGGCTGTCCCATTGTCTTCGCGCACCATCATAAGTTCGGCATCACGCGATATCCGCACACAATCATCTCCTGGGAATATAATGCAGTCCTATTGTAGAAGGTCCTCTTGACTAGTATATTCATGAGTGAGGAAGGCAGACATTGGGCATGCTTACATACCTTGTTGGAGCTGCTTCGTAAGAATACGATACTGAATCTCGCTCAAACCTAGACCTTGGAGCTCTCCGTCCATGATGTATTCTCCACGTTGAAACGCATTCATGAGAGGTTCTTTGATAGGACATCCGACTTGACAGATTTTTCGCAGCTCTAGTCCTCTATGTGAGTCTTGTGCCCGACGAAAATCTGAGGCAGGAGGTCGAACATGATCTCGGCGAATGGACTCGAGCACACTCACAATTTTGACATCTGTGTCGCTGAACCACCTGTAGATAGATTGATTTGGCACCCTCTATCTTCTCCAGTCGCCCGAAGTCCAGTTCAAGATTTTGGTTGTCAAACTATATCGAAGTGATGACTGCAGTACTCGTCAACGTCGAGTCTTTAGCTTTAAATACAACGACAACATACCAGCATCCTTCTGTTTGAATTCTTTCTTATCATTGAACACTGAAACAGGAGGTGAGTTGACAAAGTACTGGAAATGAATCATCACCGACCGAGAACAAGCAGATGTTGAAAAATGGCCAGTTTCAGTGGTACGATGTTATCTGGATTCTGGATCTACCTGGAATCGTCTTGTTAACAGAAATACAAAAGAAAAAGCTTTTGATAATTACCCAATACTTTTGTCTGACGCACTCTGATTCCTGCCTGCGCTTGAATTGGGTGACCACTACAGGTGTGGACGAGGTTGTAGAGCTTGGATAACTTGACGATCAAAGAGCCTCAATTGTATTTATACGGAAGCGTCTTTCCTCAAGGTTATGATAGCTTTAGATGGTCCTGAATGAACGTTCTTTGATTTCAAAGGGCGGTCAGGAAGACATCCAGAGTCTAGAGAACGGGCATGCAGTGTTTCTGAGAATGGTGAGTTGGCAAAAAGCAAGAGGTACCTCGAGGCTCGAGGAGGATTTTGAGAAACTGGCAATATTCAATTTCGAAGGCCGTCACCAGACTTTGACGCAAAATAGTTACCGGCGAGAATGTGGGATTATAAGAGAATTTGACGATAATCTGAGGCGAGAATATCGGGACTTATATCCACCATTCATTTGCTGTCGGATATCAGCGCGAGACTTAGAGATCTAGAATTTGTTAGCAATTGTCATTCACGTGCACACGCGTCGTCGTCGTCTTTAACCTCCGCTAACTAGTACTCTGAGTCCCTCCTAGGCCTCCGATGCCTTTGCAATCCTATCTCTCATGCACCTGCGAGAGCTTCAACTGCAAGTACAACCCAGATGGTAGCGGACAAAAGCTTCAAACCGCTCAAACGGCTACCAGGCATCAGCGTGCAGATGAGATTCTCGTGCCTCAAGCAGATGCTTTGGGTCAGGCATATGGGTTATCAGAGGACCTTACCATTACTGATAGTCTGGAGCATGTAGGAAATGCACACCAGCCCCCAGATGATCCAGGGGCTGATTTCGACAACAATTCAGACCATGGCAACAATGATGCGGGGGACGAAGACATATTGCCGGATGATGAAGCTAACAATAACCTCAGACTCGAAGCACAGCCTCATTTTCCTGAGCTCGATGATCTTTTTGAAAGATGGGATGAGCCCTATCCTGCCAACGATGACCCAGGTGCATTCAGCTCTGACCCTGATGCTGAAATCTTTGAACACCTTGGACAACTGAACCTTGAAGATCCGGTGAACTCTGATGAAGAACTTGGAATGCCAGCTGAGGGCAACCACAATGATGAATTCCGCCCCGACAATGACGAGCGACTGAATGACATCGATGTGGCCCTTTTCGTTTCACAGGGCGCTAATTTTGATTTCTCAGATGTCTATGAAGATGCTGACATTCACGCCTCACCCCCTCCCTGTATGAACGATCACCCGGCGGTCCATAATGCTTACATTTGGGCCTTTATTTCAGCAGCATTCTATAATGCTACCCACACAGCTGTGTACCATGACCTCGAAGGCAAGGAACACCTCCTCCACACAGCTCAACAAGCAAACCCGGATATCGAATATCCGGGCCTAGATAATTTTGCTCGCACACTGCCTACCCTCCTCAAGTGCCTTGGTCTGTCAATGGACCAGTTTATCATCTATTTCTTTGTCTGCGACATTTGCTGGAAGCTTCATCATCCCTCTGTACTTTCTGAACTCGAGTCTCCTGAGTGCACTATCGATGACTGTGATGGCACATTGTATAGGCAGAAATGCCTCTCTGACGGCACACTAAAACGAACACCAATGAAGCTTGTGCCATATGTCCCCCCAGAACGTGCACTACAGCGCCTTTTCTTACGGCCTGGCAAGTGGGAGCAATTTCAGCATTGGCGTGGTCCGGAGGACCAACTGGGTCTTGTACCTCCCATTCCTGGTCGAGGCTATGACTTGTTTCCAGACCCCTCGAAGCCAATGCAAGATATTTACGATGGATACGGTTGGCGCATGATTCAAGCAGGGTTAGAATGCCAACGAGGTGGACCCTGGGAGATAGAAGATGTTGATGTCCACGAGCTACATCAATGCTTCATGTCTCTGCCCTGTGGCTTAGTCTGGCAAATCAACATAGACTGGTATGTATATTTCTAGCAGACTTTCATCATTCCGTCACTTCCTATCTCATCAGGTTTCAAACTGTCAAAGGCAAATCCGGTTATCACTCGACTGGGGCTTTCTACGCTGTCATTTGCAACAACCCACGCGAGATTCAATACCTTGCCGAAGAGACCATTCTTCTCATGGTCATTCCTGGACCTGACGAGCCTTCCCTAGAACAGATGAACTACCTGATCAAGCCCTTCGTCGAGAGTATGCTCCGGCTTGAAAAGGGTGAAATTTTACCCTAATCATCGACCTAGTTATTAACTACATACAGGAGTAGAATTCAGGGTCAATGGCCACGAGGATCCAGAAGTCTCACATTCGCACTTATACTGCAACGTCTCTGATCTTCCCTCCAGCCGTAAAACCAGTGGTCTTCAAGGCCATAACTCAAAATTTTTCATGTGTCCAACCTGCAAGAAACCCTTCTTCTTGCTTTCCCATCCCAGCTGTTTTGACCACGAAAGTACGTTAGCCATTGTCCGCTCTATGATCCTCAATCACTAATCATGTCTTTATGTACGTATAGCCTTTCAGTATAGAGATGAATGGAGATATATTAAGTATTCATTTCATGCACGCACTGCAGACCCTCCTACAGCCAAAGATATCAGCAACAATCGAGGGGTTCGTTGGTCGACACTAAACTACCTTCCAGGCTGGATGCCAGCCCGCAGTTCAGTTATCGAGTTCATGCATGCAGTTTTCCTCAGTGCGTCGCTATGGTATCAATGTACAATCTTTGTACTAACATTATCAGCTATGGTCAAGCATCTCAATAGAATCATTATCCTCAAGTCCGGTCTTCTAAACAGAACAAGACATATCAGACCCATGGAGAAACTCGAGGATTTCTTCTCTAGACTCGTGTGGCCTGTTGAGGCAACTCGACTACCACCCTCAGTAAGCAGACTGCAATTTATTAATGTCTCAGTGGCATCGGCACTGATCTCCTTGTAGCTCGCAACTGGAAAAGGGTCCCCTAAGGCCGACCAATGGCGCAATCAAATCTTAGTTCTTTTCATTGCACTTTACGATGCATGGCAAGTCAACGGTGAAGTACCTGACCGTGACGCACCTCCTTCAGCATCTAACACGAAAAATCATGCTGCACAAGCTACAATGCAAAAGACACTTCGCTCACGGCTGATGGAGCTTCTCCTCGCTCATAATCAGCATCCATCAGATGCCGAAATTGCTCGTGTCAACACTGCCAAAATGGACCGCAGCTTGCATCACCACTATGGTGTCATCCTCAAGTTCTCTGCTGCCATTCGCATCCTATCCTTGCAGTCCATCAGTCCAAACGATGTTCGCAGAGGAAGCACTGCATTATCTTGTGCAACGCAGGGCTGGGCTCGCATGGGGTGTCATTTGACACCCTATTATCATTTTGGTATGCATTTTGCAGAGCAGATGTATGAATTTGGTCCGTGTTATGCCACATGGGCTTTTGCCTTTGAACGACACAATGGAAAGCTTGCGAGGGTCAACCACAATCAGCACAAGGGAGGTGAGCTCGAGGCAATGCTGATGCAACGATGGTGGAGTATTATGTTCAATTATGACCTTGTGAGTTGTTACGTGTCTGTTGCTATTGTGCTGACCATTTCCATCTCAAGATCCTCCATATCAAAGCCCTTCCTAACCGCACTGAGGACGATGAGGATTCTCTTCGGCTCCTCCAGATGTCACTCAAGGCACAGCAAAAAGACGGGCAAGGTATGTAGTATTATCCTCTTGTGTCATGTCACCAATAACATCTCATGTTTGAATACCTTGCAGACCAATTGATTTTTGCCAAGCACCCAAAAAAACTCAGCTTATCGGCCATCAGCGGTGAGATATATCGGATTGTGTTTGAATACCTACGACACGAGTGACGCGCACTATTACATCTCAAGCCCTCGACTAGCATCATCGGAGAAGGCGAGAACTTCATGGGTCGTGCCAAGTGTTACTCTCACGTGTGGCTGAAGAAACTTCGGTATGGTGCTGCTACTGCTCACCGAGGAAAATCAGCACGCTACGCATACATTCATGAACGTGAGCCTGCAGAGATTCAGTACCTCCTGCAGGTCTTGCATGACCGACTCGATGCTGATGCAGAACCTCTTATTGCTGATCTCGCTGTTGTATGGCGATTCATTTCAGATGATGATATACCCGACTTTCCATGGGCACTTTGGTATGTAACTTTTAACAGTCCATGGAAGATGCTTATCATATTTTCTAGGGCAACAGATTTAGGTGTCGCTGTATGGCTCGCAGAACATCTTGCCGATTCAGAGGTCATTCCCCTCACTGCTTTGTCTGGACACTTTGTCCTCACTCCCATTGAGGTGCGCAACCAGAAGTTTTGGATCACAGTTGCATATGATCATGTACGTTGCTCTTATCTTTGTCTACTTCATTTGTACTCAAGTCTTTTGATAGACCAACCCAGAAGGAGATGTCGAGGTTGACAATGATTGAATGAAATGTGCTTCTACTGATACAGTGTATGTCCATGCTGAGTCTCAATTGACCATTGTTACTAGTCAAATTCGTCGCCAACAAGAAGCCCCTCTTGTTCGTCATCTGCAAGGTCATCGTCATGCCAGTCGTGAGGTTTGGCAGTGTTGCCTTCGTCATCCGAGTCAGGAGTCATGACTTGATGTTGACAGTTAATTCGAGCCAAATACAAACAACATCAATAACACACCAATAGTTCTATCATATCTTGACAGGTCTTGCAGGTGCGCTTGCAACCAACCAGCGTTGATCAAGCCAATCGGTATCTTCAAGCCTGTCTTAACATCCAGCAAGTTTCTATCCCTTGGTTCACCAATGGTTCGAGGATGACGGCGACCAGGTTTTTTATTCTCTTTCTTGTTTTCAAGTACAATGTCGTTCAAATGGTCCATGGCTTGATTCAGCTGCGCTAGTGATTCAGACCATCAACAACACATAATCAATTTGATACGCACCAACAATGCTCGGTACTTGTCATGATGAGTCACCCAAGCTTCCTTGGATGGGGCCTTTCTCTTACCCTTGACTTTTGCAGGCTTCTTATGAAGGTCTTTCTCCTCATCAGTGTCTGGATCGATACCTCCACGATCGTCTTCCGATTGCACACTCTTGTCGGTGCTCTGGTATGGCAAGGTAAAGGCAAAGTCCCATTGCATATTTGTGAGATCGGATTTCGTCTGTGAACTGATTCGTTCCTCTAGTTTCTGATTTAAAGTTTAGTCAAGTGACAACGTCATCAAGTTGAAAATTTGTCTTACCATTCTCTTCCGCACTTCCCTGCGAGCGACCTGTGGGTCAATCTTACCCTTAGCCTTTCCGGTGATCAACGAGAGCTTATTTGCAGTGCGGTAGTCTGCAGCATAATGTTTGAAATTTTCATGTAAGTGCTTAAGAATGTCGTCATCCGTCTTTGAATTGATGAGTTCAGCAGAGATGATTGGGTGGCATGATCGAATGTTGTCCCTAACATATTGGACGAGGTGCGTGTGCCAAGATGCATTGTCGCTCCAATCCTTGCTGAAGTCTGGTCGAACCTGTTCGCCTGTGATTTGCGATCCATCTTCATTTGGATGATACTCCTTGATCGTGCTCGCCTTCATCACACCTATTGCCTTTAAGAAGGTCTTCCGAACTCCAGTCTTTGGTCGGTGTACTAGGTGAATATGTGAAGTACATATTAATATGAATTGGTCACTCACATTCCAGATATTATCCTTCGCATTCTCACCTGCCGCATGTGCAACCTTCACTTTTGACGGTTCCCCACTACCTTCCAATGACTTTGTGATGACATCAATGTTCGAACGGACAGAGTCAAGAGATACACGTGTTTTGTCGACGTCTTCTCCAAGCTGAGTCTGATCATCGTGTAGCATTGCAATCAGCTGACGAAGCTCGTTTAATTCCGCAGTTTGTTCTTGAAGAAGATCTTCGGTCTCTTCTAGCTTCTCTTTGTGGGACTTGACGTCGTTCTCAAGACGTCTTATGGTATCAGTGAGCCATTTGGGAATGACGACAGCTGCGCGTGTGCTCGTGATCGATTTGGTAGGAGTTGCAGATACATATCTATTGCTTGCTGACAGTTGAGGAGCCACAGATGACAAACGCAATGGTGTTGTGAGGGCATCCAACAAAGTGAGTGAAGATGCAGTCAATGTCAGGGACACTGATTCAAGTCTGCTGCCAGTGGTGAACACATCAAATGGATTGTTGCTGGGTGCTGAGGTGGCGAGTGATTTCTTTGTGGGAGCAAATTGATTGAACTTTGCAGGCGGAGGTGGCATTCACTTGATATCGGTGCCGTGGTCTCGTGGCAATGCCGTGGACAGTATGGTTGACTCTTGTTCCCATATAGCTGGATCTATCGGTACATTGTCACTCTCCGATGGAGTGTCCCTTGTATCTAATGGCTCCAGCTCGGGATCGGTACTGGTAGGGCGCATATATGCATCATATTGTTGGTGGTGGGGCAGCATATGATCGAAGGACTGTGGAGGGTGAGGAGGAAGAGACCCAGGAGGTACGAGGTGTGTTATGGCTGCTGCCTGCTGGTTGGTAGGGTGTACTGCTGAAGATCTATTCAGTGTGAAAGGATTTACAAACCCCCTTGTGGCAGACTGTCCTTGGACTGTCTTTCGCACTCGTTTCGAGGTCCCTATCGTGTCACTGGTGCCTTCATCGAGACGCCTCTTTGATGCATCCTTCTGTATCCCTACGACAACCGCCTGGTTCGCTACACCCTGCGATGCATTCTGGCCTGCCAGAGCCTTCCGAGGAGCCATGTATCTCGATCTAATTCACAACTGGTGGTTGCAAAACGTGTCAAAATGGCTTGGGACTTTGCTGGATAGATCACGTAGGTCTGGCACACATGTACAGGCCTGTCAGATGGCTGTAATTGTCGCAGTGAGGAGCAGAAGGTGTATAAGGAGGATCCATTGTATATAGACTACATACAGTCAAATAATTGACAGGTTAAAAATTAGCAAGAATATCCTATTTTTACCAGGGAACTATCGTTCATTAAGGAATCATTCCGACGATAATTCAATGATCCGAAAATCGTCAACTTATTGTCGGAAATTATCTCTATCCGTCGATATTTTACCGTCGACAAAAGCACGTCAAAGTCTGGTGCGTGAAAGATGTCGCAATGATTCAGCTGTTCTTGAAATTTATTTGCACACTTTCTCGCTATTTTTCACAGCTACTATCTGTTCCCATACACTCGGCACCCCCAGAAGTCGGCAGGTCACACATTTTAGCGGGAAAATGTGACACTTTTGTTTCAATTGGTCACATGCAGTCACACAAAACCCTGCGAAAAAAGTGTGACTGCCGACTTCTGGGGGTGCCGAGTGTACGGGAAACAGATAGTACTTTCATATTGATAGACCAGAATCCATTTTTGTTCATTCACCGCTTTTGTTTACTTGTGGAGCTGGACAAACAAAAGGGTCCCGCCTATTACGATACTTGGTCGGGCGAAATACCCCCAAATGGCACTGGACTGCACAATTTCTATGATACAGTATACTGCTCATTTGGCACTGAATCTGACACCCTTCTGAGCTCACTGCTGGTATGACTATTTATCACCAACTCATCATAGTATGTTTAACATTAATATTAGTGGTACTCAAAACAACTTTTGCAACTCTTGAAACTTCTCTTAAACACCGGGTCTGACATTGATCGTAACTCATCGACTAATGGTGTCGCAAGCTGTGAGATGGAATGGAAAAACTTGGGGATGCACTGGCTGGGTTGAATAGCATGGTCAGCAAGCATATTGTGGGTTTGTCAAGACCCGACGTACCAATATGTGAATCAGGGATGTTGCAAAAAGCTTAGATCGTGAAATGATTTTTGGCGTAATAAGTGTGTTCGTCGGTGATCGATGCTATGGAAAACTCGATGGATGGTGGTGATATCGGTTGAAGGATAAGTGGGCGCTCGTCTAGTTGCAAGACACAGCCAGGTGGCATGCGGGAGTTCCATTCAACACGGATATGGATGATTTCGGTTCGTTAGCCATTCTCCCAAGGAGGGCGTAGGTTCCATCAAAAGGGTTTTGGCATCTGAGGAAGGAAGCAACTTGTAGGGAAGGGAAAAAATCAGAGCGTGTTTTCCCCCACAGACAAGGCGGCTTGCTCGTTGGGGTTCATTCGTTTTCGTTCAGGATTGTGTCATGTGATGCGAGCATGCTGAAGGAGTGATGATGACACCTGACGCGGACACATGATGCATTTGATGGAGGCGCAGAGTTTGATGGAATGCACATATAGGACAAGTACGGTACTTGTGCGGTTTGATCGTAGGGATAGCGGTACACCAGCACTGAAGAGATTACTCTTGGGTAGGAAAGAGAGAAACCAAAAAAAAAAAAAATCTGATTTCTCAGAAATTACCGATAAGACCACACAGGAAATCTATAAAGACCTTCGCGCCGAGGAGGTAACCACATTCAAACTCCTTGAATTCATCCACCTAGCTATATCATCATGTACACCGTAAGCCTTGCCATTGCGTTTTCGTTTTCGTCATCTTGATCATTTCGCAGGTCGCTCAAGTCCCTGTTTCCCAGAACAACTACGGTTCGGCTAGCTGCTCGTGCGGCGAATCGTGGGTCGTACTGCCTTTAAATGAAGTCGGATTTCTGGTCTGATTCACGACTTTATGCACAGGTGCCAATGTAAGGTCGGAGAGTGCAAGTGCTGAGCGCTGAACGCTGAGTGTTTGAGGGGACGTGTAGTTATAGGATGGTTTATGAAGGAGTCAAGTGTATGGTTTGGACGTTAACATGCATGTGGTTGGATTCTGAAATTGTCATCAGAGGACGCTCACCATCAGAACAACGGCAAGCCGTCGGACTAGGTAACTGGGTTTGAATTTAGATTCTCCAGCGAGTTAGTCCAATTTGCGTCGGTGAGTTATGTTGTCCGAAACCACTCTGCGATCACCGTGCCTAGTGGCTATGGAAAAACTAGTACTGTCGTCAACAGCTCACCCCAACTAATTTCCACAACCTCTTAGACTCGTCACTACGGATCCAGTCTTCCGCGTCTTTGAACAAGATCTACGTAACACCTCCCCAGCTGGTGAGCTGTTAAGATGCTCATCTGCAGCCTTGGGACCAACGTGATTTGAAGGTGTTTATGGCTCTGTGGCCCTGCGATGTCTCGCAAGCAGGTCAGCAACTTGACTGCGAGTCGCACAACTAGGGTTTGGGGGTGCAGCAACTACCGCAGGACTTGAGGCTGGAGTTTAATAACAGTGTTCATTTCTGTTAACAGAATGTCGCGACCGTCTTATTAAGAAACCTTGAATGAGACGCCGCCGAATCGAGAATACCACTATCACAAAAAGTTGGGCTTCCTGAACGGCCATGAGGCGCTACATGTGCGATAATCTGAGTCGTCTTCCCTGTCATGTTCATTTCCATGTTCACGTACTATAGGGATGCGTTGTATACCCGCCAGACATCACTAATCAATTATGGATTATTGATCAGGAATGTATCAGGCTGTGGTTGAAATCGATGCATCACCCTCGCAACAACTGCGCGATGGTGCACTGAGTATATGCAGTGCGTTTTGCAAAGTTGCTTCAGATTCTATGCTTACCGATTTTTGGCACCTTATGATAGTCCGATGATCGAGGGAGAGGGGCACATGAGGCGACAGGTGCTGACGATGACGAGGAACAGGAAAATTAGTAATTGAGAGGTATGCTTGAAGGGCCTGGGCGCTGGAGGAAGCCGGGTAGATGTGCGAGTTATCCGTTTGCTTTGTTTGGATGACTCTCGTCAAGAATCATTGAAACAGTAGGCTTTATAATTGCGTACAGACGGCGGGTTTCTTCGATGGCAATAGGCTTGCTTTCGATCAATGAACTACATGATTTCATTGATGCGAATAACCGATGCACGTGGAGCAACAAGATCTGGGAAGGTCACAAGTTGCCGAAATCGCGAACAGGTCTTCGATCTTTGCAAACAATCATTTGACATTCCGCGTGGTTCAATCATTAATCATTCCGCGCGTGTCACTGCTTTGCAGTTTCCCTACTTCGAGAACCCAAAAATTCTTGCTTCGGCTAGTCAAAAGCAGGATTGCGTATCAACCCTATGACGTTCGTATCTGTCCTAAAAGCGCTGGATGGTGGTATATTTATCACGACCGCCATCCTCATACGTCTACCATCTTCGCTTGCGTATACCCATCCTCTAACAGTATGACACTAATTTCAAATGATCCAAGTTGGTGGCCGAGCATTGATGCAAATCGTGTTGGCGGCTATTTTGTAGGTTCGTGGAGAGCCTGTCGAATGATGACGGTGATGTGTCAATCTAACCTTGGCTGCGGTTTCGCAGTTGCCTCCTCTGCTGCGGTGATGTATGATTAGGGTAAGCAAGATCAGTATTCAAGAACCGCTGATATCATCATGTAATTTCCAGCATTGACATTCGGGCAAGAGGTGGGCTAATGCCATTAACGGATGCGGCAGTCATCTCGCTGAGAAGAGTTTTACAGGTCGAACTGGTCTGGGTGAGCAGAGTCGCACATCGTAAGAAGAACACGTAAATATAATAATGGCAACAGAGGCAACGCTGGTCCCTGATGACCGTTCTGTATCTAAGTGTGTGTAGACTCGCGTTATAAGTGTGATAGGCAAGTTGTGCTGACTTAAACATATCTTAGGTGCGCTACCTTGGAATATTATATGCTATGTATGTTCGGAAGGCTAGGCGATCAGTGTTGTGCTAATCGGTTGCCTCCCACAATCAGCATCGAGATTCTGCGCGTGTCTTCTCACATACATTGTAGTTCTTTCTTCTGACCAATAGTATATAGTATGGGTTCCGACAATCTCAGCGACAGATGTAGTGAGTGTCCTGTACTTATACCTACCACCCCTACCCAACCAACTGCACTCCCATGTAGGGGTGAGTAAGATTATTGATCAGCTTTCAATATAATGACTGTCGCAGCTGTGAGTTTTTTTTTGGAGTGTGATGTTAATCGCTAACCCGATTTGCCAGGCTTTATCATGTATGTCATACAAGAGTGGACAACTGTCGTCGGAAGTGCGATACTGGGTGGTGAGCTAAACGGCTGCAATACCTCAGTGCTGTTGACTTGACTGAACAATCATGCCAGTCATCATGATCACTCGGTTATATGCCATGTATCACCGATCTAGACAGGTGTTGATACTTCTCGTCGTCGTCTGCCTGGCTGTCAACATCGCTGACGTAGTGGTCGTTGCATTATCAATGAGACACAGTTCAGGGGGTAAGTTTTAATTATAGATGAATGACTTATCGCATCAGGCTCATTGACGAATACCAGATGAACTTATTCTCTCCGGCACTTATCAGTGCACTGTTGACTTTTCCGGAGAGGATGGATTGCTGGTTGCCATGACTTGGATATTTACCGCCGTATGGGAGGTCCTCGCACTGTGTTTCGCAGTCTGGATTGCTATAAAACATTTCCGTGAACTGCGACGACAAACGGCAGGAGGGATTATTGGGGACTGTTTCACGGTATTAATGAAAACTCACGTAGTTTACTTTGCGAGGTGAGCTCATAATGTCACCATCGTTCTCGCGTTTTGCTGAAGTTCCGTACGTGGTAGCTTTGTTGCTGGTTCGTGCCTCAACCTCGGTTATACGTTTTCAACAATGTCAGCGGTATGTCAATCTATCACTAACCTCTACATACGGCCACGGTTCATCAATTCTATAGGACTCGTATTCCGTTGGAACTCAGATTTATCTTGGAGTTCTTCAAATTTTCATGCTCGTGCAGATGTTTGTACTGGGACCACGCCTGATTCTTAGCATTCGAGAATATAACGCTAAGCTCGTGGCCGACTCCGACGCAGGGACCGCCATGACTTCAATTGCGTTCCAGGTGCGCGTGCATGTATTAACTAGCAGCAGTGTGTAGAAGGAGAAACACTCGATGTGATCAGCACTTGCTGGGCATTGTGCAGGAAGCTGGAAGCTGGAGAATTTGTTTCAGTTTTGGTTGTGGTACTCATATGAGCTATTTGATGTTCCGAAGTAAATTTGCAAGAGAAATAAGTCTAGAGTATATGTCACTTTTTTCTTTTTTTCAAGATCAAATTTCAGTTTTTGAGAGTAGTACTCTATGTAAGACAATATATTCTAGTCTAAGGGACCCTGTGTCCCGCCGCACTTCAAGATTCATGAATGCCCCAATGTGAGGCTTGCCTCCACCAGTCCACCGTTCCCGCCGCGCGTTTTAGACATACAATCTGACGACGGAGAGGTGACTTTGAAGGTACGCGCATTTAAGCAACGGATGGAGATAAACGGAACACGTACTCGGTCGCACAATGCGACTAGTATTGAAATGGGTAAAGGAGGCAAAAAGACGAGAAGGATAAGCCGGAGAGGTTGACGTGGGCTTGGATCCTCTTCTATTTCCATAGAACATTTATTCCGTATAGGCGAGTGTAGATGATTAAGTGGTTGGTTGGTTAAGTGATCCAGTGATCGTGCGATTAGGAGGTCATATAGTGGTAGAGGTCGAATTATGCGTGGGTAGGATATGAGAGTGCGATTGAGTGCGATGTACGAGTGTGGTGGTGCGTATGATGCAACGCGAGCTTGAATGTGGTGTCAATCTACGAATGAATAACAATTGATGGCGTTTGCCAGTCCGATCGTGCTGGAGTCATAGAAACTTCACCGAATGTGGTCTTCAGTCTTCCTGTCGTGTCGATGAATCGAATGAGATGTGGAATGGCTTCGTGGTCGTATATATCACCACAACTTTACTTGAGCAGTCGTTCAACAGCCTTCGTTCCTTCTTTTCTCTGTGTAGTGACATCTATCCTTCATGTACAGAGTTATTAGCAGTCAGGATTACACCTTGTAAAATAGTCGCCATCGCGTCACCATTCAACTCCTCATTACATCCAAGCCCCATTGCTTGACGAGCTGACAGGTAGCGACAATCTGTCTGTCTTCGTCTTCCCGTTCAACCGACGCAGATTGATGTTGAGAACTGCGCGAACGGGACAATAACACGAATAGTTAGACATGATGTAGGTGCATACACTGATAGCCTTGAAAGGCGTCTAATGCACGTCGTATAAAAGCAGGTCCGGTTTGGAAAGAATATTGATGGAGGCCGAGGGACTCGAAGGTGTTGGACGCGTCGTCGATCGTCGGGTACGATACATAGGAAATTCCAGGGGAAGTGAAGGTCGAAAGCATGAGCCTCGCCATAAGTGGACATACGGTGATTTTCGTCCACCGACACATTAGTGTGCCCCATTCGACGATTTCAGAGAGGAACATCGTAATGCTTGGAGGACAGTGTACACGACTGCCTCTGAACCCTGGTACAGCAGCATAGCAATTTTACAGCACATGCATATCAGCTTTCCAGCGAGTTTGAAGGAATCTCACCGTGATGATGGGAGGGCAACGAAAGTTTGATTATTTTAAAATATTCTGTCGTACAGGATGCAAAGTCAAACGCAAATGCAGGTAGCATCAGCTCAAAATCCCACGCCAAAGACGAAAATTTTCACCAACCTCCAAGGCCAATAGCCCAGCAGCGTGGTCTAAATCAGCTATAATCTCCTTGTCACTATCCAATCTCGCCTTCTCGCGCGGATTAAGGGCAGTGTATTCATCATACTCAACATTGTCGGGTGGTCTAAGCGCGCAACAACTAGAGGTGTTCGTGTGCAGTCTGTTTGAGATTTGTGCTTGCGCTTCCCCTTCACCGAAACACACGGGTTCGCTTGCGAAGCGTTGTCATTGTCAGCACTGTTCTTACCGGCGCCGCCAGCTCATTGACTCCCAGACGCGAGCGTTACAGCGCTGTTTGGTCCAGGAGATGATGCGCGGAGGACGCTCGTGCATGCGATGCAAGGTGTGGAATGAAGAAGAGGTTGCGCAGAGGATGAATTTGAATTTGAGAGAGTATTGATCAATGAACCGGTCCTTCGGCCGCACCTTCCAGAGGTACGTACCCGTCGAGTTTTCAAAATCAGATTGTCAATGTCTATGGTTCGTCTAAGGGAGACTAGGAACTTCTTCGAGCCATGCCACATCCCGCACATCCTCTCATCCACCTGCAGGTCCCATCGTCGACGGCCTCTGATCATTCGCCGGCCATCTGGAAAGTAGGATACTGATGGAATACGCCAAGTACGAGCAGGGTGTTCTTCGGATGCCTTCGGGCGAGGTCTCTTCATCAACGAATTCAAGAATCACGAGAGGCCAGGTTGACTCGTTTGAGAGCGCACATGAAGGCGCTCGAGGCGAAAATTCCATCTGAAATCTGGTCTATCGATATGAAAATAAGTACTTATGGTGGTAGCAGTTCAGGGTACTTAGTACACCTTCTTTTCATTCCGGGACGTTCCGAATGAACTTCGTGAACTTTGATCAAACTCGTTAAGTTCTCGTGCACAGTGACGCAGGAGAGGTATCTCCCGTACGTACACTAACCGTAGCATCAATCAATCTCACCGTAACAACAACTTGAACCCATCGCACTCTACCATGTACAGAATCAATCCCATCTTACCACCAACTACTACATTACCATCCAGTTCTGCAAGGCGAGCATCCGTCTTCGCCATCTACGTCGCTGCCGAGCTTCAAGATAATCCATGAATAGCATCGGCATTCGTTCTGAGGTGGTAGTTTGGTTCGGACAAGAACCTCCCAAGTGGGTGACGGACCTTGTCCAGTTCCACCTCGTCGAAGCCGTTCCCAAGTCAAAGTATGATTCTCATAGACAAGGGGTCCTTGCCAATTACGAACTCAATTAATAAATTCACCCACGGCTGCGTCATCCCACTGCCGGATTGTGTAGAAAAGTTTGTCAAGGAACGCGATGTGCCTGCGTCTCAGTTCAGCAGAGGTAGCAGCGCTCCTGAGGAAGTGTGCGATGAGCTGACGCCACAGATTGCAGTTCCTGTTTGTATCGAGCCCAAGGTGTGTGTCGCAATCGAGCGCACGTTCTTGGTAAGACTTTCATTCGCTGGTCGAGTTTGTTCGCTCATTTTTATCGTACTAGAAATGGCTCAGTTTTGCAGTGTTCATTGTATCGGTCGCTACGACATTTTTAAACTTCGTGAATGCAGATTATTCGTAGTGCCTGATCAGCGCAGCCTTGTTCGCTCTAGCTGCGCTGCTCGGCTGTGCTACGACAGTTATGGACTATTCTTTGCTTTGTGTTGTTGGCGCCGGGCATATATGACACGCAGGGGTGTTATTTATGTATTGAGCCTTGGACGCTGATAACTGATCGTTGCAATTCATCCGTGTTTATGATGCGGACATGTTGATCTGGGAGCTGGATGTAGTAATCGCAACTCCAGGTTAGTCTCTACACTGCCAAAAATGTTACCGTATGCAACCTACGGTCTGGGTCTACCGTAAGTTCTCGACGGCCCGAACCCAAAGGTGTCCTATAGTTTGCCCATAGTTTACCTGTAAAAGGGAAACGGCCGACAAACTATGGCAAGGCCCATGTTTTGGCCACGTTTGTCATCTTTTGCGCATCCCATAGTCTCAGCCTACCAACTACCCACGCACACAATACATACAATATTCTTGATACGTGCAGCGTGCTTACACCAATGTACCGTGTTGTTGAGGGCCGTATAGCGCGAGATTTCTACACAGACAAACCAACACTCCTTAAGCTATTGACCTTCGCCACGGCAACTTAGCAAACTGACTGCAGTGTCAATGTACAACACAATTGTGCAGCCAATCACTGCAACCTCACTTCAACACGACCAGCGTTACTCGAACGGGAGCGTCAAAGACTCAAAGGTGTACATTAGGGACAATTTTCATTTGTTTCATCGATATACTGTGGTAGTGACAATTTTCGACGCTGAATGTGCCGCAGTTTGAACTTAGCGAAAATAATCATCACTTGCCATTTTCCACGCTTCCACCACACTCAAACCCTCTCAAACCACACTCGCAACACTTCCACACTCCAGCTCCTTCCATCCAATGAACATCAACAGACTTATGACACCTGGCAAGCACTCATTCCGAACCAGCCTGTAATAGTACTGCTGGCACAAAAGCGGTACAAATAGTAAGTTTTCCACTGGCTCAGTTTTCGACTGCAGTACTTTTTTTTTTTCCATTTACAGCGCAACTTCGCCACGCACAATCTCGAGCTGCTTGACTTGGACGAGAATGACAAAAGTGCAACACCAGCTCCTACATCACGCCCTCGCAACAACATCCCGGGATCTTCGACGAACCCCGTGCACTAATGACCGCCGACCATGATCTTAACAACATGCTGGTAACAATGTTTGATCATTCAGTGTGCCGCTGATATTTCCCTCTCCTTCTCATCCATAACCATCATTTCGCATACAATCATTGGACACTCGCTCACACATTATCATTGGACTCCCATCATTTCGCAATGCATTGGACTGATCACCATCATTCTCACACGTCATTCTCACTTGACTATTCCTTTTATTTAATGGCCTTCTGTCCCTAGTAGCTCGTATATCTTACCAGAGAATGACAGCTAATGTTTTTTCGTGAAATCTGTTGCCTGTCGTCAGAATGCCATTGCAAAACTTTGTACCTGCCCATGAAAAGTCTATTGCATCCCTCCGTGGTTTTCCATGCTCGACGCTAACGGTCGATCATGGGTTCCTTTTTGTAGTCCACCAATAGGCTTACTGTAGGATTTCCATGGGTCGACTCATGCGTCACCCAATGTCATCACCGTTAGTCAGACCACGGTAACATTTTTGGCAGTGTAGTTGTTGACCCAACGCAGAGTTGATATGTCTAATCATAAGACTGATGATAGATCCTGACGAATGATGGAGGTAGAGTTTGATGGACGCACATGGAGGACCAGTGCGGTATTTGTGCGGATTGATTTCCGTATGGATGGCGGTACACCTGTGCTGCAGAGATTGCTCAGTAAATCTATCATTATCCCTGAGTAGGCAACGGCAAACCCCCAAAGATCTTGAACACGTCAATTTTCAACCCATCCAGTGCAATATCGTTATATACATCGTAAGCCTTGTTTCTTGTATCGCATTTTGTTATCTTATCCTGATGTTCTTTCACAGGTTACTGCGGCTCGACCAGCTTCAAAGAACACGCAACTACTCTACGATTCGAGACTGGAGTTTAAGAACAATTTCCAGTTATATTGTTCATTTCTGTCAACAGAATGCCACGACCGTCTTATTGAGACACCTTGGATGGGACGCTGCCGAGTCTCATCGAGAACACGACCAGGTTTTATCTGCACAATGCGAAGGACAAAAAGTTGGGCTTCCTGTTCGGTCGTCAAGTCTCCTTACAAGTATGTGCTGGAACCCCCTAAGTTCGAAATCAGGAACTGCCTTGTGCTGCGCCCCGCTAATCACGCTGCCTGAGATATGAACTGTAAATGAATGCAATATACAGTTCCGAATAGATAAGAGTCTACGAGTTCGCTAGCTCCCGCATCATTGTTGTGCGTCCAAAAAAGGAAAGGCAGCTTTCTCGCTCACAGCCCGAGTCTTCTCAAGCCTTCTCTCGGCGAGATTATCATGCATTAATCATGTCACTTTGAATGTACAGTAATGCGCGTGCATGGAGTTTCCCTGATCCGGGGTCCCGGGACTCGTTTCGAGCCAAATTGCTGCCGGGCAACTCCTCCTGAGGACCTACTAGGAACGACTATATTCACCCTATTGTTTGGGTCTGACTACGGGACACTAGGTTTGATGGACCGCGGCCGGTGAAATATCTAAATTCGAGCTATCTTCAGTATATAACGATGCGGCTGGAGAAGTTACTCAGGCACCTTCGTGCGCCCCTCAGGCCTAATCATGTCTTCTATGACTTTCAACTCAAATGTTGGCATCCCGGTAGATGAAGCTAATTTAATTTCAACAGTTCTGGAAGGCATTTTATACGGTGGGTATCACTATCGATTGGTCCATCCCATGGTCACCAAGCTACCATTTTACAGGCTTTTCAGTCCTCATGTTTATGGGTACCATATGGACATTCACCTACAAATGTCGCATCAAGGACATCAATCGACCTATCGCTGCGGTCGCCACCTTGATGTTCCTACTGAGTACTGTGGTTAGCTTCTCGGGGCCGCTTACATATGATGTCACATCTGCTAAACTCTCCCAAGCACTTGGTCGTAGGCATCATTCGTATTGATGACGGACTGGTGAAGTATCGCGACACGTATCCGGGCGGCCCAATGGCGTTCTTCGCAAACTCTACCGAAGGGACGTTTACGGTCAAGGATGCGATACTCACATTGCAAACTCTGCTTGGTGACGGGGTGGTGGTGGGTTCAATTTGCTTTTATCTGCCAGCTTGAAACCCTCGTGGCTTATAGAAATATCCTTTTTGCCAAAAGATTTATCGATGTTACGTAGTTTGGCGATCTGTCTGGGTTATCGTCGTCCCATGCATAATGTGGTGGGGTGTCGCAGGTTAGGTCCAGTCTTTCTCAGGAAGTTGTGTGCTCTGATGTTGTCTCGAAGCGTTTGGTATCTGTATGGTCTACATCATATCGCAACAGCAGACTGACACTGCGACTGGAACTTGGATTATTATGACATTCATTGTCCTGACAATGGCGACTAATTTGTTGGGTTCAGGTAAGCACACTTCTGCGTAAGCCCAATTTGAGGCCAACTTGAATATGTACAGGGTTACTGGCATATCGCATCTGGATAACCGAACGCAATGTCTCTACGGTTCTTATTACGAAGCGAAAAAGACCTATATTGCGCGTGCTGGTGGATCCCGCTATTTTGTACTCTGTGGCGACCTGCTGTTCACTAATCTCTTTCCTCTGTTCAAGCAATGGATTGTATGTTATGGCAGACCTGGTAATTCCGCCGTTAATACCTGTTATCGAAAATTACTGAGCTTCAATCAACTAGGTTGTCCAGATCATCCCCATTACCTTCTACATGGTATTTATCCGCATCGCGACCAGTAAAAACAATCAAGATTACACCTCGACTATCCGTGGCGGGACAACCGTGACAGAACGAAGAAACTCGCAACAATATCATGTGCAGCCCTTACACACTATATACAAGCAGCCTGATAATGGTATACTATCCTTCTTGACTGATAACCCCAAAATAGCGACATATCCAGTAGCGTCGTTGTCCAGCTCAGCGTGCTAGACTTCTGTACAATAGTCCCACTCGGCATCAGGGAAAAGCTCCCATGTAAAATTATTAACATCACGCAGAACCACAGCCGACTTTATTGAGTCAGTTCGTTAACTTATTATTGCAGAAACATACATATTTACCAGTGATCAAGCTTAAGCCCTGACCCTTTTTAAATTTAACTACTCTGATTTAGAGTAGGTGAGGTGGCGCGTGTGGTCTCTAAGAGAAAACAATACAATTACCTTGTTAACCTGAACTTTCGAATGAGTGAAGAATAGTGCCCAAGCAAACTGAGACAATGAGACAAAGCTTGGAAGAGTTTGCGCTCTTTCCTTTTTTGGCCGTATCAGCGAAAGGCGCGCATGTATTGGCGTCCGCAAAGTAAAATAGTAATTGGCCGCCATCATGGTGGGGTAGGGAATCCAGGAAGCAAAGCATGCATGCAAGTCCCAAGAACAGGTGAGGTGAGCCCAGAAGCCGTCCGGTCCAAGGTTCGGCCACCATGCCTGAACATGACCGATGGTCGCGTTCAGGGTTCGCAGATATAGGGCCATGAACCTGACCGAACCGGACTTCGGAGGCACTAGTAAAAGTCGGACCTAGACCTGATCGGAACAATAAGTAGTTCACAGACACATCGCCTGATGCATGGACCCCATGACCGGTCGGACTTGATAGTATTCATTTCAATCTACTTCAGGACACCAAATAACTAGTTCACATAAGTAACACGACGAAACTGGGGACATGACACAATTCTCCCGCTCCATGCAGAGCAACCCCTATGAGTGATGTAAGGCTGGGTATGAGGTCGGCGGGGACGAAGTAGATACGAGACGAGTGCAAAGGTAATTGAGACGAGTAGGAAAACGTTTGAGACTGGAGACTTTCTATGAGGCTTTTCAGTCGTGCTTGGAGCGGGAAATCAGCGTATGGGATTCTGCTCGATTTTTATGTAGGTATGAATGTACATGGGCGGTATATATACGTTTTCGAACACTTGACTAGGCCAGAATGAGCATAAGGAGCATATGGTGAAAGTAAAATGAAGCAGTCAAGGCAAGGGGATCATGGAGTCTGAGCACAAGGTAAGATCATAAAAGGAAATCAAAATGGAAAAGACTGTATCTGCGTGACTCGGATGCGAAGTGTAATGGAAGGACGTCGTCTTCGTTTTGAAGCGTGATCGGTGCGTAGAGGATATGCAATCCTCACAGTGACATCGAGCATTTCCCGTGCTACACACTACTGCTAGTTGACACATGGACACGCTCCTGGAAGGCAATTGAAGTCATGGCAGTTGCTGCATCTGAGTCCTCCACGAGCTTAGCGTAATATTCTCGAACGTCAAGGATGAGACGTGGTCCCAGCACAAGCAACTGCACAGCCATAAATATTTCAAGAAACCCAGCATAAATGTGGACTTCCAGGGAATATGTGTCCTATTAAAATGATGAACCGCGCTCGCATGCAGAGGTCAGTGACATATTGGCATACCGCTGGCATCGTCGATGAGTCATAACCGAGCTCGAAGCTCGAAGCAGCAAGAAAGCTAGCACGTTCTGAACGTCAGCGGTAGAAGAGAATGTCATTCATATTATAGGCTCACCTCGCAAAGTAGCCCACATGAGATTTCATCAACACCGTGAAACAGTCTCCGAGAATCCCTCCTGCCGATTGCCGTCGCAGTTCTCGGAAGTGTTTTACAGCAATCCAGACAGCGAGACACAGTGCGAGGACCTCCCATACAGTCCACAGTATCCAAATCATGGACGCCAGAGGCGCGAGATCTGCCTCAGAGTTCATAGTGCACTGATAGGTGCCGGAGAGAATGAGCTCCTCTGATATTCAATGAGCCTCATGCATTGAAGTCTTTCAATCGAAGCTTACCCCCTGAAATAGTATGGTTCGTTATTATTGCGCTGATCGCTATGCTCGCGATATTGACAACCAGGAAGACGACACCGAGGAGTATCAAGACCTTTCTGGATCGCTGGTACATGGCATGTAACCGAGTGATCATGATGACTTGTCTCGGTCAAGTCAGTATCATTGAGGTATTACAGCTGGTTCGCTCACCGTCCAGTATTACAGTTATGGTGTTATTCGTCCAATTTTTTATCAGGTACACGATAAGGCCTAACAATTACAAGCCCAGTTAGTGATCAGTCACAGCCTCGCCGGAGGATCACACTCGAAACAAACTCACATCTATGGTAGTGAATATATTGAACAAACAAGCTGGTCAAGAATCTCACTCACCCCTACATGGGAGTGCAGTTGATTAGACAGGAATGGCAGGTATTACTGCAGAATACTCACTACATCTGTGAGTGGGATTGTTGGAATATTGACTGTATGCCGCCAGTCAGAAAAAACAAACATGGTGAATATGAGACATACGCAGCATCTGGGTCCTGATTGTGAGAGATGACTGATTAGCACAACACCAATTGCTTATTTCTCCGAACATACACACTATATGACATTCCAAGATAGCGCGCCTGGGATGCTTTTGAATCAACACGACTTGCCAATCATTTTTATAACGCAAGCTACATACACTGATATAGAGAAAAGTCACGAGGGACCAGCGTTGCCTCTGTCGCCAATTATTCGAAGTTAATGTTGTTGTTCTGACGTGGGACTGTGCTCACCCAGATCAGTTCGACCTGTAAAACCTGTCTCAGCGATATGGCTGCTCCGGTAATGGCATCAGCCTACCTCTTTCCCGAATGTCAATGCTGGAAATACTACCATGAGGATATCAGCGGTTCCTGGATACTTATCTTGCTTACTCCAATCATACATCCCCCCAGCAAAGGCTGCAACTGCGAAATGCAGCCAAGGTTAAAACGACACATCACCATCATCATCCGACAGGCTCCACGTACCTGTAAAATAACCGAAAACCCTATCCGCACTGATGTCCGGCCACCAACTGGGATCATTTAAGACTATGGGCATATTGGCGGAGGATGGGTATGAGGAAGCAGCGAACTTGGTCGACGTATGGCGATGATATTCGTCCTAGTTATACCAAAATCCAGCGTTCCTGTTGCCGAAGTGAGCATCGTGAGATCTGCTGGGCGTAAAGGCGGGAGAGAGACTAACCTAGAGAGCGAATGTCTGAGGGTGCGCATGCACGATCAGTAATTTTCGCTGACCAGTTGAAAGACAGCGAGATGTTGGATTGATTATCGAATACCGACAAACCAAAATAGTAAACACATCTGATACAACAGCACTGCACTCGACATTGCATCGCGCAGTCGATGCATCGCTTATCGCAGCCTCGTACATCCTGATCGATAATGCGTGATTGATATCTGATGAAATTACAAGTTAACGCCCGGGACATGTCAGCAAAGGAAGGCTCTGTACGGCTTCATGACCGAACAAGGAAAGTCGACTATTTGTTCTTCGAAATGTGCAGATAAAACATTGGTGGTGATATTCTTGATGAGCCTCGGGAGTGTCACCTCTAACGTCTCTTTGAATAACACGTTCTTGACATTCTCTTGACAGAAATGAACAATACGATGTGAAGGTTGTGAAATTCCAGCATCGAATCCTAAAATAGCAGCGCTGATCCTGCAACCACGAAGTTTAATAACGTGGTAGCGAGCACTGAAAAGCTGAGTCATTTCTAGTGCGGTATAAATGAGCAAACGACCTGGGCTCAATATGAACAGGGAATGCAATCCGCTGGCCCGACTGCGCGGTCCAGTCTCTCACCAGCAAAAACTTCTCCTCCCGCAAGCTCCCCTCATCCAAACCCGCAGCCTTCCGCACGTGTTCCTCAAGTTGCGCACGTGGCAGCACATACTTATTCGCCTGCAGTCGCTCATAAAACGCAGAAGACGGCAGACCTTACGTGTTCTCTCGCAATCAGCATTTCAATGATATGTATGGCTTCTCACATTCACTGCCATTCGTCCTTCTTACTGGCGGCATACAGGCAGTGTTCCGATGATCTCCATAGGATGCGCAATGCGCTGTCCTTAGGACTCGGAATATTTGGATGGATGGCTGTGTATATGCATGCGAAAAGAGTGAGAATGGAGCTGGAGATGATGTTCCACAGGGTTCTATTCGTGAATGATGGAGCTTCAAAATCATCGCTGGTAGTGGTTGTATTGGTAGGTGCGGCTTGGATTACTCCAACGAGGTAAAGGATCATGCACAGAAGTAAGCGCATTATTGGATGTCACTTTGGGGTGGGGATATTGCGCTTTGTATATCTCGCTCGCTTGTTGTGATGGAAGCAGAAGACAAGTGCAATCAAGCGCCCAGAATCATTCTGCGGTAGTCGAAGCATGGCCTCCTCGTTGCCGGCGAGAAGGTTCTTGATCAGGGCGTTGCAGGCACTGCGATCATGATCATAGCATTGAGCAAGAGACAACTTGCAATTGGAAACAAAGGTTTGATTGAAATATGAAACGCTATTAAAGCGCAAAATAATGTACATACCGCGAAACCATACAGTATCAATGCATCGACACGAGACAAGGGTCCCATTGTGCACATATAGGTAGACTATACAAGTCCGATCATGCCATGCGAGTGGCGTCGTGACAGTCCTTATTCCAGACAGACAGTCTCTCAAGCACGGACTTGGTGAGTCCGCAGAAATGAACATCATAAGTACTGAAACGCAGATTACAAAATGTGTGAAACCTACCCAAAAATTCATTCGGAGGTTCGAACCCGTTCGAACCTATTCACCGTCAGCCGAACCCCGAACCTCTGGAGAGGTTCGGTTCTGAGTCTTGGCCGAACCTAGGACCGGACCATGAGTCCGGTTCGGAAAGGTTCAGGTTCGAACCGAAGTTCTGAACCGGACTGCGGCAGCACTATTCGTACGAGAGTTGTGTTTCGGGATTCGAGGAAGGAAGCAACTTTCAACGGAGGCAATCGGACTCTGATGACTGGGTTTGAATTTGGGTAGCTTGTCTCATCAGTACTACGTAGTCTGTAGACCTTCAGTGTGGTCCTTCATTGTAAACTACGCTTGGTGAGCCAGCCGCCTTGTAGGGAAGGGAAAAAACCAGAGCGTGTTTTCCCCCACAGACAAGGCGGCTGGTTCACAAAGTTGATAAGTTGTTTTACTATAGACAGGCCTCACTGACAGTTACGCTCTATGAAACGAGGAACAAAAACATGCGAGGCTTTCTCATATTTTCCTTCCTCGACAAGCTTGGCGGCTAGACTTGTCTCATCACTCTCCAACACCATCCAACAAGATCTAACAACCAGGTAAGCTGTCGATGTTTAGAATCTGCAGCCGCGATGCCAAGACGATCTACCAAGCCAAAGTCGATTCCATGATCCAGCTTGCGAGCGAGGTTCAGTATCGTATTCTTACGAAGCAGTTCCAACCGGGTGTGTAATCACGGCCAACATCTGACTTCTTTGCTCATAAATATGCTAGTCATGAGGACATTTTACAACCGAACTGCGTTCCAGCTCCCAGGAGATCCCCGTGTACGGATATCGCTTGATATAGAACTCACCATGGCTCGTGAAGACAACTGGGACAGTCGGTCGCGTGCTGGTGATAACTGGCGACGGACTGACATTGGCATCGACCATCCTTTTGACCAACTGCCAGCGGAGGATAAGGAGCTTTTCAAGTGCGTATTCGTTATCGAGCTGATTCTATAGAATGTTCACGCTCTTAAAAAGTACGGTGTTTTAGAAGTCAAGCTTCAGACCCAGTTCGGACAAGAGCCTCCCAAGTGAGCACGGACCTCGTTCAATCCTACCTCGTCGAAGCTGTTCCCAAGTTCAGGTATGAGTCTCACAAGCAAAGCGTTTCTATTTATACCACTTAAGGACTATCGCTAGTAAATTTATCCATGGTTGCGTTGCCTTGCTGCCAAATCGTGTAGATCTTGTGCCATTCTGGCTGCCCCAAAGTGAGTCAGAAGACTTCTATTGCACCTTGCTTACCTTACATTCCCAGTGGACACCGATATCCTTGAGCCCAACACGGGTTACCTCACTGTCGAGCGCCCCGCAAAGAGCGCTCCCGAGCAACAGTCCGGCGTCCTCTCGCCCGTGCACTCCTATGTTGAGCCCGTCTCAGAGGGCGAAGAAGATGAGGAGATGGATTTGGCGCCTGCCAGAGATGAATTTCGGCGCACGGGGTTACCCCACGATGACGTCGCGGCAGCCATCGCATTCCGCGAGAAATCTCTCAAGGAACGCGATATGTCTACGCCTCAGTTTAGCGAGGGCAGCAGTTCTCGCGAGGAGGTGTGCGATGAGCGGACACCATTGTTGAAGATGCCACGGCCGCTGATGGCAGAGAGGACCGTGTCGATCGACCCGCTTGCGCCTTCTTCTGCGTTTGATGAGCGCCTGCGCGAACGTTTGCAGGCGAAGAAGAATGTGCCGCCTCGTGCGCAAGAGGAGGTGCGGGAGGCTGCTGGTTTGGCAGACCCTTCAGTCACATTGGATGTAGAAGTGGTGCCCCGGATGTGCCAAAAGGCCGTAGAATATGTCCCAGCCAGCACCGGCCTGGCCAGGTAGATATGTGGCTGGCCGGTTCGTAGAAGTGGGCACGGCCAGTGTACCTTGAACTCTGCTTAGGTACCGAAGGAATGTGTAGAGCGAGAACTGGCCGGCCATGTAGGACAAGTACTGGCCAGCATTCCTACACGTGACTGTACAGGAGTACCGGCCGAGCGCACAGGGCATTTACTGCCCAGCTCAGCCAGGAAGAAGCCTCAGGCCAGCACTCTTATACAATCGTGTATAGGAGTGCCGGCCGAGTGCACAGGGCAGGTACTGGCCAGCTGCCAACAAACAGCCTCCGGCCAGCACTCTTATACAATGGTGTATGGGAGTGCCGGCCGACTGCTGCCAGGAAACAGCCTCCGGCCAGCACTCCTATACAATAGTGTACAAAAGTGCCGGCCGAGTGTACAGGGCAGGTACTGGCCAGCTGCCAGGAAACACAGCCAGCACTCTTATACAATGGTGTATGGGAGTGCCGGCCGAATGCTGCCAGGAAACAGCCTCCGGCCAGCACTCTTATACAATCGTGTATGAGAGTGCCGGCCGAGTGCACAGGGCAGGTACTGGCCAGCTGCCAGGAAACAGCTTCCGGCCAGCACTCTTATACAAGCGTGTATGGGAGTGCCGGCCGAATGCTACCAAGAACCAGCCTCCGGCCAGCACTCTTATACAATCGTGTATGAGAGTGCCGGCCGAGTGCACAGTGCAGGTACTGGCCAGCTCAGCCAGGCCGAGCCCATAGGGCAGGTACTAGCATGTACAAAGGTACTGGCCGGCCATGTAGGGTAAGTACTGGCCAGCCCCACTTATAAAATCAGGTATAAAGTCTTGGCTGGCCTTGTAAACTATATACCGGCCACCCCATCATGTATATTGCTTTGCCTAGTAATATCAAGTAGATCTATGAGTTAAAACAGCAAGAATTCAATGTGCTATGCTAGGTCACTTTCGCATGGCCTTTTTGGAGGGTTTCCTGGATCTGCTGGATCGACGAATATTGTCAGTGGTAGCCTTTTTGGATGGTCTTCCAGATCCCCCAGATTTTCCCCTTTTCTTCCCTTTCTGCATGACGACCTCCTCCTCCTCCTCCTCCTCCTCCTCCTCCTCCTCCTCCTCAGCCTTCTCCTCCTCGCCACGCTGTTCCTTATCTTCCATATCATCCTTACCACCACTGTCCTTTTCGATCTCCACCAGTTTCAACAGCTTCTGGTTGTACTCCTCCAGCTCTCACTTTCTCTCCTCCAGCTTTCTCATGTCCTCCTGCAGCATCGCCATTTTCTTCTTCTCTTCCTCCACCTCCCACGACTCCTTGTCAAGCTTCCTTGTCAACTCATCTGCCTCCATTTCCGTCCCCTCATCCTCTTTCTCTTCCCTGGTTGAGATGGTCTGAATGGCAGTATCAGCTCCGTGTTCTTCACCAGCAGCAGCCTCAGCAATGGCTGCACGTTGTCCTTCCTTCGCCTTGAGCATCCGCGTAACCCCACCTCTGGCTGTATTGATTGCCTCTATGACGAGGTCGTGGGTCTTGATACTCAAAATAGAGGTGCCAAGGTAAGAGGGGGTGTTCGGGGTAGCTTCGTCCTCCTCATATTCGATAACTCGCTTGCATTCTCTTAGCAGCATCCCAAGACCTAGGCTAACCCCCATGGCTGATACCAAGCCAGAGATCTTGGCAGAGACGACTATCTCCAAGAACTTGTTCAACTCACGCTCGTCTGAGTGCACACTATTCGGAAGGTGTGATCTGTCCCAACTCCATGTCGCCCAAGCGGGCCATTCCATTGCCTCAGAGCTTTGTTCCTGCGTCAAGTGAGTATCAAGTTTCACCAATCCAGGTATTAATCGAAAACGTACCTTTTTCAAGTCACCAAGACGCGAAATCAAAAGCAGATATTCGTCCTGGCTGCTGAGAGACCGTAAGAATGACATCCGATCTTTCTTTGGCACAGTGGCTGGTGTGCGCACGACTTCTTGACCAACTGATGGTCGCTTAACCAGCCCTTTCGATGGAGTGAGATTATCATCAGAGCTATCCTCGGAGCTGTCCTGGGTTTGCGGTCTTGAATTCTTGGTGGGCCTTGTGCTGGCCTTGGGCTTGGAGGACGCCTTAGCCTCGGCCAGCTGTCTTGTACGTTTCGTGGATGTAGGCGCAGCTGAAGCCTCCTCTTCATCATCAGTGTCGACTGGTACATACTTCTTTTTAGATTGTTTCTCGCCTACATAAACAGCATTGACGAGCAGGGACTTGTTCATGTGGGAACTCACGGCCCCGACAAAAATAACCAGTTTCTGTTTCGAAGCCTTCCTGGCTTCCCAATGGCCCCAAAGATGGTTTATTTCCTGCGCCTTCAAATGAGACGGGTCTTGCACGACGAAACCCTCAGGGATGGAGTCTGGATCCAGGTACACCAAAAGGTTGCCGGCAATCGAGAGCCAAGGTACTGGCTTTTTGCTACCAGTGAAGACTTCTGAAAAACGGAAATTGAGTCAAGTTAAAATCAACAGATGAAGTGATCAGCGACTCACTGTAAGATGCATGAAAAATTTGCTGAACCAATTCTTGTTGCCCCTTGAGGCCCACTCCTTTACGGGAAGGGAGCTTTGCAAACCCGTGCTCATCCAAGATGACTTCAGGTATCGCATCTTTTCCATCTTTACTGTCTTCATCGGACAAGTCATCATCATCATTGGTGGGGTCTGATACGCGGTCATTGAGCAGTCTGAACCAATCCCCAAAAATACAGAACTTACAGAATTCTTCCTTCGACCACTCGGCAAATTTTTCAAAACCTTCGGACGTCCACTCTTTGCTTCCTCGAGAACTCAGGCTAAACGGTTTCTTGTGATTGACAGGCTGAGACTCATGACTGAATAACAATAAAATTGTTATTTTACCCTGAGGAGAGTGGATAAATACTCACATCTTGACACTTAAAGTCTGATCGGCATTTTTCTTGTGACTGACTAACATCACGACTCGGCAACCCATAGAACGCCTTATCTGTTCTGTAAAATCGTCGAGAACTTTTTTGAGGCTTTTCTTTCGATACCTATCAATGTTGTTATAGTAGAAATTGAAAAAAAAGGCAATTTACATCGCCTGTGCTTCTGCTGGGGCACCTTCCCTATTCCACTTGTCCCTCGCCTCCTCAACTTCCTTCTGATGTGCAGAGGTCATGTTGTTGAACCACTCCCTCGCATGTCCAGTCCTATACTTAATAGAATGTTGCACGCCTTTCTTCTGTTGCTGCTCCTTATCGTAGTCGTCCATCTCCTGCTTGAAGAGTTTCTGCGCGACGTCCCAAGCATTAAGCTCCTTCTTGTAGAACCCTGCGTCCTTAGGACGAGCCGCCAATTCTCTGTCCTCAGGGGACACGCCAGATGGTTCTTCCTCCGGCTCATCACCCAAGACCTCTTGCTCAGCACGTCGATCATCAGTGTCCGTTAAGAACTGGAGGTAGTACCTCCTGATAGCCTATATAACAATTATATCAGTATCATTATATACTCAACAAAACAGTACCTTTTTCAATCCCTTTGGTAAATCCTCGGAATCCTGTCTTGTACGATGAATTGCGACAATTTCATTGCGGATCTGTCTTAGGAGATTCTGACGGGAATTCTTCCCATTTACAAACTGATCTTTGTGGAGAGTCAGTACTCCCTCCCAAGAAGCATACCATTCAGCCATTGATGACAAGAAAACGTAAGTCAGGAGCTTTTGGTAAGGGTGAGTATGCGTTGTGTAACCTTAGACCAGGCCGAAGAGTTGAAATTTTGAAGGAGACGCGATCACGTGCATGCAAACCAAGACGCGTCATTATGAAATCACACGTGTGACAAAGTGATACCTCAATCAATTCAAATTATGTACAGTGTCAAGTAAATACATAATTTACTTGCGCGCCTTCTTTGCAGTCCCAGGAGACGCTGTCTCATTCTTGTGCTTGCCTTGGGTAGAGTCAGGTAAAGACTGAGATACAAAATGAGTAGAAGGCGACTTGAACCAAGCGCAGTTCTTGGTCCTGGCATTGTTGATGATGGACCCAGGAGGCTTGGTGACAGAAAACTTGTAGCACGGCAACTTTTGCGTGCTACCACAGTTGGTGTACTTGCATGTGTAGATGTACTGGCAAACAGAGCCTTGGGCTGAGGCGTGTGCGTCGCGATTCTCATCAGAAACTGTCACAGCAACCCTCTCACCCCAGCTCTTGGTAGAGCCACATTGGGGGCATTGCGCAGGAATAGGAACGCCCCAAGGCGAAGTCTGAGTGTGAGCGCGCGCGAATGTAGTGAGTTCCAGCTTGCAGCAACCATCAATGTTGACGGGAGTCATCAGGATGACGCTGGTGTGTTGACCGAGACCGCCTGACATACTAAGGAGGGTCGGAAATACAGTGCGGATGCTGAGTTGCTCAATCGCAACAAGTTCCGCCATGGCGACCAAGAAATTAGTGGCGACAAGGGGTTGGAAGCGAGCTGCGGAAAAGAGAATTGCAGATGCGAAGTTGAATTGAAGAACGGACTCCTTGAGCTGAGTGTAGGGCGTCTTGTATGCCACCACAGAACCGCAGACCAGGAAGACGATGTGTGCGGACTTGAGGATCCTGGCGTAGGGCTTCAACACTGTGGAGAGAACCTAGAATAGATTAATTAATAATATTGAAGCGTCAAAATTTTAAAACTTACATGCTGAACTTCCATCGCAACATACTCTCCCTCACCTCGACCCTCCTTCCCTGCATAGAGCCAACCGCTGTCTTCTTCCGAATGGTTGGAGAGAAACGCAAAGACCCGACCAGTTGAGCCAAGGTGACGGACAAGCTTAGCAACTGTTTCGACCTGGTCGCGGGTGTACTTGTCGATCTTCGTATAGGTGGCGACGTCGAACGAGATCTCGACGTACAGAAACCCACCGTTGGGGTAGTACTTGTCGAGGTAATGCGAGAGGAGTGGAACGGGTGTGGAGATTGTGTACTTGGCGCCAAGGGCAAAATGGACGATGGCGAGGGGTGTGGCTGCCAAGATGGAGTTGGACGCCAGCTCATACTTGCCGTTGAACTGTAGGAAGCCTGGGAGTACAGGCGTTCCTCCTTCCTCTGGCAAAACGTTACGGTA